TGAACATGCCTGGCTCTGTTAGCCCTAGTTTTTTTTTTTTTTAACATTGCACAAACACAACTAAGATATCCCCAACATGTAGAGGGAGAAATCCTGAACAGAGAACTCTTTGCAATGTTCTTTGCTTCACAAATCCCATTTTTTCCCCCATTAATGGATGGTGAAGGGAGTGACAAATAAGAGAAGGGCCGGATGTACGAGCCACGGTAGCACAGTGGTTAGAGTGCAGTACTGCCGGCTACTTCTGCTGACCATCAGCTGCCTGCAATTTGGCAGTTCGAATCTCACCAGGCTCAAGGTTGACTCAGCCGTCCATCCTTCCGAGGAGGGTAAAATGAGGACCCAGATTGTTGGGGGCCATAGGCTGACTCTGTAAACAGCATAGAGAGGGCTGTATAAAAGAACTGTAAAGCAGTATATAAGAGTAAGTGCTATTGCTATTGTCCTTCCTTCCTTCCTTCCTTCCTTCCTTCCTTCCTTCCTTCCTTCCTGTTAAGTCGAGGACTAACTGTGATCATATTCATCATACACCGTTCCCTGAAAATAAGCCCTCCGCAAAAATAAGCCCTCCCTGAAAATATTAAACTGCATATGCGGCCGGTCCCCGCCATTTCCTCTGGTTAGGGTTAGGGAGACAGAGCTGGAAATCAGGTAAGATTTCCAAGCCCTGTCTTGCTCCATGTGCCCCAAAATAATAAGACCTCCCCGAAAATAAGGCCAAGCGCTTATTTCAGGGTTAAAAAAAAAATAAGACAGGACACACGGTAGTTGTCCCCAAACTATGACCTGGATGACTGAGAATCTCTACAGACTTTCATTCATTGTAATTCATTCCAGTGGTGAAATCCAATTTTTTTTACTACCGGTTCTATGGGCGTGGCTTGGTGGGTGTAGCAGGGGGAGGATACTGCAAAATCTCCATTCCCTCCCTACCCCTGGGGTAGATTACTGCAAAATCCCCATTCCCACCCCACTCCTGGGGCCAGCCAGAGGTGGTATTTGCCGGTTTTCTGAACTACTCAAAATTTCCACTACCGGTTCTCCAGAACCTGTCAGAACCTGCTGGATTTCACCCCTGGTTCATTCCAAATAAATGAAATAAATTGACCTTGGCACAAAACCAGCCTTTTGATTTAACTTAATTGGCGAGAGATTTATCTGATTTCATTCAGGAGCCAGGACACTGAGCGAATGCACGAACGTCTGTTTGAAACGAAACAAGGTTTTACAGCTCGCCTCGGTTTTGTCAGAGCGCGGCTTTGGGAAGTTTGGGAATTGGGCATACAAAAGATGGCACCCATCACGCCACAATACTCGCGGCTGCTCTCCATTGCATAAATCCATCGGGCACGTGGTGCTTTTCAGCAAACCTTTGGGCCCATTTGTTTCTCGGCCTTCTGCCTCTTCGGTCCTGCCGGCATCGTTTCACTGATCTCTGGCGAGGTCTGAAAAGCAAGCCGTGAATGGGGATTGTCTCATCAACAATGCTATTCACGGGCTGCTGATCCATAAGGCTTGGCTGGGAAAAGCGGTTCTTTTCTCCATGAAACAGACCTGCAACATGTGACGCCAGGCCGTTTAGCTCAGCCAACCAGAAGGATGCTGGAGCAGTTGGAGAATCGTGCGGGGAAAACAGAATGCTGAATAACAGAGTTGAACGGGCCTCGGAGATCTTAACAAACTAAGAGAGTTGGAAGGGACCTTATAGCAGGGGTGAAATTCTGACAGGTTCTAGAGAACTGGTAGCAGAAATTTTGAGTAGTTCGGAGAACCGGCAAATACCACCTCTGACTGGCCCCACAGTGGGGTGGGAATGGAGATTTTGCAGTATCCTTCTCCCAGGAGTGGGGAGGGAATGGGGATTTTGAAGTATCCTTCCCCTGGAGTGGGGAGGGAATGGGGATTTTGCAGTATCCTTCCCCTGGAGTGGGGAGGGAATGGGGATTTTCCCCAGGAGTGGGGAGGGAATGGGGATTTTGCAGTATCCTTCCCCCAAGAGTGGGGAGGGATTGGGATTTTGCAGTATCCTTCCCCCAGGAGTGTGGGAGGAAATGGGATTTTGCAGTATCCTTCCCCTGGAGTGGGGAGGGAATGGGGATTTTGCAGTATCCTTCCCCCAGGAGTGCGGAGGGAATGGAGATCCTCAAAACATGGAAAAAAGAGATATTACGTGAGGCACAAAGGAAGAGAAGGGTTGGTTTTCCCCAGACTGCTTCCTTCCTGTAAGAACATCTGTCTGTCAAAGAAAATGTCACAGTTGTTTTCCAGGCTAATGAGAATGTAGGAGACCAAGTTATAAACAGCTGCCTACAGGCTCCGGGGCTATCAGTGAAATGATCTGCAGATTTGTAGAAAACTATTTTAAAAAAAAAAAAGCTAAAGAGATCTCTGCCTTCCGTCCCAAGAACTGGCCCATAGATTTCCACTGCTCTCCTCTCCTCTGCCTTCTGTGCATCCATGTGTCAGGGACTGGACCCAGCTGTTCCTCCTCTTCCTCGTCAGCCACCTCCAGACCTGGGGGCTGTTGACTCTCCATCTGAGGGCTGACGGACGGCCCAGGCTCCGCCTCTGTCTCTCTCTCTCTGCCAGCTCCATTCCCTCTTCTCCCTCGGAGGTCTCAGGTTGCCTGGATGCTGACCCTGACTCCTTCCTCTTCCTCCTCCTCTGATTTGGCCGCTGGAGGGGCCGGTGGCCGACAGGCCACAACAGTCAAAGGACTACCTGGCCAAAGATGCCTAACTCATCCTTGAGTTTGCTAACCTGATGGAACACCATTGAGACAGATGGGTTCCAAGTAGACATTAGTTCCTCTCCCGGGTGCTAGGAATCATCCCAAGTGGGACAACTGCCACAACTTGCTAGGTTGCAGAACTGCCACTGAACTTGCTCAACACTTTCAACTTTGCCCTGAGCTTAATATCAAGACATCCTTGCTAAACGTTCCCATTTCTAGAAGCTTCTTGGTACTTTTAGCAGCAGCCTGACATGGAGAGGAGAGGAGAGGAAACACTTTCAATGAGCTAGTATCAAGTCAGACCAAGTCTCATTTGTGTAATTGATTGAAGATCCAGGAAGGGTCCGGTGAACAAAGGAACTTGGCAGCTCTACCCTGGAATCTTCTTTTCGCCAAGGGCGAGGCAAAGTTTCCCAAACAATAATGTGTTGTGGTTTTTTTGGGAATACGCAAGTTGCGAAACCATTTTGTAAACTAAAAGGAGACCTACAGCAAAAATCATTCCAAAGAGGTCCGTTTTCTTGGTGAATCAACCACAGTTAGGACTGTCTCATTGGTTAGCTGAATTGGGGGACAAACAAAATTGGACATAACATTTTTCTGATGTTCGGTCGGTAAAATATTGAGGGTCATTCAAAAGCTTTTGTCCTTTTCTTCTCTTTCCATTATAGACTTCTTCACTGACCTGGATTCTGGCAATAACTCTTCTTCTTCTCCTCCTCCTCCTCTTCCTCCTCCTCCTCCTTCCTTCCTTCCTTCCTTCCTTCCTTCCTTCCTTCCTTCCTTCCTTCCTTCCTTCCTTCCTTCCTTCCAACTTTCCTCTCTCCCTCCCTCCCTCCCTCCTTCCTTCCCTCCTTCCCTCCTTCCCTCCCTCCTCCTTCTCCTCCTCCAACCCTACCCAATAGTAGGGTATCCTACTATTGTAGGATTCTGTCCCTTTTTTCTCTATGTGGAAGAAAGATGCTTCATAGAAGTCCTTTGTGAACTTTTAGTAGGAAATGGAGGGGGGAAAGCCCCCTCCCCCCAAATTCTGACATACAAATTTGATGATCGCTAAAGTTTTAAAAAGGAAAAAAAAATATTTTGGGAGGAAAATGTACAGGTAGTCATAGACTTACGACGACAATTGAGCCCAAAATTTCTGTTGCTAAGCGAGACAGTTGCTAAGTGAGCTTTGCCCCCTTTTATGACCTTTCTTGCCAGAGTTGTTAAGTGAATCACTGCAGTTTGTTAAGTTAGTAACACTGTTGTAGTAAATCCGGCTTTTCCCATGGACTGTGCTTGTCAGAAGGTCAGAAAGGGGATCCCATGACCCCGGGACATGGCAACCGTTATAAATATGAGTCAGTTGCCAAGGGTCTGAATTTTAATCAGCTGACCATGAGGATGGTCATAAGTGTGAAAAATGGTCATAAGACATTTTTGTGTGTGCAGTTGCTATTTTCAACTGTCATTAAGTGAATGGCTGTAAACCCAGGACTACAGTGCTAAATTAAAAGTTGAATGTAAGAGTCTTTTGTATCCTTGGAGAAAGAGTTTGGAAGTCATTCTTTGTATATATTTTTGTTTTCCTTTCTTTTGATGTATATCTTTCTGCACCTCCGTCTCTCTCTCTCTTTTTCCTCTTAATCTTTATCTGGTTTTTTGATTTTTAGTTGCGTTCGTTTCTTTGTGTTCGTTTTGTAAAAGTTAATAAAACTGTGATGAAAAAAACAGGATGACACCTTACATAGATTATGGGTGGTGTTTTTTAAAGGAGTCTCTGATATATATATATAGCGGGTGTTTGTATGTAGGTCTTTGGTTATTCGGGTTTTCTTCCGCGTAAAATTCGGGTTTTCTCCCGCGTAAAATTGGAGGTGTCTTGGCAACGTTTCGACGAAGTCTCATTCGTCATCTTCAGGCTGGTGTTTTCGGCTTCGTGCTTCTAGGAGCAATGTGTGTGATCGCTCCTAGAAGCACGAAGCCGAAAACACCAGCCTGAAGATGACGAATGAGACTTCGTCGAAACGTTGCCAAGACACCTCCAATTTTATGCGGGAGAAAACCTGAATAACCAAAGACCTACACACACACACACACACACACACACACACACACACACACACACACACGTGTATGTGTATGTGTGTGTATTTTACAGGTGTCTCTGATTTCTCGAAATATATTTGGATCTAGTTAGATGGAGCTGTGTTTCCCTCCCTTTGGCACACACACCAAACGACAATGACAACTGTAACAACTTTCTTGCTTTCTCCTTTCACAGCATTTCCAGCAAGGAGCTGTCAGAACTGATTGAAAAGTTGCAGAAAAATGCTGACCAAGTGGAAAAGAACATTGTGGAAACGGACTCAAAAATGCAAAGCGTAAGTTGCGGGTTGTGCCCTGGGTTGTGAGTTATTGAAGTGTTAATTAAATTGTTTAGAACCAGCCTGGTAGGATTTGAATCAGATGGATTACTCTCTTACTGGGACAAAAAGGCTCGTTTTTGTATAGTGCAGATCTGCGTCTGTTGATGCCACCTGGCATTTCTATTCTTTTCTTTTATTCTTTTCCTCATGGATGTCAAGATTAATCCCAATTTCTAGGTTAAATGGAAGCTGAAAATTCTCCTCCTAACATTTGGTCCATTTTACTCTATGAGTAAAACTTGCTTTTCTGCTTTCTACTGTGATGTCTGGCATGTTGTGTTCTAAATGTTAATCCATATAATCATCCCTCCTCCTCCTCCTCCTCCTCCTCCTCCTCCTCCTCTCCTCCTCCTCCTCCTCCTCCTCCTCCTCCTCCTCTTCTTCTCCTTCTCCTCCTCCTCCTCTTCCACTTCCTCTTCCTCTTCTTCTTCTAATTCTAATTCTACTACTACTACTTCCTCCTCCTCCTCCTCCTCCTCCTCCTCCTCCTCCTCTCCTCCTTCTCTTTCTCCTTCTCTTCCTCCTCTTTTTCTCCTCTCCTCCTCCTCCTCCCCCCTTCTTCCTTCCTTCCTTCCTTCCTTCCTTCCTTCCTTCCTTCCTTCCTTCCTTCTTTCTTTCCTTCCTTCCTTTCTAGCTATCTGTAAATATTCATTTAAAACATAAAGAATTAAAAGCCCGCAAATGTTTAGTGATGCAACCCTTCTAGAAATGCTGGGTGTCCCTTCTGAAGGTAGCAACTCTTTTATTAGGAGAGCTTCTCCTTCAAAGACTCTGGTTCATGTTCCATTTTTTAAAGAATCCTCACATTGAGGGCAAGAGAATAGAATTGGATTGGATCTATAAAGGGTTTCCAGCATCTGTTTCTACCATGTCAGTTTCAGAACTGGGAGAAAAGTACAGAGAATAATTTTATGCAGTTTTAAATATTATGCGTTGCGATTGCAAATCGAGGACCGTAGGTCAAAAATATTTTGAAATTATTGAACTTTATCGTTGAGTCAAATGAATATACTTTGTCATTCCTTCTTCTTCATATGTGTGTGTGTACATGTATGTATATATGTGTGTGTGTGTGTTATATAATATATATATATATATATATATATATATATATATATATATATATATACACATACATACACACACACACATATATACATACATATATACACATATATAATATATACATATACCTCTGTTATCTTAATGACGGTGCCTATTTGTTGCTTTTAATTTCTTACTGAATTTTACCTTTACCCTCTTTTCTTTTGGTTTATCCACTCATACCATCTATTCCATACCTTAAAAATGTTTGAGTCTTCCTTATCTTTTAGTTTCAGTGTTAATTTATCCATTTCTGCACATATATAAATTTTTTAATATGTCTATATACATGTATCTAAAGATTTATATATATTTAGTTTGTATGTTGTGAAACTGTATTGTCTTATGTAATTTATGGTTGTGAATATTTTGTATAGTTTTTATTTTTTTTAACTTCAATAAAGTTTGTTTTTTAAACCAATATATATAATATTGGTTTATTATATATATATAATATAATATAATATAATATAATATAATATAATATAATATAATATAATATAATATAATATAATATAATATAATATAATATAATATAATATAATATATATACCAATATATATATATTGGTATATGTAATATATGTATATATTATATACATATACATAATATATATGTGTGTATATATAATGTGTGTGTGTGTGTGTGTGTGTGTATAAAATTTATATTTGGCTGATAAAGAACTAAAGGGAGACTAGTATTGATCTATTTCAAGCTATTTAGCTCTCATCAGCTAGCCATACCCTTACTCGGATTCAAACTTGGGTTGCCTGCATATTAGGCATTTGTATTAACCTCTGAGCCACAAGTTCTCTTCCCTTCATCAGTTTGAGCCAGAGGAGAGATTAAGTGTTTTTCTATCGAGACACCTGGTCTACCCCAACATGTGGGAGGGAGTATTCTGCTTCCCTTTCGTCGTTCCGCTCCATAAACCTAAAAAAATTCAATCTCTACATGAACAGTGTGTTGTCTGGATACAGTTAATTTTGAGAAATAGTAATATTAATAATATTACTATTACTAATAATAGTAATATTAATAATTACTAATTACTAATAGTAATTAGTAATTATTATTACTAGTAATAATAATATTACTAATATTATTAATAATAATATTAATAATATTCATAACTTTGATATTTGTGACACATTTTTAAATGTTCAGCTGACTGACTTTCATGTTTAATGAATAAAACAGATAATAATAATAATATTTGCTTATCCATTTTAATAAACCTTCCTTATATAATTAATCATTCTCTTACGCTTTTAAATTTCTAACCTGTGTCATCCCATCTTCTAAGCACATGATAATGCTAGGATGTTATAAAAAAAACATAACAAAAAGCGTTTTAATGAAGCTTTGTTCTCACGGCTTTTCTAACAACTTATTGGTTTCTAGGACCTGTACAAACTTAAGGCTGGGAAGCCCACACAATACCAGGAACTCACTGCAGATAAGTTGATTGAATCTGACAAACTGCTTTATGTTCTGGATGGAGATGCAGCCATCGCTCGCCACATGAAACACCCCCAGGGAGACATGATCACGGAAGAGTAAGTCTGGAGTGATAGCCCAAGGGTCACATTGACCACGAGACCTGTGTTACATTTTTTGTCACGTGGTTCGGTATTCCCTTCCAGTTTCAAAAAAATTCACAAGGACCAACCCGTGATTTGATTTTTTTAAAAAATGCTTAATTTGAGATGCACGTTGATATTATTCTCCAAGAGGAATCATGATGAAAGTCTGGAGCTCCTTCATGGAGTTCCTTTTGGGTTGAGCCCAATTCCTGATGACTTCATGGAAAGTTTCGCTATTATAATGGAACCCTTTGGCACAGCTTTCTTATAGGGTTTGTTTTGTTTGGTTTAACACATTGCCCCGGTGTTCCATTTAAATACTTTATTTCGGGAGATAATTCAAAGTCAACTACAGTAGTGGCCAAAATTGTGGAAACCTTTTGGGAAAAGTGTGTATTTTCTAAAACGAGCTAATAACACCACTTGTTTTGGGAGTACCGTGTTTTCCCGAAAATAAGACCCTGTCTTATATTTTTTGAACCCCAAAATAAGCGCTTGGCCTTATTTTCGGGGAGGTCTTATTATTTTGGGGCACGTGGAGCAAGATGGGGCTCCTCTTGCCATCTTACCTGATTTCCAGCTCTGCATTTAAATATTTTCAGGGTGGGCTTATTTTTGGGGGGAGGCTTATTTTTAGCGCATTGGGCTTATTATCAGGGGATGTCTTATTTTCAGGGAAACAGAGTAGTACCATAAAATTATATATCAATGGAAAGATGATTTAATCAAGAATGTCATGCAATAACTTTTAGGAAAGAATTGCTATTAGAATAGCAGTTACAGTATAAAGAAGAAACTATTTAACTACTGGTTTACCCAAACGGGCCTGAACCGGCTGAATCCCATCACTGGTTATGCCCATTTATAAGATAGAAAATATAAATACCAGCTGGTGTTTTGCACCCTTTTCCTTCTAGGCAATTATTAGGACTGCTGTCCCGATCTAACAATGATTTCTACTGACGCTGCTATTTCTGTTGAGGGACCACACTTGGAATATTGCACCCAGTTTTGGTCACCACGATAGAAAAAAGATGTTGAGACTCTAGAAAGAGAAGAGCAGAGCAGAGAAGAGCAACCAAGATGATTAGGGGACTGGAGGCTCAAATATATAAAGAATGGTTGTTGGGATTGGGTATGTCTAGTCTAATGAAAATAAGGACTAGGGGAGATATGATAGCAGTGTTCCAGTATTTAAGGGACTGCCACAAAGAAAATGGGACCAACCTATTCTCCAAAGCCCCTGAAGAAGACCCAATGGATGGAAACTAATCAAAGAGAGAAGCAACCTAGAACTAAGGAGAACTTTTCTGACAGTGAGAACAATTAATCAGTGGAACAACTTGCCTCCAGAAGTTGTGAATGCTCCATCACTGGAGGTTTTTAACAAGAGATTGGACATCCATATGTTTGAAACTGTACAGGGTTTCTTGCTTGAGCAGGGGATTGGATTAGAAGACCTTCAGGATCCCTTCCAACTCTGTTATTCTGCGAAGCTCTTCTATCAGGGCCCATGGAAATTGAAGCTTCTGAAGGGGGCAAGTGAGGGAGAAGTCTCCAGTTTGGGCAAAATTCAGTATTACAATGGAGTGGGTGTAAGAAGTTTGAAATTCTTGTCCAAGTGTCATTGTAGGAGAAGGGGTGGCAGAACCTGGGGTTAGAGTCAAAGGAGGAAGCAGCCTAGAATCTCTATGTAGTCACAAATGGATTAAATCAAACTCCTCATGAATTCTGTTGACCCTTATCTAGCCAAACCAGGGCTAATTATTAATTGTGTAGAGTCCTGTGCATAGGCATGAGTAGTAGTAGTACATCAGTTTAACTGGACCTTCATGTATGGTCCTAATCTTTTGCGCCTGACAGTCATGGAAAAAAAACAGATGAGAATTCTTGGTTTTCTTTTCTTTTCTTTCTTTTCAGTATCCGGCAATTAAAGGAAAGAGTCAACAACTTGCGAGGGAAACATGATCAGATTTACAATTTCACCCCACATGAAGTTGAACCCGAGGTCAACTGGTCCTCAACAATTGAAGAGAAGCAGGTAGGCCTTCTCCGAATCAGGAAATATTGATGTGCTTTTCTTTGGTTGCCTCCCTTTGTTTTGAGACATGGGCTGGGAGCAGGGGTGAAATGCTACCGGTTCACACTGGTTCAGGTGAATCGGTAGTTTAAAAATGCTACCGGTTCATATGAACTGGTATTTCCGACGATCAGCTGTGCCGCACGATTTATATTCACTAGAAAGCAAGAAATTCTGCTTTCTAGTGAATCTAAATTGCGCGGCATAGCTGATCTCTACTTACCTTCTTAAGCCTCCTTTTTCTGTGTGAAGCGTGCATTTGGTGCGCACTGTGCATGCGTGCACATGCAGAGTACATTTGGCATGCACTGTGCATGCGTGTGCAGTGTGCATTTGGTGTGCACTGTATATTTATACATGCGTGCAGTGCGCATTTGGCACGCACCATGCAAACTAGTTTTTTGCAGCTCCTTGAAATGGTCTTCTGAAAATGGGTGGCAAATAGTCGTGACTCCTTCCCCGTTTTCAGCACTCATCATAACAAAGGTGTAAGAGTTGTGGAGCAGCGGAGAACATAGCTTCTATCATTTTCAAAATTGCAGCAGCCTTTGTATGGACCACTGGGGGGGGGGCACTTTCTGTTAAGTCCTTCTCCCAAGGCTTCTCGTTTATTTTTTAATAGAAATCATAATCAGTAGATCCAACCATACTTGTATAGTGGAATGTAGTCTGGGGTGGCAGGAGGGAGGGGCTCCTTGCCAGAGGGTGAAGAGACAGCAGAGCTTGGAATGTCTGGTAGGCAGGAAGAGAGCAAGGTTGGATTGGACCCTCCCTAGCAGTTCAGAGAGCATATCTAATAGTTATACAGATAATTGCAGATATTTGCTTTAGTCTGAATCTTTAGATTCTGTCTGTAGGCAAATTACTCAGAAGCAACTCCATGTGCTGTTCTTGATTCTATGGGCCTGACAATAGAATAGAATAGAATGGAATGGAGTGGAATGGAATGGAATGGAATGGACTGAACTAAAATAGAATGGAATGGAATGGAGTGGAGTGGAGTGGAGTGGAGTGGAATGGAATGGAATAGAATGGATTGAATTAGAAGAGAAGGGAAGAATAGAATAGAATAGAATAGAATAGAATAGAATAGAATAGAATAGAATAGAATAGAATTCTTTATTGGCCAAGTGTGATTGGACACACAAGGAATTTGTCTTTGGTGCACACGCTCTTGGTGTACATAAAAGAAAAGATACATTCGTCAAGAATCATAAGGAACAACACTTAATGATAGTCTTAGGCAACAAATAAGCAATCAAATCCTATCAGGAAACAGTCAATATAAAATTTAAGGATACCAGCAACAAGGTTACAGTCATACAGTCATAAGTGGGAGGAGATGGGTGATAAGGAAGGTTCTTCTGAGCATGAGATGCTACTGTTTTTGCTAAGTGGTACCTGGATTTTTTATGTGCCTGGGCCAGTGGTGGGATCCTACTGATTTAATAATCGGTTCGGTGATCGCACGCTTCATGCTATGCGTGCATACATGCACAATTGAACGAAAAATCACCTTCCGTGTTAGTGCTAGGGAATTAAAACAGCTGAGGCATGGTAATCCGCTCTGCCGCGCTAATCAGCTGTGAAGATATAGGTAAGTAAAGTGCAGGGGCCGGTGGGCAGGCCCAGCTGATAGTCGGAGCGAACCGGTTCACTTCCAGCTGATCGTCGGAACTACCGGTTTGCCCAAACCGGTCCAAACCAGTAGAATCCCACCCCTGGCCCAGGCTCCTGGGACTATGGGAAATGATGCCCTTATCCCCTTTCCTGTGCTTTTTTTCCCAAGGAAATCTTGAACAACAGAGGCTTTGGCACAGACCTGCCATCAGTCAACGGTCAGGTAGAAGAGCACAACATCTTCCACAATGAGGTGATGGCTATTGGACCGCATATCAACAAAGAAGGTGAAAAGGTATCCCTCCTGTTTCTTGGGTCTTTGATAAGATGGGGAGTGGAAGGGAAGCAACGCAGAATGTCTATGCTGCAAGAGAAATCCAGCAATGTGCAACTTTGGTGGCGCAGTGGTTAGAAGGCAGTATTGCAGGCAAACTCTGCCCACTGCCAGGAGTTCGATCCCAATTAGCTCAAGGTTGACTCAGCCTTCCATCCTTCCGAGATCAGTAAAATGAGGACCCAGATTGTTGGGGGCAATATATGGACATTGTAAACCGCCCAGAGAGTGCTGTAAAGCACTGTGGGGCGGTATATAAGTCTGAGTGCTGTTACTATTATGGGGAAGCTGTTCTCTGTTGAATGTGTGTCTGCAGTGCATCATCTGAAGGTACAGGAACCACTGCATTCAATAGTTTTCCCAAAGAGTGATTAAAACAAACTTTTCAGGCTTATTTAATTTCTGTGATTTTATATATATATTTGATTGATTGATTGATTGATTGATTGATTGACTGACTGATTCATTCATTCATTCATTCATCAATTCATTCATTCATCAATTCATTCATCAGTTCATTCATTCATTCATTCATTCATCAATTCATCCATCCATCCATTCATTCTATATGGCCGGCCATACAGCTAGTAAATGACTCTGACTGGCCATACAAATAATGCGTTTGAATAGAGATTCCAGAAGTGATATTTTATCTTCTCAACCTCAAATCCTCTTCTTTTCTACATTGGCGACCTGGTACTTTCTAGGGGTTTGAAATTTTATTTCCATCAGCCTTAACCAATAAGGAGGTAGTGACAAGGTTTGTGGGAATTGTAGTCCAAAAGACCTGGGCGGGGCCAAGTTCCTTTATCCCCCGGCTGCTGGTTATATTGCTGTCTTCTGCAACAGGCACCCCAGAGGTACCCTGTTTCCCCGAAAATAAGACATCCCCTGATAATAAGCCCAATCGGGGTTTGAACGCATGGCAATAAGGCCAAGCACTTATTTCAGGGTTCAAAAAAATATGACAGGGTCTTATTTTCGGGAAAACACGGTATTAAAAGTAAAAAATTCATAACGCCCACAGAGCTTTGAATACCTAAGTAGCTGTGGAAAACCTTGCAGGTTGTTGTGAAATGAGTGTGTATAATTGTCTCCTTGGAGAAACTTATTTAAAGATGTCACACCTGGGAAATAGATGGGATCAAGGTATAACTCATTATTAGCACATTTTTTATAAACATGTGATTATTCTCGAGCATTCCGTAGATGCTGCCTATCTGGTAGGCATGAAGGATCGGTGTAGAGCAGTGTTTCTCAATCTTGACCATGCTGGCTGGGGAATTCTGGGAGTTGAAGTCCACACATCTTAAAATGGCTGAGGTTGAGGTACACTGAGGTAGAGACTAAGGAACATGAAGATAAGGATTATTACCTAGGGTTGTGATGGTGAACCTATGGCATGCTTGCCCTCTCTGTGGGCACATGTGCCATCACCAGCTGTTCTTCTGGTTTCTGGAGTGCTGGTCAGCTGGTCTTTATAGGTGTTGGAGCGCTGGAAAATGGCCCAAACCAGACAATTCTTTGGGCCTTTTTCCAGGCAATTTTCCAGGCCAAAAACAGCCTGAAAAATGGCCTGAAAATCGGCCTGAAAATGGCTCCCAAAACGCCCCAAAATAGGCATGCATGCGCCAGTCAGCTGGTCTTTGGGTTTCCGGCAATCCGGCGCGGAGACACGCACACATGCACTCGCATGCACGCATGTTCCGGTTTAGGCACTCGGTGCCGAAAAGGTTCGCCATCACTGACCTAGGAGGTGAAAGGGGCTGAAACATTTTTTGAGTCTGGAATAACAAGATAACATTCAAAAGCAGCTCAGGCAGACAACTTCCTAATTCACGGGAGTATAAGCAGGCACGGAACAATCAGACATTCAAGGTTCTGTTTGTTCTAGCCAATCTTAGTTAAAGTAGTTCTACTTTTTCTGTGGAATTGTTTTCCTGGTTTGCTCTACATGAAGGAGCCAACAGTCATGTACGTTCATCTACTTGGCGGCCTCCTCCAGATACCTTAAGAGTTAAAATTCTAAGAAGTTCCTGTATACTCTAGGCAGGAATTTGGGGATTTATCACATCAACTGGGCACCTAACTATGGAGGCTGTAATAAAATGGCTGTCAGGGTTCCAAGTAACATACCCAGAGCCTGACTGAGGCCATTTTGAGACTTCAGTGCTGACACACTGAAGGAGAGGGAAGGGAAGGTGGGGAGTATACAGAGAGTTGGGGTGTTGTAGTCAAAACAAAATACTTTCTCTTGGGAACCAAGGAAATTCCTGCAGGTGCTTGGAAGGAGGGGACTAGCAACTGGGCAGAATTCTGATTGGACCATGTGACCAATTGTTTTGAGAAAGTGACAAACTTTTACTTTTAATTACTGTATTTTTCGGAGTATAAAACACACCTTTTCCCCCCCTAAAGGGGGGGAAATTTAGGTGCATCTTATACACAAAATGTAGCCCCGCCCACCCACTAGCCCCCACCCTTTGGTTTCTGCCTCGCAGCAGTTACCTCCTTGCAGCAAACAGCAAGAAAAAACAGCTCCTTTCACCTTCAGCACAGCCTAATTATCACAAGTTGATTGGATCGGCCTCCTGACTCTCAGCTGTTTTGCTCTCAGCTGTTTTGCGGGGGCCTCTGCTGCTTGCTACAAGGAGGTAAATTGCTGGAGCAGATTTTTTTTTTTCCTTGTGCGAATCAAGCTATGCTGAAAACGAAAATGAAAGTAAAGCAGGATGTTTGCTGTTTGCTGCAACAAGGCAAAATTGCTCAGAGGCAGATTTCTTTTTCTTTTTCCTCACCAAAAAAGGTAGGTGCATCTTATAGTCCGGTGCATCTTATACTCAGAAAAATACGGTACGTGAAAACCGTGGGAAGAATCAGAGTCGGTTTTCACCAGCCTGTGCCAATATGACATATTCAATAAACCTATTCTTTAAGGAAATTGCCTGGCTCAGAGTTTTGTTTGCTGTGGGTTATGTTACTTGGAATCCTGACATTAAACCAACTCTCCTTCAGTGGGTCAGCACTGAAGTCTCAAAATGGCCTCAGTCAGGCTCAGCTTCAGGATTGACAATGGCTAGATGCTTAACTGTGGTGCAATTACGATAAAAGTATGGCCTTGCTGGTCGATTTACTTTTGAGATTGGTCTTTTCTTTTTGTTTCCAGGAGTATACAAGTGAGCTTCAGATGAAGTACCAGAAACTACTGGTAAGACTTTCCCCCCCCCCCTAAACAGATTTGTGTAATTATGGTACATCTAAGCAAATCAGGGATGAAATAAAAAAAACATGCCTAGGGCAGAAGACATGGAGAAGAAGATGCATTGTTTAGTAACCGCCAAAGAATAACATTATTGGGAGAAAACAGTAGTGGGGTTGCTCCCGGTTCGCACCGGTTTGCAAGAACTGGTAGTAAAAATTTGCAGTAGTTCGGAGAACCAGTAATAACATTGGCTGGCCATGCCCCCGAACCGGTTCCCGGCCCGGTCACCGCTCGCTTACCCCGCCCACCTCATTAGAAGTTTTTTTTTTTTAACTTTTAAAAGCATTTTTTCTACAACCTCTTCGGCTGAAAAAATGCTTTTAAAAGTAGAAACAAAAAGCCTCTGATGATCGCACGGCTCAGCTGTAATCATCAGAGGCTTTTAAAAGCATTTTTTCTACAACCTCTTCAGCCGAAGAGATTATAGGAAAAAAAATGCCTTTAAAAGCCTCTGGCGATCCTAGCTGAGTTGCCTGATCGCCAGAGGCTTTTAAAAGCATTTTTTAATGCAACCTCTTCGGCCTACTCACATCTGGAATATAAAAAATAAAACTTAACAGTGTTGATCATGGGATTTGGCAGTTCAGATTCTTGTATTCTTCTGGGGCAGGGGTGTCAAACTCAAGGCCTGGGGGCCGGATCCAGCCCACAGGATGTTTAGATCTGGCCCGTGGGGCTGCCCTGGAAGCAAAGGACTGGCCTGCATTGCCTCTGCCAGCAAAAACGGAGGCTGGGAGGGCCACACACGGCCCTCGCAAAGTCCGTTTTCACTGGCGCAGGGCTGCAGGAGGCCGTTGCAGGCGAAAACGGAGCTTGGGAGCCCGTTTTCACTGGCAGAGCACTCGGGCCCCCACAGGTGCCCCGACATAAGTGACATTGAACTGGTCACGCCAGTGGTGTGTTGCCCCTGGTTCGGTCCGGTTCTTGCAAACTGGTAGTGAAACCGGCGGGAGGCTCCGCCCGTACGCCTGGACGTCACTATGGACAATCTGCGCATGCGCAGAAGCGAACCGGTAGTAAAGGTAAGGAGAACCCACTCCTGGGCCACGCCTACCCTGGCCACGCCCCCTCTGCCCCCCCCCCAGGTCAAACACAACCCTGATGTGGCTCTCGTGAAGTCGAGTTTGACACCCCTGTTCTAGGTAATAGAGTAAATGAGAAGAATGACAACAATGGGCCATAAGATAACTTTCTGCAACCGTGTTTTGTTTTATTTTATTTCGAATTTATATACCACACCTTCTCCCAAGGGACTCAGGGTGGTGTACAGCCAGATAAAAACATACAATACAAACATTAAACAACAATTAAAAGAATATATATTAATTTGGCCCCAGTTTAAAATGACAAACCAATTAAAAATTAAAAATATTTAAAAATATGTTAAGCCAGCCCGGCTTGCTGGAAAAAGAAAGTTTTAAGGGCACGGCGGAAGGCACCGAGGTCTTGGATTCTCCTTATCTCTGGGGGCAGCTGGTTCCATAGGGTAGGTGCCCCCACAGAGAAGGCCGTCTCCCTGGGGGTCACCAGCCTACATTGTTTGGCTGATGGCACCCCGAGGAGGCCCTCTCTGTGGGAGCGCACCGGTCGGTGGGAGGTTGTCGGTAGTAGCAGGCGGTCTTGAAGATAACTAGGTCCTATGCCATGGAGAGCTTTAAAGGTGGTAACCAACACCTTGAAGCGCACCCGGAAGACCACTGGGAGCCAGTGCAGCTTGCGCAGGAGCGGTGTTATGTGGGAGCACCAGGCAGCTCTCGTAATTACCCGCGCGGCCGCATTCTGGACCAGTTGGAGCCTCTGGGTGCTCTTCAAGGGGAGTGTAATTTTCAGAATTCTCAGATTTGGAGTCCATCGTATCAAAACTGGTGAGATACTAGTGAGGAGAAGGTTGCCATAAAACCTTCTGCATGGAGCAGAGACTTTAAGCATACGGTGAAAATAATTCAGGCTTTGTTGAATGTAGGATATATAGCCAATAAGGATCAGCCAAGAAAGTTTGACCCAAAGCCATTTTAGGAAGCTATTCACTTATGGGAGAAGACCCAGAAGTGCTTTTCCAAAAGTCAACTGGACTTTCTTGGTTTTTTTTTTTCCTTGAAAATGTTTTACTTCTCGTCCAAGAAGCTTCTTCAGTTCTGAACAATGGAAGAAGCTTCTTGGATGAGAAGCAAAACATTTTCAAAGAAAAGAAAAAACAAGAAAGTCTGGTTGCTTTTTGGAAAAGCATCTTTAGGACAATCGTGACCTGGATGATTGAGAATCTCTCACATCTGGAAGGCAGCAGATCATGCAGCTGCTCCAAGATACAAAGGAGGAATTGTTGTTATAGATTAACAAAGTTGGAAGGGACATTATAGGTCATCTAGTCCAACCCCCCCTACCCTACACCATTTCTGACAGATGACAGTCCGATCTTTTCTTGAAAGCTTCCAGTGATGAAGCTCCCACAACTTCTGAATGTTTATTGGGGAAGAATTATTATGTTATGCTTGCTGGATATTATTTTTTTATTGCAGTTCCTAATATGACCTCAGTTGGGGTGGGGGGACAGAGGGGTTTACATAAGTTGGACTCCTCAATAAGGAATCAGCTCTAAAATTCCTGGATTTTGCCTTCTGGAGAAAGAGATGGCTTGAAAACTGTATCAACTGGCTCATGGAGATTATAGGAGTTAGCTTTCAACTGAGACCAGAGGTCTACCTATTAGGAATAAACCCGGGGGGGGGGGATAAGGAAAATAGACTGGTACCTTTTTATTCATATTACCACTGCAGCTAGAATTGCATATGCGCAATTTTGGAAAGAGAAAGAAGTACCATGGGACCAGGTGATTATTAACAAAATTTTGTGGTGTGCAGAATGTGATAGACTAACATATATTCTTAAAGATAGACATGAATCAATATTTAATCAAAGCTGGGATAAATGGTATAAATGGATAGAAGTAAAAATGATACGAGGTAGGTGTTAGGAAATCATATAGCACAGATTTGAAAATAGTAAGCTAAATATATATAAGGTGATATTAGATACAAGAAGACTAATAAGTGCAAGATGAAATATGATAAATTTCATTGAAGCTATAGTATGATGATATGTAATGTTACTTAGGAACTGTATATATATGGGAGTTGAATCAACCTCAAATGTATATATGTAATTTTGTTTTGTTATTGTCCTCTTTCTGTCTTTTGTTTTTAGTTTAAATTAAAAAAAAACTGTATCAAAAAAGCACTTTTTTTTCCTGGAGCTGTTTTTCCCACCCCATCTTTCAAACCTTGGCCAAACGCTTTTTCTGCTTGCAGTCGGAATCCCAACGAAGGCAGGAGAACCTGAATTTATTGCAAGATTTTATGCAGCGCTGCACCAATAAGCTCTACTGGCTAGATCAGCAGGCTAAAGACAGGTTGCAGTTTGACTGGAGTGACCAAAACCTCGATTACCTGAGCCGCCGTCGCCAGTATGAAGTGAGTCTTATTCCTGACAACCTCTTTCTCCTAAAAAAAAAAAAAGCACAGGAGGACAGTTAGATGTCGAACGTTGAAGTCTGCAGAAAAATAACTCTGGATAATAATTGGAACATAAGTTGAATATTTAAGAGGCAGATAGGGCTTTTTCTTCCAGCTGTTAGAGGCAAGGAGGCTCAAGCAATTCAGTTATATATATTTCAAATTAAATTGCATGTTAGGCTTGCAAATGCCACTGTAACTTTGAATGGTCGCTAAAATAAAATAGAATATAATAGAATTGAGTAGACTAGACTAGACCAGACTAGACTAGACTAGACTAGAGTAGAACCCATAAAGTAGAACCCATAAACGCTCATGAGATAACCTTAAAATATTTTTGTTAGGTATAATACCAGAAATTTATAATAAATAATAGAATAGAATAGAATAGAATAGAATAGAATAGAATAGAATAGAATCTGGAAGTGACCTCGGAGGTCTTCTAGTCCAGCCCGCTGCTCAATCAGGAGAACCTATACCATTTCAGACAAGTGGCTGTCTAGTCTCTTCTTAAAAACCTCCAGTGATGGAGCGCCCACGATTTCTGGTGGAAAGCTGTTCCACTGGTTAATTGTCCTTCCTGTTAGGAAGTTTCTCCTTAATTCCAGGTTGCTTCACCATTGTTTCTTGCCCTGCCCTCCGGTGCTTTGGAGAATAATATGACCCCCTCCTCTTTGTGGCAGCCCCTCAAAAGGATGGTTGTAAACCAAGAAGGATTAGCTGTACGCTTTGGTGCAGATGAAATTCAATGATGAAGGAAGCTGACGGGAACTTCCATCTGAAAGTTTTCAAAGCATTGAGCAAACAGAGCTTACTGTAACGAGCTTTCTAGAAAGAGATTCTGTATAGGGCAGTGATGGCTAACCTTTTTGCCATCACATGCCAGGAAGGGGGGGCGGGGGAGGGTCGCACACGTGCATGCCCACACCTATAATTCTATGCACCCCGCCCTGTGCATGCACATGCGACCACCCCCCTACCCGCTCCTGGCACGTGATGGACCAGTTGGCCTGTTTTTCTTTCTCACCTGGCTCCAAATCCTCTCTATGCATCTGGGGAGGGCGAAAACAGCCTTCCCCACCCCCTCGGAGGCCCAAAACGGCCCGTTTCCCAACTTCCAGTTGGACAGGAAGTGACCTTTTTTGCTGTCCCCAGCCTCCAGAGACTCCTAGAGACTCCAGAAGGCCCGAAAATCAGCTGGCCAGTGCACGCATGCGCGCTGGAGCTGAGCTGGCGTGCCAGGCAACATGGCTCCACATGCCACCTGTGGCACACGTGCCATAGGTTCGCCATCACGGGTATAGGGAATTCCAGTGAAACCCGATCCATGTTATTTGATTGAAGATGGCTTTCCTTCAACGATGGATGTCCCAAAGGGAACAGTGGCTATTCTGTGGTCTAGGAAATTCACCTGCATACATGTCCCAAAAGTGCTTTCCCAAAAGGCAAGTGGGATTTCTCGTTTCTTTTCCTTGAAAACACTTTGCTTCTCATCTAAGATGAAATCCGAGGTAAAGAAGTGAACTGAACTGAAGCAAAACATTTTCAAGGAAAAAAAAACCCCAAGAAAGTCCACTTGCCTTTCGGAAAAGCATCTTTGGGACAACTGTGACCTGGATGATTGAGGATCTCCATAGACAATCTGCATAAATGTTCTTTTTTTCTCTCTCTCATCCCCTCCCTTTAATTCAGCTTGGAAGTAGACCAAGCCACCTGCAACTGGAGTGATTCCATTCTGCTTCTCTGTTTCCTTATTCCTTCCCCTTTCCTTAGAATTTCATCAATAGGAAATTGGAAGACAAGGAGGCGGCCATCAACAAACTGCACGAAGATGGCAATAAACTTCTGTCTGACAATCATCCTGGGAAGATCGCCATTGAGGTAAGTTTGATTTGAAGATGGCACATTAGAAAAGTTAGCTCACTCAGATTAACAGAGTTGGAAGGGACCTTGTAGGTCATCCAGTCCAACCCCCTGCCTAAGCACCATTTCTGACAGAAGGAAGTCCAGTCTCTTCTTGAAAGCCTCCAGTGATGAAGCTCCCACAACTTCCGAAGGCAACTTCTGTGCCACTGGTTGATTGCTCTCACTGTCAGAAAATTTCTCCTTATTTCCAGTTTGAACCTCTCCTTGTTCAGTTTCCATCCATTATTCCTTGTCTGGCCTTCGGGTGCTTTGGAAAACAGCTTGGTCCCCTTCCTCCTCTCTGTGGCAGCCCCTCAGATAGTGGAAGACTGCTATCATGTCTCCCGTAGTCCTTCTCTTCACCAGATTAGCCATGCCCAGTTCCTGCAACCGTTCTTCCTATGTTTTAGTCTCCAGACCCCTAATCATCCTGGTTGCTCTTCTCTGCACTCTTTCTAGAGTCTCAACATCTTTTTTCTAGTGTGGTGACCAAAACTGGATGCAGTACTCTACGTGTGATCTTACTAAAGCTTTGTAGAGTGGTATTAATACCTCACTTGATCTTGATTGTATCCCTCTGTTAGTGCAATTTAGGATTGCACTGGCTTTTTTGGCTGCCACTGCAGTCAAGTTGTTTCAATGTAGGTGGGTTCTTATTGTCTCCCAGTTCCTGTCTTATTTTGGGGGCATTGATGATTATTGTCCTGAGGTCCACTCTCCATTCATCCGCAGGCTCACATTGAGGCCGTCCATGCTGACTGGAAAGAATATCTCAACCTGCTCATCTGTGAGGAGAGCCACCTGAAGTTCATGGAGGACTATCATCAGGTACCGCTTTGAAGCCAAGGATTTATCAGGGAAATTTGCAGCAAGATTGTACCTCTTTCCGGAGGGGTGGGGGGGGGTGTCTACCAAAACCGACTAGGCTGGGAGTTGACTCTAAAACAAGAGCGGTATCTTCTAACTTTCCTGAAGACAAGAAGCCAGTTTTAGGAAACATACCTGATGGCATCGGCTCCCAGGACTTCAACTTTTTCAGGCTAAAATGAACTGTTCAGGCTAACCTGAACAGAGGAATGAGGGGTACTCTTCAAAAATGGATGAATGAGGCAAGGATAAGAAACAGGGATGGGCTTCAAAACTTTTAGCAAGGGGTTCTCTGCCCGGTTGCTGGGTGGGCGTGGCCATGGTGGGCGTGGCCTAGTCAGCCTCCTGTACCATGGTGGGGGAGTTGTTTTAGCCCTCCCCAAGCTCCGGAGGCTTTCGTCGAGCCTCTGGGAGGGTGAAAACAGCCTTCGGTGTCCAGAGGCCCTCTGGAGGCGGAAACGGGCCAGTTTCTGGCCTTCCCGAACTTCCGGTAGGCCTGTTTTTCACCCTCCTTGAGCCTCCGTGCATGACCTGCACTTACCTGCATCCAAAACAAGCCACGTGGGGACTCCTGGGAGGGGCAGGGAGGGGTGGGGTGGGGTGAGGTGGGCGGGGTCAGCCAGGAGTGGGATTTGGGGGTTCTCCGAACTGCACAGAATCTTAGCTAGAGGTTCTCCCGAACCACTGCGAACCAGCCCACCCCTGATAAGCTACGATTGGCTACATTAAAATGGACATAGGGCATGTAGTTCCTTTCCCCAGTCACACATTTAACAATTATCCTGTTGTATTTAGAATGACAGCTGGGGAAAACCTTTGGAAGATCAAGGTTTTGAGGCCTCCATCTGATCTTCCAATCACGATCTTCTTCCATTAGAAAAAGTGCATTTGGGTGCCTAGGTGCACACAGGGAGAACATTTCCAGGCGTGCCATCACTTTGGGGATATTCTTCCTACCCAGCAAAACCAAACCTGCTTTGTCTCCTTTGTAAGGGAGGGACAGGGAGGAGGCCAACTCCGATCCCGCTAGCAAACAAGCCTGACAGACAGTTTGTCTAGCGCAGCTTTGCATGAAGGTTGCCGAGGCTGGTCAGGTGGTGCAGCTGGACTTGTTCTCAGAGGAAACAGCTGAAAGAGCTGGTGGGAAAACAATCTTGTCAGACAAGTTCTTCTCCTAACCTCTCTTGGGCTGTCAGAGATGAAGCAAGCAACCCTCTGCATTTGGAAGCTGGTTTAGCAGAAGACCTTCCTGGTCCATAAAAATGTCTGCGCTAGTCTCAAGAATTCATTCGGTCCATTTTGTTCCCAGGACTGGGTTTCCCGTTGGGCAACCGGTCCTCAACGTTGTCGTCTCTCTGTCCTTAGCCAGAGGAAGATGCCTCCTCCACGTTGTCTAAGAACAAAAGGCTCACCTGCAATCATGGGGACCGCTTTCAAGTCATGTTTTAATAGGCGAGGGCGTGGCTTCGCCCTGAGGCCAATCGTAGGAATGGCATGGCAAGACTTTGGAAGGCTTGCATAGAACTGAGATGGAATTTTTTAAATTTCTTTCACGGGGAGTGAAGGGAAGGGATAGCTGCACATGCTGATTGTTTAATGTAACTGAATTGTATTCAAAGGTGAGAGAGGGAGGGAAGAGAAGGAAGGAAGGAAGGAAAATCACAGGAGCATCCACAGGATGTACAGAAAAGAAAGAAGGAAGGAAGGAAGGAAGGAAGGAAGGAAGGAAGGAAGGAAGGAAGGAAGAAAGAAAGAAAGAAAGAAAGAAAGAAAGAAAGAAAGAAAGAAAGAAATCCCAAGAGCAACTACAGGGTGTATCAGTAAAGTCAATATGATGGTCTTGAGCAAAATTCTGCTAAGGAGCAAGGCTCCTCTTTTTGCTTTTTGCCGTCTTTCCTTCATTTCTCTTCCTTTTTCTTCCTTTCCCTCTTTTTTCTTTTTTTCTCCTCTCCCTCCCCTCCTTCCTTCCTTCCTTCCTTCCTCCCTCCCTCCCTCCCTCTCTCTCTTCCTCCCGTCTCCTCTTCCCTCCCCTCCCCTCTCTTTTCCGTCAATAACAGAATAATGGATAGGACCTTGGAGGTCTTCTCATCCAGCCTCACTGCTTGGCCATTTCAGGCAAATGGCTGTCCAATCTCTTCTTTAAAATCTCCAGTAATGGAGCACCCCTAACTTCTGAAGGCAACTTCTGTTCCACTGGTTGATTGTGCTGTCAGGGCATTTCTCCTTAGTTCTAGGTTGGATCTCTCCTTCCATCTCTTCTCTTCTCTTCTCTTCTCTTCTCTTCTCTTCTCTTCTCTTCTCTTCTCTTCTCTTCTCTTCTCTTCTCTTCTCTTCTCTTCTCTTCTCTCCTCTCCTCTCCTCTCCTCTCCTCTCCTCTCCTCTCCTCTCCTCCCTTCCCTTCCCTTCCCTTCTCTCCCATGTTTATCTGCCCTTCCCAGGTTTTCAGTGATGCTACCTTCTCACCTCTTCCCTCTCAAGAATGACTTGTGATCAGAAGGAAGGGAGGGTTTGACTTTTTCTTCTCTCTCCTTGCAGTTCCAAAAAGATGCCAAGGACGCGCAGGAACTTCTCAGAAAAGTGGACACAGATCTGGACCAGAAATATAGCCCAGATTTCAAAGACCGGTACCAGATCGAATCTTTGTTGCATGACCTGGAGGCAAGTATTTCGAAAGAGAATGTGAAGCTATTATTTTGACCAGCTTGGTTTAGTTGGAGGTCAGTGGGAGGAAGGAGAATATCTGGATTGCACATGGCGCCATCGTGCCTCAAAATTTTCTTTGTTGATCAAAACATAATATAAAATACAAAAATACAAAAGAAAATAATGAGAGAATAAGGGAGGGAGAAGGGGGAAAGTATAAGGTAGAGAGGAAAGAAAGAGAAAAGGCATTGGCTTCCAATTCCTTTTGGTGCAGTTGAATAAGGTAATAGCATGACATCAACTGTTTACTTTTATATAGTAACAAACACTAGCCATTTCTACACTAACAAACCTACCTAATCAGCAAAACCCCAAATCAATGTTTCATTTCACATGGCACCATCAAGTAGGGTGGTAACCCCTGGTGTATGTGGAGGGCGGGCAGGTGGAGCATAAAGCTACTATTGTCATCCGTCCCACTTAAGTTCATTAGCAAAGAAAGATTCCTGGCCATCATTTTCCCAGAGTATACTTCACTGAAAGCAAAACTTGGTTAGCAATGTAGCCAAGATGAATCTGCTGGTTTGGCGCACAAATAATACAATTAACTTTTCCTTTCTCCCTTGGCCAACCCTGTTATCAATCAATGTCCAATTAGAAGTTCTCATGTTGTTTAGGTCAAGGGGTCATCAACCTTTTGGATCTCAGGGACCACTAAATTCATAATTTTAAATCCCATGGACCACTAATATGATCTGCCTAATGACCGGCTGGGTGGGCATGGCAACGTGGTCATGTGGCTGGGTGGGCGTAGCCAATTCGATATCACTCATGTCGAGGGACGCCTCACGGGCCTCTACTTGCCCCTCCCCTCCCAGCCACTCCACTCCTTGCCTCCCCGCCCAGGCTCCTTAGGACCCCAACAGGAAGCAGTTGCTGGAGCTAAGCAGCCACCACGAGAAAGAGTTGGCAAAACAGCTCAGTTCAAATTGGATCTGACCGAGAAGGAGGCTCAGCAGAAGCACCTCATTGAGGACTATGAGCATAGGCTTTCCAAGCAGAAGGAAGACCTGCAAAAGTGCAAGGCCAGGTACCGGCACCTGGAGGCTCAGCGAGCTGAGATGGTCAGCCAGTTCCAGGCCATGATGCAGTCCCACTGGAACGAGGCCCTCCGGCTCTTCGCCACCAGTGGCCCTTCCCTCCAGCCTTCGCCCAAAGCCCCACACCAGGAGGCTGAAGCAGATCCCAAGTCGGAATTTCTGCCCCCCTCTGACCCACACAAAAAGACTCCGAAGGGGAGACTCTCTGCAGCAACACACACTTTCATTGCACGTATCCAGCCCAGGTTCTGCAGACCACCAAATTTTTTTCACGGACCACCAGTTGGTGACCGCTGGTTTAGGTACCGGACCCTCGGTCAGCGCCTTCTCCATCTCAGCATTCCTTTGGGTGACCTGGGGCTGGATTGGTGCATCTCATTGTTCAGGCTTCCCTTGTCCTCCCCATTCCAACCTCTCTCCCACCCCCCACCCCACCGTTGCTAATGTCAGCCTGACAGGATGCGATGCGAAGCTAGCAGAACGGCAGCCATGGCAACTATCACAGCAAGCCATGAACTACGCGCTCCCCACATTGGTTCTGATTTACCGACCTACTTATCGTATATAAATATGGTAAATAAATAAAATAAATAGGTACGCATTGAGCAGAATCCATGTGGAAAAAGTGGAGTGAAACAATAACCGTTTGAGGGGAGTGGTTCTGCTCCATGGGTTCCAAGCCACCAAGAATCTACATGATACGTTGAATTATGATTTGTCTAGTGTGCAAGCCATTTTTGAATCCATCCTTTTTTATTATTATTATTCTGGAAGATTTGAATCATCCTAATCAAGTTATGCAGAAATCAAGACATCACTCCATTCAATTTGTCCCTCCAGCAACTAGGTCAAGGAAAATTTGCTACCCTGCTTGAGAGAAATGTCTTCTCTGAAGTTGAGTCTAAGTCACTATCTCCCGGTTATTGGATATACTCAGACTTAAGCACTACAACACACTCGGGGGTGGACTTCAAAAATTTTAGGAAGGGGTTATCGGCCCGGTTGCTGGGTGGGCGTGGCCATGGTGGGTGTGGCCTAGTCGGCCTCCTGCACCATGGCGGGGAGGAACGTTTTTGTTCTCCCCGGGCTCCTGAGCTTTTCTTGAGCCTCCGGGAGGGCAAAAACGGCCTCCCCAGGCTCCGGAGGCCCGTTTTTCACCCTCCCTGAGCCTCCGCGCGTGCCCTGCACTTACCTGCATCCAAAATGGGCTGCGTGGGGACTCCCGGGAGGGGCGGGGTGGGCAGGGCAGGGCCAGGCACGAGTGGGTTCTCCAAACTGCACAGAATCTTAGCTAGAGGTTCTCCCGAACCCCTGCAAACCCCCAGCAGCCCACCCCTGAACACACTCCTCTTTGACCAATGTAAAAATGGTCCATGCTGGACCAAGGTGTGATGGCCTTGTGGTCCAAGCTATCACAAAGAAGATGGTCAAAACAGGTTCTTCCTTTGCTCTAGAACCCAACAATGGATAGAAGTTACAAGAGAGCAGAGTCTGACTTCATGATGGGTCTTCCTAAGAGGAAGAACAGTCGGACAATGGATTTTTTTCCCCCAACAAGATGATATCACTATCACTAGAAGATGGAACTCCATTGGTTGAGGTTGCTTGGCTTAGATTCCTGCTTTAAGCAAACTGTGGGAGCTTCCAATTTTAGGATTTGGGGATCTCGAGGGCAAATCCAGCTTGGATTTATCATTAATTTTCATTTTTAATTCTTATAATTATAATAATTATTGCATTATGTTCATTTATTAGTTCTGATTTTATGGTACATACATATTGAGATGCCTAGAATTGCTGGCCTAAAATTGGAGAGATTTTTCTGAGATGAACCATACACACTTTTTAATCTCCTTTCTTGGTGGACCCATTCTGGAGATCCTCAGCAAAGTACAACCCCTTCTACTTTGTTCACAAAAGGTGTGGCAAGCAGACAAAACCTCACAATGCCTCCCACCAACTTCCTATCAATCATAGTCGTGTGACAAATGCAGGGAATAATTATCTTCTTCCCACTTTGCTTTTCAGCAGAAATTGTGATCTATGGAGAGATCTGCCTGATAGGCAAATTCCTTGGGCTCTTCCCAATGACTTCTGCTGAGATGTGCTTGAGGGAGCTGCAATGGCTTTAGTTCCCACACAGTGCTGAGTCCTGATGGAGGGCTGTCACCATCAGGGAAGCAGAAAAGAAAGGAACCACATTGTACCAGATCAACCACAAATTATAATAATGGATATAATATGAAATTATACCTCAGCATTCTGGGTCAACCTGTCTGGCCCTGGTGTTCTTCCTGGCCTAAATTATAGGAAGGAAGTTGGAGTAGGCAGAAGTGGAGTTTACTTTGGAACTCATTTAGTTCTAGGGGACACAGGTGGTTTAGGGGTTAAGATGTTGGGTTGTTGACTGGAAGGTTGGCAGTTCAAGACCCAAGCACCATTGATGGGGTGAGCTCCCGTCCTTGCCCCAGCTCCTGCCAATCTAGCATTTAAAAGCATGAAATGCAAGTAGATAAACAGGTATCAGTTTGGTGGGAAAGTAACAGCGTTCGCTGCACCATTGGCGAATAATCATGCTGGTCTCATGACCACCAGAGTCTTTGGACAATGCTGGCTCTCTTGGCTAGGAAACAGAGATAAGCACTGCCCCCTAGAGTCAGATATGACAGGGGAAATATTTACCTTTAGCAATAGCAATAGCACTTAGACTTATATACCGCTTCACAGTGCTTTACAGCCCTCTCTATGCGATTTACAAGGGACGCAGTGTCTCAGTAGCTAAGACGCTGAGCTTGCTGATTGAAAGGTCGGCAGTTCAGTGGTTCGAATCCCTAGTACCGCGTAACAGGGTGAGCTCCCGTCATTTGTCCCAGCTTCTGCCAACCTAGCAGTTCAAAAGCAGGTAAAAAAATGAAAGTAGGAAAATAGGGACCACCTTTGGTGGGAAAGTCACAGCATTCCGTGCGCCTTTGGCATTGAGTCATGCCAGCCACATGACCACAGAGATGTCTTCGGACAGCGCTGACTCTTCGCCTTTGAAACAGAGATGAGCACCGCCCCCTAGAGTCAGGAACGGCTAGCACAGATGTGCGATGGGAACCTTTACCTTTACTAGCAGTTTATAGACTCAGCCTCTTGCTCCCCCAACAATCTGGGCCCTAGTTTTACCCACCTCAGAAGGATGGAAAGCTGGGTCAACCTTGAGCCTGGTGAGATTTGTACTGCCAAATTGCAGGCAGCCGGCAGTCAGCAGAAGTAGCCTGCAGTACTGTGCCACCGCAGCTCATTTAATTCTAGTTCTGAAGTCCTTGGCTTCAGAATGATTTAATTCTACGATAAATCATTTGCATCAACTTGTTTGGTGGGTCTTCGAACTGGATAGGTCAGTAGATTGCACAACCATGGCATCTCCCCACTCCTGGGGTCAAAAGTCTACATAAAGTTTGGGCATGGGTCAAACCAAGCTTGGATGTGTCACTATCTCTGCCTTGCTCTAGTTGTTCCATCTCAATCTTTCCCTTCCTGGCGACTCTAGAATCTTTGCTTTCTTCTCCTTTAGGACCAGGAGAAGGCCTTGGACAAGTATGAGGATGTGGTGAGCTCCTTACAAAAGCGTAGTCAGCAGGTTCTTCCACTGAAGTATCGACGAGAACCCCCGCTTAAATCTATCCCCGTGGAGGCCCTCTGTGACTATGAAAATGAGCAGGTAAAAAAAGACTCCGGTCCTCTGGCTTTACACACCTGCAATAGGACATGCCTTGTAAACGCCTCAGTGATTGATTCTGGAGATTGATTGCCACTGGAGATTGATTGGCATCATCGACACTTTGTCAAAGAGCTTACAGCATCACATTGAGCAGTTTGCTCATGTCACCAGTTACCGTATTTTTCGGAGTATAAGACACACTTTTTTCCCCTCCTAAAAGAGGCTGAAAATTTAGGTGTGCCTTATACTCCGAATGTAGCTTTTTTAAAGCTTTTTTCCAGCCCTAAAGAGGCGCTAGCCATGCTAGCGAGTGAAGCGATCTCCGTGCTAAGCTTTTTTTTCAGTGTAGCGATCTTCCGGGCTTTGTCTGCTCCCTCCAACTCTCAGCTGTGACACTTTTTTTCAGCCCTAAGGAGGCGCTGGCGAGTGAGGCGATCTCCATGGTTTGCCTGCTTTTCTCATTGCTTCTCTCTCCAAAGATCAGTTGTGCTTTAGAAGCTGTTTTTTTATCCCCAAGCAGGGGCTAAAAAACAGCAAACTAATGTGCTGAAGCTGACCAGACTAAGGACGCTAGCCAGATGAATACCTGGTAGGCAGATTTCCCCCCCCCCCTATTTTCTTCCCCAAAAACTAAGCTGCGTCTTATACTCCGAAAAATACGGTATGTTGTCAGATGCTGCATTAACTGGACTGCCTAACTCCTGCTAGTTAAAAGGTGATGGAAATTGTGGTCTATCACATTTGAAGCACCACTGGTTGTCTTTAGGTTCATTAGGGTTCTTCTTTTCACTATTTTTGCCATACGTTCCTTAAACCATTCATAATTCGGTGGTTTTTTAAAAATTTAAATCCCTGCATAATGTGATTAGAAAAATGACCTGTCCGATAAATGCATTTGCTTTGCAACTAGACTGTCCGTTATTTGATGGACTGTATTTTTATAGTGCTGGATGCAGATTGCCAGGCTGCAGTGGAATGCAAAGATAATCTGGACAGCTTTCAAGTTTCTGTTATTATAAGCCCGGGATGGCGAACCTATAGCACACATGCCAGAGGTGGCATACAGAGCCCTCTCTATTGGCATGTGCACCATCGCCCCAGGTCAGATCTCCGTGGCATTTCTTTCATGAGCTTCTGTTTCCTTGCAAAAGACAAAACAGAAGCTCACGAAAGAAAAAGATCTTACCTCTTGCCGCACTGCTGGTGTTGGCATGCCCCGCCTCCCACTGGCCAGCTGGTCTTCAGGTCTCTGCTATGCATGCCCATGCATGCCCATGTCCGCGCACGCACGCATTTGCGCATACACTTTTAAGTTTGGACATGTACATGCACTGAGTTTGGGCACTCGGTGTCTAAAAGGTTCGCCATCACTGTTATAAGCAATACCCAAAATGTAGAATTCTAGTGTTTCTTTTGTCTGTTTCTTGTGCTGTCTTGTTTCCTACCTCAACGGGATGATGTCAGTCTTGAAAGCCTGACAGTATTTCCCTCTCTTGTAACACAGAGACTCAAGGTCCTGCAACCTTGAGTTTCTTCCTCACCCGTTTCAGTCTTTCTGGGAAACGTCCATTATTTTCCTAATGGCTGGCCCATATCTTCTTCAAGGCTGTCTCCCTACTCTCTACTTATGCTGGAAAATTTTGCATGATTGAGGATAACAAGCACAAACCTTTCCCCTTCCTTGTTACAAAAAAGGGGAGGGGCTGTTGCAGGGGTGGGCTTCAAAAATTTTAGCAAGGGGTTCTCTGCCCAGTTGCCGGGTGGGTGTGGCCATGGTGGGCGTGGCCTAGTCAGCTTCCTTCCCGGCTCCCTAGGTTTTTCTCAAGCCTCTGGGAGGCCAAAAATGGCCTCCCCAGGCTCCGGAGGCCCTCTGGAGGCTGGAAAAGGGCTCGTTTCTGGCCTTCCTGATTTTCCGGTAGGCCCATTTTTCACCCTCCCCAAGCCTCCACACGCGCCCTGCCCTTACCTGCATCCAAATTGGGTTGCGTGGAGACTCCTGGGAGGGGTGGGGCAGGGTGGGCAGGGCCAGCCAGGAGTGGGATTTGGGGGTTCTCTGAATTGCATAGAATCTTAGCTAGAGGTTCTCCCGAACCCCTGCGAACTCACAGCAGCCCAACCCTGGGCTGTTATTTTGCAAAATCCTGAGTTAGGTTCTGTCCATACTCCAAAGGGGTGCAAGGATTGGGGACAGAGGGTGGGACCAGACCACAGACTGACGCATAAACCTTTCTATCTCAGTGTCAGATTTCACGTGGTGGCCGATACACTCTGCACAAGAACAACGAAGAGTACTGGGAAGTTAGCGACAGTGGAGGAAATCCAATCAAAGCTCCGGGGGTCTGTTTCATGATTCCTCCCACTGATCCTGAATCACTCACCGTGGTAGACAAGTAAGTATTTCCGGACCTAGCTTACATCCACCCAAGCCAAAGGTGAAGTGCCCGGATGATCTCCATGATGGTTGCCTCAAGGGCCTTCCCTCCTTCTCCCAAATTCTCGTGTTCTTTGCAAGCCCAGGAATGTCCTTCGTCAACCAGAGTCTTGTGTCTTCTTGTTCTGCAGCATTGCTAGCCACTATCAATGTGTGAAACAGAAGACTGGTTGCACAAAGAATCGTCTGGAGGATCGCTACAATAGCTTGAAGGCAGAGAGCATCGGAGGTGGGTAGATCGCAAGATGTCTAGGGAGACCGTGGGCCAGTGGTGAAATCTAAAATTTGTTACTACCGGTTCTGTGGGTGTGGCTTGGGGGGGGTAATATGACTGGGTGGGCATGGCCAATTTTTTTTTTTTTACTTTTAAAACCATTTTTTCTACAACCTCTTCGGGCAAGAGGTTGTAAAAAAATGCTTTCAAAAGGCTCTGACAATCCCAGCTGAGTTGCCTGATCAGCAGAGGCTTTTTTTCTTTTAAAAGCCTCTGTCCATCAGGCAACTCAGCTGGGATCATCAGAGGCTTTTAAAAGCATTTGAAGATCCCAGCTGAGCCGTGCGATCATCAGAGGCTTTTTTTTTTTACTTTTAAAAGTATTTTTTTGTCAGAAGAAGTTGTAGAAAAAAATGCTTTTAAATTTTTTTAAAAAAAGCCTCTGATGATTGTGTGGCTCAGCTGGGCATGGGGGGGGGGATTTTTGCTACTGGTTCTCCGAACCACCCGCCTCCATCGCTACCGGATCGAATGATCCGGTCTGAACCGGGAGCATTTCACCCTGCCGTGGGCCCCACGCACAAGGGAATCATGCACCCCATTCTTCTGCTGTTCTTTGTAAGAGAACTGTAAGTGAACCATGCAGTCGTTGAGCGACTCTGGTTTCCCCCATTGACTTTGCCTGCTGGAAACCGGTTGGGAAGGTCGAAAATGGGAATCCCATGATCACATGGGATCCTGCAAGTGATATAAATACATGCCACTTGCCAAGTAGCAATAGTAACAGCACTTAGACTTATATACAGCTTCACAGTGCTTTACAGCCCTCTCTAAGCAGTTTACAGAGTCAGCCTCTTGCCCCCAACAATCTGGGTCCTCATTTTACCCACCTCGGAAGGATGGAAGGCTGAGTCAACCTTGAGCCTGGTGAGATTCGAACTGCCAAATTGCAGGCAGCCGGTAGTCAGCAGAAGTAGTCTGTGGTAATGCAGGCTACTGCGCCACCACAGTATCCAACTGTGACAACGGTGGTGCTGCAATGATCAAGCATGCAAGGGCCAGTCACCAATCATTTCGACTCATTTTCTTTGACGGGTTGCTAATTGAATAGTTGTAAGTCAAGGACTGAAGGGACGCTGTGGCTCAGTGGCTAAGACGCTGAGCTTGTCGATCGAAAGGTTGGCAGTTCAGCAGTTCGAATCCCTAGTACCATGTGACGGGGTGAGCTCCCATTACTTGTCCCAGCTTCTGCCAACTTAGCAGTTCGAAAGCACGTAAAAAAATGCAAGTAGAAAAATAGGGACCACCTTTTGTCTTCGGACAGCGCTGCCTCTTCGGCTTTGAAACGGAGATGAGCACTGCCCCCAAGAGTCGGAAACGACTAGCACATTTGTGCAAGGGGAACCTTTACCTTTACCTTAAGTCAAGGACTATCTGTGCGATGAATCAAACCAGTGACCTCATGACATGTCAGCAGGCCTTGATGTTGAGAAGGGAGGCGTTCTCTGCCCCCTTTCCTTTCCATTGCTAACCCAAACTATCTTTCCCCCCCCCAAACTTCCCCAGATGCAGCATCTGTACAGGTACGGCAACTGTTGGCGGAGCTGGAGAAAGTGAACAGCGAACTGGATAAGCAGGAGAAGGCCATCACTGCAAACCTTCGTCCTCCTCTAGAGCAAAGCAGGGCGGTGCAAGATAGCGCAGAACGCTCCAAAGACCTTAAGGTAAAAAGCAGGCTGGGGTTGATGGGAGCTTCCCAACATTTGCCAGTGCTGGATCTGGGGTGGGGGAAAAAAGTTTTTGGAGCAAAACAAGACAGAGGGAGCTACCACAGAGAAGGCCTTTCTTCTGGGTCCCACCAGGTGTATCTCCCTCAGGGATGGGACCGCAGCATTCCCTGCTTCCCCGCTCTGATGGTTGAGTAGATGTGACCATCAAGAGACAGTCCCTCAGATCACGTGGTCCCAAGCCATGAAGGGCTTTAAAGGTGACAACCAGCACTTGGAACAGTGGTGGGTTGCTCCCAGTTCGCACCGGTTCACAAGAACCAGTAGTAAAAAATTGTAGTAGTTCGGAGAACCGGTAATAACATTGGCTGGCCACGCCCCCGAACCAATCCGCTTACCCCGCCCACCTCATCAGAGGCTTTTTTTTTTTTTACTTTTAAAAGCATTTTTTCTACAACCTCTTCGGCTGAAAAAAGGCTTTTAAAAGTAAAAAAAAAAGCCTCTGATGATCGCGTGGCTCAGCTGGGATCGTCAGAGGCTTTTAAAAGCATTTTTTCTACAATCTCTTTGGCCGAAGAGGCTGTAGGAAAAAAAAATGCTTTTAAAAGCCTCTGGCGATCCCAGCTGAGTTGCCTGATCGTCAGAGGCTTCTAAAAGCATTTTTTTCTGCAACCTCTTAAAGTTGTAGAAAAAATGCTTTTAAAAGTGTAAAAAAAAAAAAAAGTTGGCCATGCCCACCCAGTCACATTACCCCCCACCAAGCCACGCCCACAAAATAAGCCACACCCACAGAACTGATAGTAAAAAAAATTTAGAACCCACCCCCGACCCGGAAGCAAATCGGCAGCCAATGCAGCTCCTGCAGGAGAGGTGATACATGTGCACACGGTGAGTCTGCACAAAAGCGTGTGGGCCGCTGCATTTTGCATCAACCGGAGCTTCCAGATGCTCTTCAAGGGCAGCCCCACATAGAACACGGGATGCTGCCATGATCACTACCCATTTGCATAGCTCACCTTTTCCCCCTCCGAAACATCTCTGTAGAATGTCACCAATCAGATCCGTCGCATTGAGCCGGAGAAAACAAGCAAGATCCAGGAATGTGAAGCCTTCATCGAGTCGTTGCCGGAATCGAGCGGTACCACCTTGGTGAAAAGCAAAGTAGAGGAGACCAACAACAAGTACAATTGGGTCACCCAACTTCTTAACGCTGCTGAAGAGAAGTAAGTGCTTGTTCTCTCCTTGAGTTTTCTCCAAGACGAAGTCACCCGGTGCCTCACAATCCTGGTCTTTTCCAGTCCCTCTTTCTGGCCACATTGGCCAGCTGTCTTTTTGAGAACTTTGCAAGCAGCCTTTGGGCAGCATGTTGTGCTGTGGAGAGAAGATGCCACAGCTCGTCATGAGACCCTTTGTGTTGCACGCAGAAGGTCATAGTTCAAGGATGGGCTGCTGGGGGTTCGCAGGGGTTCGGGAGAACCTCTAGCTAAGATTCTGTGCGGTTCGGAGAACCCCCAAATCCCACTTCTGGCTGGCCCCGCCCACTCCGCCCCACCCTTCCCAGGTGTCCCCATGCGGCCCGTTTTGGATGCATGTAAGTGCAGGGTGCACGTGGAGGCTTGGGGAGGGCAAAAAACGGGCCTACCAGAAGTCCAGAGGGCCTCCAGAACCTGGGGAGGCCATTTTCACCCTCCTGGAGGCTTGAGGAAAGCCTCAGGAGCCCAGGGAGGGCAAAAGCGCCCTCCCCCGCCATGGTGCAGGAGGCCTACTAGGCCACGCCCACCATGGCCACGTCCACCCAGCAACCGGGCAGAGATCCCCTTGCTAATATTTTTGAAGTCCACCCCTGTCATAGTTCATCTTTGATATCTTTGGTTTGGGATGGAAAAACTTTAGCAGAGCTGCTTCTGCTCTACCATGGAGGGACCCGTCTTCTCCAATCTGGAAGATTCCAAATATGATAGGCTACAATTCAAATCTTTTCCATTCAAGAACTTTAGGAATGCAGTGGCTCGTGTCATTAGGACTCCAGGTTGGAGGCTAGCAAGACCCAAGTGGTGAGGCTGAGTTCCCGTTACTCGCTCCAGCTTCTTGACGGGGACATGAAAGAAGCCCCCAAGAGTTTTCCCCGGCAACGATGATGTCACCAGCTAATCTTTTCAACTTATATGGTGACTCCAACATGAATGGGACAGGATTCAAGACCCGGAGTCCAATACATCTAATGGGATAGTATGAGGGAAAGACCATGGGAGACTGGGCAAAGAAAGGCTGCTAAGTATGCAGTCAGATAAGAGCAGGGGTGAAATGCTCCCAGATTGGACTGGATCACCCGATCCGGTAGCGATCTTGGCCGGTGATCCGACAATCTGGTAGCGATGGCGGAGCAAAGCTCTGCCCACCCGCCCAGGTGTCATTACTTCCTGGTGTGTTTTTTACCTTCTGCGCATGCACAGAAAGTTTTGCACATGCGCAGAAGGTCTGCACATGCATGTGATGCGTATGCACGAGCAAAGACAGCACACATGCACGCTTCCGAACCGGTAAGGAAGGTAAGTAGATTTAACCCCTGGATAAGAGACAGCATAGCCTGTAGTTAGATAGTGGGCAGGGCAAGAGGCTCAGAAGAGACCTTCCCTAATTTCTCAGGCTGTAAAAGAGCGGGGGAAGAATTGTACTTTCAGACTTGCAAGAGTCTGTCATTGTAACTTTACAATAAAGTGGAGTTAGTTCATCTGGTTGTGCTTCCTATCTGATTTAACCTGTGAGGCCCACATTTGTACTTTCAGACTTCAGAATCAGAACCGTAGAATCACAGAATCTAGAGCTGGAAGGCTCTTCCAGCTCTTGATTCTTGCAATTCAAGCTCTTCTTGCAATTCAAGGCTCTAACTTGAACTAAAACTGTAAAACCCCAACCGATTCAAACATTAAAAAATAATAATAATAACAGAAACCTGGCGCTGAATCGAACTTCATTCTGGATCAGTTGAAGTTTCCGGCTAGTCTTCAAGGACAGCGGCATCGTAGAGAGCGCATTGCAGTAATCCTGACGAGAGGTGACCAAAGCATGAGTGACTGTGAACAAGGCCTCATTGTGTAGCCACCACAACCCTTGAAGGGTGAAACAAGCAGAGTAAGGTCACGAGGCTCCCTGTCTCTGCTTTGTTGAAATAGGCCGCACGTTGAGGCACCCGTTTCACCGAGGGATCCTTCTTCACCCATGCAGGACCTTGTTCAATCCCATCTCTCTGGTGGGAAGGATCTCATGCTTTGTAGTGGAAGATCCCAAGATAAACAACCTTGAACTAATGACAAAAGCGTCCTTGGGAACGCCCAGCTGTAACCCCAAAGCTTGTTGGTGCAAACATTATTTCCTTTAATAACATTTAATGCCTTTTATGTAATTGGTACTGAATTAGGTTAAGCTGCGGAAGGACAGCTGAGTTCTCAGCCCTGGGATACAGCAGAACTGAGTTAAATGCTAGTGAGGCTGGCACTGGTCTGGGTGGAAAAATGAGCAAGCTGGAAAGAAAAGCTCTTAAAGGGGAAGAAAGGGGGTGGGCGAACTGCCCCTTCGATCCCTGTTCTTCCTCTGCTGGAAATTTGGCCTAAGGCCACTACCTCAAATGAAAATAAATGTCCTTCCCAAGCATGATCGCTTTGAATTTTCACGAGGATTTCTAAGAGGAATGGAGGAACATCGCAGGAATTTCTGGAAGTCGATGCTTTAGAACCAAAATATATCTGAGTGAGGATTAACAGAACAGTATAACAAGAGTCAGAAGGGACCTTGGAGGTCTTCTAGTCCAGCACAAATAGGGGACTATATACCATCTTCCGGACAAGTGGTTGTCCAGACTCTTCTTAAAAGCCTCCAGATGGAGCATTCACAATTTCTGGAGGCAAGTCATTCCAATGATTAATTGTTCCCACCGTCAGGAAATTTCTCCTTAGTTCTAGGTTGCTTCTCTCCTTGATGAATTTCCACCCGTTGCTTCTTGTCCTGCCTTCAGGTACTTTGGAGAATAGCTTGACTCCCTCTTCTTTGTGGCAGCCCCTGAGATATTGGAAGACTGCTATCATGTCTCCCCTAGTCCTTCTTTTCACTAGACTAGGCATACCTAATTCCTGCAACCATTCTTCATATGATTTAGCCTCCAGTCCCCTAATCCTTTTATTGTTCTTCTCTGCACTCTTTTTAGAGTCTCTCGCTCACAATCTTAGTGTGTAACCATAAAGAGGTTGCTTCCCCCCCACCCCCAGATATGGTCAGCTGTTGTGGGTTGCCTGAATCCTTCTCAGTTTGAGAACTATGTTTTATACGAACAGGGGAAGTGAATTTGCTGCCGTTCCTGATCTGTGATCATCAGGTTGCCAACGAGAAGACGAAGAGCCCTTTAAAATAGGCCAAGTCAGGAAACAGATGTTACAAGGATTACTGTGGTTGGTCACACAGTTAGCCAGATGTTGTTGTGGCCCACCGGTGGCCAGCAGAGCTGGCAGCAGAGTCAGACAGTGAGGAAGTTGGAACATGGGCCAGTCCTGGGGGCTGGGGAAAGCTTGGACGAGGGCTATGGGAGGGGCCAATCACTTCCAAGGTGTGGTTTACTCCCAAGTTGACCATGCTTTCTGAGTTGTTCTTGTCTTCTGGCAGCTCTGCGCATGCACACACTGGGAACAGGCTCCAGCTATTCCTCTGCCTCGCTGCTGTCTAGCTCCCTCTCTGCCTCCGATGCAGAGCCCCCATCCAAGCTTTCCCCAGCCCCCAGGACTGGACCAAGTTCCTCCCCAACCTCCTCACTGTCCGACTCTGCTGCCAGCTCTGCTGGCCACTGGCGGGCCACAACAAGTACTGGCTTTTCACCAGTTAGTGCCAATATGATGTATCTAAATAAATTTGTACTTTGAGAAACAGGAATGCCTCAGAGTTCAATTCACGATGGATGCATTACTTGGAACCTGACACTAAGCCAGTACTAATTCTTTCCACCTGTCCTTACAGGGTTGATGTTGCCAATCACCTTGAGAAGGTCCTTCAGCAAGGGAGAGACCTGCTTTCCGGCTATGAGAACAAGCTGGCTATCGAAGACACAATTCCCGAGGATTTACATGCTCTGGACCACAAGAGGGAAGAATTGCTGGTGAGTGACCATTCTGAGCGAGGGGGATTCGTGTTTCAAATACAGGAAGGATAAATCTGACTTGTCTGTATGAATGAAAGGTGGGTGGGCTTAGCTCCCTTTCTCAGAAATGACAGAAGCTGAATGTGGAATGAAGTCTTCTTCATGCTGGTGTCCTTCAACTCCAAAGATCAACGTGGCCTTCTGAGATTATAGGTGTTGTAGCCCGGCCCGGTTGGAAGGCTGCAAGATGGGGCAGGCTTGTCCAGTTGTGTGTCCTTGTGTGCATGTACATAGAGATACGTATTGCAAAGGCCCTACAAATGAATCTCCTAGATCAGTCAGCATTTGGCTGCTGATACTCCGCTGGGCACCCTTCATTTGGCTGAAATGTGGCACGAAAGAATATCCATGTACCAGAAGATGTTTTCAAGTTTCTTAGCTTCGTGCGACTCCTAGGCACGTATCTTAATTTATTATTTGATCAATCAAGATAATCCTATTTCACTGCTGGAATGGCCTGGGAATAGCCGATTAACTCAATTAAAAATCTACAGAGCCGACTAAAGAAACTTGTTAGTCAGAAGCGACCCAGCAATAAAACCCAGTTAATAGAAGCCATCCTTCAATCTTGGTTTCACATTAGAACAGCTAGGTTCTAAAAAAGACTTGGTTCACTCCATGGGAAGACGTTGTAAGGCTGTAATTCATGCTAAATTTTACCCAACTAAGGATTAACTGACATGGTGATAATTTTTGTATATCTCGTTTTTTCTACGTGTTTCACTTTTCTTCTTTATACTGTAACTGCTATTCTAATAGCAAATCCTTCCTAAAAGCTATTGCATGACATTATTGATTAAATTATCTTTCCATTGATATATAATTTTATGGTTCTACTCCAAAATAAAAAAGTGATGTTATTAGCTAGTTTTAGAAAATACACTTTTCCCAAAAGGTTTCCACAATTTTGGCCACTACTATATAAAGGAGCCTCTGTTAATGAAGGCAAATATATGTCTCCCAGGATAATGTTGCAGCATCCAATCTGACTTAGTCACCAGGCCCAAAGGATTATTTTCCCAAAAGGTTTCCACAATTTTAGCCACTACTGTATTCATGTTTATAAAACATGTACTTTCCTTGTGATGTTTTGGTTTGCTGTGGCCCGGAGGTGAAATGCTCCTGGTTCGGACCGAATCGCCCGATCCGGTAGCGGTGGAGGCGGGTGGTTCGGAGAACCGGTAGCAAAAATCCCTGCCCCTCCCCCCCCATACCCAGCTGAGCCACACAATCATCTGAGGCTTTTTTTTTTTTACTTTTAAAAGCATTTTTTCTACAACCTCTTTGGCCGAAAAAATGCTTTTAAAAGTAAAAAAAAAAAGCCTTTGATGATCGCGCGGCTCAGCTGGGATCTCAAAGGCTTTTTAAAGCATTTTTTCTACAATCTTTTCAGAGGTTGTAGAAAAAATGCTTTTAAAAGCCTCTGAGGATCCCAGCTGATTTGCCTGATCGGCAGAGGCTTTTTTTCTTTTAAATGCCTCTGACGATCCAAGCTGAGTTGCTTGATCGGAAAAAGCCTCTGACAATCAGGCAACTCAGCTGGGATCGTCAGAGCCTTTTGAAAGCATTTTTTTACAACCTCCTCGCCGAAGAGGTTGTAGAAAAAATGGTTTTAAAAGTAAAAAAAAAAAAATTGGCCACGCCCACCCAGTCACATTACCCCCCAAGCCACGCCCATAGAACCGGTAGTAACAAATTTTAGATTTCACCACTGCTGTGGCCCCTTCACTATTTATTTCTCTTGAGTGTAGTTTTCGGGAAGCCATAGAAGAGAGAAAACCCTCGAGTGAAACCGTGTTGTACACTCCACAGTAAGAGATTGTTAAGAATCTTCATCCTAAAAAGTTTGCTAAGAACCATCCTCCTGTTCCTCCCAGGCACTGAATTCTGAAGTCCAGGTCCAGCAGCTGCTGAATGAGGCCCAACAAGACTTGGAGAAGGCCAAGAGATGTTCCAGTACCTTGGCGAGCCAGTTCCAAGAACACTGCCCAGATATTGAACGTCAGGAGGCTGAATTCCACAAGCTCAACCAGCGGTTTAGCAATCTCAACAAGCAGTTGGATTACAGGTCAGGAGGTGGTCATCATGAAGGACTGGGGGAAATGAGGGCATGGACTAACAAACTGGCAGGAGAAAGTTTTGGCATTCTTCTGGTTCCCAGCAAAAAATATCAATTTTGTGGAAATGGATTAACTTAATGACTATGACAGGGATCTGCAACCTTAAACACTCAAAGAGCCATTGGGACCCGTTTCCCACAGAAAAGAAAACATTGGGAGCCACAAAACTCTTCCCGTGCCTGACTATTTCCTGAGCAGCCACAAAACTAGTATATGTAGTTTAATTAAACGTTCTGTTTTCTTCTGAAACTTTTCTTTTCTTGGATTTATCCATGGTTGGCCTACCAGGGGTTGAAAAGCTCAATAAATTGTGTGCCGGCGGCTGTCACACATTGGCGGTTGTGACGCATATTTTGAGTGACAGGGAATCACAGCAGACATGTGAAAGAGCCACATGTGGCTCCAGAGCTGCAGGTTGCTGACCCCTGGACTATGACATTCACTCAAAACCACTGCAAAAAAAAAAAAAAAGGATCCGGATATATATGGCCTTAACTTACGTCTGTAATGATTTTGATTGTAATTCCGGGCTCAATTCTATATGTAAGTTGAAAACTATTTGTACCGCTTTCTAGATCCCAAGTCCTGCAGAAAGCAAAATCGGCCTACTCCAACTATCGTGCTGGCCATGATGAACTAAAACGTTATTTTGAAAACATCCCCAACTATGAGCCTCAAGAAAACGATCACCTTTCTCAGGTGGAAACCAAGTTGAAGAAACAACAGGTAATCAGATAATTGGGGGGAAACTGCAAAGATTATGCAGCACAACTCTATGCAGTCTATTGCTTTTTTTTTTTTAAAGCTATTTCTGTGCCTCACATAGCTCTTACAAGCTCCCTTCCAACTCTGTCTATTCTATTTCTATTCTATTTCTACTGGTATTCCTATTCTATTCCTAACTCTATTCCTATTCCCAATTCTATTCCAATTCCTATTCCTATTCTTACTCCTATTCCATTCCATTCCATTTTTCTATTCTTGGGCTCCAGCTAAGTATTATCAACAAAGGTTAGAAGCAATTCCTAAATTTTTCAGTCCAGGGTTCTCTAATTACTTCCTGGAGAGGCCAGGAATTGAATTCTGGATCTTCTACTGCCAAGCCACATGTTCTTCTGTTGCATGATGGCCCAAAGCTAGTTATGGGTCCTAAGAGAGGAAGCTTAAGCAACAACTGTTGAAAGGAAGCATGTTCATATATCTATATTAATTACGTGTGGTCAAGTTGATGTCAACTCTTGGTGACCAATAGATTTTCTTCAGGGGAGAGAATCTGTCCCAACCTGGTCCTTCAGGTTTTCCAATGGTGCACCCATCACTGCTGTTGGGTGTCCTCTACTTTTCTTGTTTATATATCCGTATAGCATGAGTTAAAAGCTTGGCTGAATTAGCAGCATTTTTCTAAAGCTAAAGGATCTAATGCAGGGGTGAAATGCTACTGGTTCGGGCTGGTTCACCCGAACCGGTAGTAAAAGATGCTACTGGTTCGCCGAACTGGTAGAAAAAAAAGAAAAAAAAAAAAAAGTTCCAAAGATCAGCTGAGTGACACGCGATTGTCGGAACTTTTTTTTTTTTACTTTTTAAAGCATTTTTAAAAATGCTTTAACAAATAGTTAAAAAATGCTTAAAAAGTAAAAAAAAAAAAAATTCCGACGATCGAGCGTCGGAACCTTTTAAAAAACTTTTTAAAAGCATTTTTAACTACTGGTTCTCTGGAACTGTTCTACTTACCTTCCCAAGCCCTTTTTTGGTGTGTACTGCGCATGTGCGCACAGCATGTGTTTGGTGCGCATGGGCAGCCAGCAAACCGGTAGTAGTAAACTGGTTCAGATTTCACCACTGATCTAATGTCCACAGAAGTGGAAAGAAGGAGAGATGGAGAGTTTCAAGCTCCACTCACTGTGGACCAAGGTTCCATCCATCATTAGCTGTCCCAGCCTGCCATTAACTTTTCCCATAAATCATGGGCCCTTGGTAGACAAGGAACACCCCTTCCCTGCTCCCATTCAAAGTAAGATGGTGCCGTCCACCTCCTGGCTCTTTAAAATCGATACACCTTTGTTTGCTTTGTCAGAAACTTTTGGAAGAAATTGCAAGCAAGGATAAAGAAGTCCAGAAGGTCTCTGCAGAAGCTCAGCAGTATCAACAGGCAGTGAAGGTAAGGAGTGGCATAGAGCAGGGGTCGGCAACCTGCGGCTCCGGAGCCACATGCGGCTCTTTGGGCCCTCTTCCATGGCTCCCTGTCACCCTGTCGCAGCAGTGGCATGGTCGGACCCTAAGTGCGGGAGCAAAGCGCCGCTGCACTTGCCTTTGTGCGGCAACGGCATTCCACTTGGTACATTTGCTGTTGCCACCAGCAAAGACTGCTGGGAGAGAATGGCGGGTGTGGATCTTGCGGGGTGGGAGCCATCCCCCAAGCCTGGCCTTCCTCCTCCTTTGTCGGTGGGGCCAAGAGAAAGAAGGGGGCAGCATGGGGAAGTGCTCCCCTGCCCTGCCAAACACAACAGCCCAGCGGGAGATGGCCTGGCAGAAGTGCCCCCATTGGTGAGTTGCACGGCGGAGAGGTGCGGTCTGGCTCTCGTGGCGGAATGCGCCGCTTTCTGTTTCCTGTGCCTTCCCCAATCTCAGCCCTTTCGGCAAGAGCTATATTTCTGTTTGCTTTCGTTTCCCTGGGCAGCGATGGCTGGGGCCGTGGGGCATGTGATTGGGTGGAAGTGAGTGACATCAAGTTGGCCACGCCCCCCCAGGTTTTGTGTCTCCCAGTGTTTTGTTTTCTGTGGGAAACGGGCCCAAGTGGCTCTTTAATGTGTTTAAGGTTGCCGACCCCTGGCATGGAGGAAGGACCAAAAAAACGACACCCCTTTGCAGAATTGCACTTCGTAGGTACCTCCAGCATCGTCTGGATGTTACGCCCTCTCTCCTCTTCCTAGGACTATGAACTAGAAGCGGAAAAGCTGAGGTCCATCTTGGATCTGGAAAGTGGCCGTAATGGTTTCCTGAACAAGAGACCAAGATTCCAATCCACAGCCGTTAGAGTGAAAGAAGAGGTATGTTTAACAAGATTGTACCAAAGGTGCAGAGCAAGCTACGCTTGGGGTAGGACCCCTGGCCAATAACTGGGGAAAAGAGAATCTGAAGTCTAGGATGGGGAAGCTGACTGGATGAGACTTTGGGCCAGCCCCTTTCTCTCAGCCCAATCCACCTCATTGGGTTGTTGTTAAGGGGAAAATAGGAAGCAGAGTGCTAGGTACGTTCAACACCTTGAGTTGACTGGCTAGGTTCCTTGCAATTTTAATGATAATAATATATGAGGACCTGCAAATAGAGCCGCAGTGGCGCAGTGGTTAGAGTGCTGTACTGCAGGCTACTTCTGCTGTCTGCCGGCTGCCTGCAGTTTGGCAGTTCGAATCTCACCAGGCTCGAGGTTGACTCAGCCTTCCATCCTTCCGAGGTGGGCAAAATGAGGACCCAGATTGTGGGGGGCAATAGGCTGACTCTGTAAACCGCTAAGAGGGAGCTGTGAAGCGGTATATAAGTCTAAGTGCTAAAAAAAAAAGGCAAGATAGGATCAACAGGCACCTTGGGTGCAATCCCAAAACATCTGGCGCATCCTTTGGAACACTATTGGCATTGGGGAAAAAAAAGATCACTGGTCAATCGCAAAAGGCAGCTTTACTTGGAACAGCTTACAACTTGCAACATCTTTTAACACCATCAAACCACATCTGCCTCTCCCAGGTCCTTGGGAAGGACTCGATAGGTGGAACAAAAATGCCAAATGCAGCCTAAACATCTGGCTGATTGTGTTGTCCAAGTCCCAGTAACCCTGGCAGTTTGCAAATTGTTAAAAACACATTTAAAAGCAAGATGTCAAGAGGGCAGGTGGTAATGGGAGCGACATGGCGTTCCCATGTAACATCCCTCCTGCGTGAGCTGTACTGGCTCCCGGTGGTCTTCCGGGTGCGCTTCAAGGTTTTGGTCACCACCTTTAAAGCGCTCCATGGCTTAGGACCTGGGTACTTGCGGGACCACCTACTACTACCAATAGCCTCCCACCGGCCGGTACGCTCTCATAGCGGGTGCTGTCGGCCAAACAATGTCGACTGGCGGCCCCCAGGGGGAGAGCCTTCTCTGTGGGGGCACCTACTATCTGGAACGAGCTCCCCCCAGAGATACGGAGGATCCCGGATCTGCGCACCTTCCGCCGCGCTCTTAAGACCTTTTTATTCCACCAGGCGGGCCTGGCCTAACTTTCTCCCTCTTTTTAAATAATTTTTTAATATTTTTTAATATTTTTAATATTCAAAGTTTAATTTGTTTTAAATTGCTTGGGGTTTTTTAATCTGTCTGGGCCAAACTATTTAATTTGATTTTATTTCTGCTTTTTAAATTTTGTATGTATGTGTTTTATTGTTGGCTGTTCACCGTCCTGAGTCCTTCGGGAGTAGGGCAGTATATAAATCAAATAAAAGTAAAGTAAAGTAAAGGGCTGAGGTAACAAGCCTCAAAAAATGTATTCTTCCAGTTGATCCCACCATCCTCAAAATGAACCCATGTTCCATTTGCAGGAAGCTCTCCTGGCTGCCAGATTCACTGAGATCAACGCCATCAATAGGCAAAGGCTGCAGAACCTGGAGTTCGCTCAGACCTTGTTGAAACAGGTAAATTGAAGAAACTCTTTTCTACTAGTTCTTGCCCAGAAAAATGCCCCAACTTTTATGGATAGAACCCAACTCCTACAGGTGCTTCATGGATGGCTACCTACAGATAAATTTTTAATAAAACTGGAGTATATGAGGAAACTTAATATGAGGAAGCACCTGAAGGCAGGACAAGAAGCAATGGATGGAAAGTAATCTAGGAGAGAACCAATCTAGAACTAAAGAGAAATGTTCTGACAGTGAAGCTAGAACAATTAATCAGTGGAACGACTTGCCTCTAGAAGTTATAGGTGTTCCAACACTGGAGGTTTTTAAGAAGAGATTGGACAATGCTTTGTCTGATATCTATAAAGTCTCCTGCTTGAGCAGGTGGGTTGGGATAGAAGACCTCCAAGGTGCTTCCAACTCTTATTAGTGTGATATAATAATACCCATGGACTCTACAGAGTCATCCCAGGAAATTTAGTTTGCCATAATAAATTATGATATGGTGGGTTCTTCAGTGGCAGAAGTTGTAGATTGGTCATAAAAGGGAAGTTCACCCTTAACTTTTGTAGTCATTGTTGGGTAGTTGCAGCGAAGAAAACTATCCAGTGCAATGAAAGCCTGGGGTGGGGGGGAGGGGAGAGGAGAGGATAAGGCTGCTTTTACAATTTAGGAGATGCTCCTGTATTTTCCAAAGCACCTCCTTTGAATGTTTAGCGCAGCCCTGCAGAGAAATAAACAACAACAACAACAAATCTTCTTCCCCCCCCCCCCAAAAAGGGTCCAAAGGTAAATAGCTTTTGAGGACTTCACAACTGCTCCTTGTTAAAAAAAAAATAAAAAATGCTAGGCAGTTAGAGAAATGCATCACTGTCAAATGTTGTGTTCCAGCAAGTGATTTCAGTGAAAGAATAAGCATTAACAAGCTAGGGGCACAATTAGGAAATAGGTCTGAGATAATACTTTGACGATGACATACAGAGATACTGGAGTGGACTTTAACACATTCACTTTGCTCAAAGGATCTCAAACCTCCAATATGACTTCTCAGGTCCAGGGAAATGATAGGAACGATAGGATATGCTAGCAAGGTAGTTTTAAAAAGAGTAAGTGTGTTGCAGTATAATGGTCCAATCCAAATTACCGTGTTTCCCCAAAAATAAGACCCATATATTTTTTTGCCCTCCAAAAAAGGCACCAGGTCTAATTTTCGGAGGGATGTCTTCCACTGAATCACCTCACTTGTGTGTGTCGCCCCTGGCCTCCTTTTCGCTATCGGACATCTTCAGGAACTTCTTCTGTGGCCGGCAAGGCTTTCCTGAAGGCCTCTGCAGCCGATAACTGAGCTCTGAATTGATCTGGAGCACTGTTATCGGCTGCAGAGGCCTTCAGGAAAGCCTTGCCAGCTGCAGAAGAAATGGGCCGGTGAGGCAGGTGTCAGGGTGTGTAAGGCCTGGCTGCAACTGTCCGAAGATTAGTAGGACAGGTCCATCCCATCATCCCCAGCCTAACTTTTTACCCGTGCACCATGGAGTGGGTGGGGTCTTACTTAGGGCTTATTTTGTGGGTGGGGCTTATATTGGGCACACATGTAAAAAGCTAGGGCTTACTTTTGGAATAGGCCATATTTTCAGGGAAACACGGTATATTTGCTGAGAAATGAGCATCACCTCAGCTGAATAACTATGCATAAAATGGTACCAACTAGACAACAAGATCTGATCTGCATTAGAGTTGGGGAAGAGAATTTACTTCCTAGTTTAGCCTTCCCAACCTGGATGTCTTTCAGAGAAGCGGAGGCTTCAACTCTCAGAATGTCCAACCAACAAAGTTGTACATTCTGGGAGTTTTCTGGAAGGCACCAGTTTGAGGAGCGATGCTCTTGCATTAGGGACGCAGTTGAGATCGTTGAACTGACTCCTTGTTTTCTGTTCAATGACAGCAACCTGACCTCCAAATGTTAGAGGAATCCATTCACATCAGCAAGTCTAAGAAGCCCTTTGAAGAAATCTGGAAGTTAAAGAAGGAACTGGATGATGAGTCCCAGTCTCGGCAGCATCTGGAAGAAGAGATCAAAGTCATCCAGCAGAATATCTTCCAGCTGCAGAACCAGAAGCCACAGGAGATTGTGCTCAGGAAGGAAGTGGTCAAGAAAATGCCTGACCCAGAACTGGATGAGAACTACCACAAGTTGCAACAGAACCTGACAGAAGAGCAGCACAAGAATCAGGGGCTTCAGGAGGAACTGCAATCCCTGAAGCAAAAGCTTGGCATTCTAGAACATGAGAAAAGAGAAGGTGGACAGGAGTATGTTGTCAAAGAAGTCTTGCGGATCGAGCCAGACAAAGCCCAGGCAGAGGAAATCTTGAAGTTGAAAGAAGAACTTGAAGAGCTCAAGAGACAGGAAGGAAGCCGGCAGAATGAGATGGCCCTTCTCCACCGCCAGATCGCAGCTCTTTCCAACGAGAAGATCAGGGATCAGGAGAGAGTGACTGAAAAGGCGATCGTGAAGATGCAAAACGATCCCCAGCTGGAGATGGACTATAAGCAGCTACAGGAGAGTAAACAGAGGGAGAGTATGCTGAGGCACGAGCAAGAAGAAGAGCTGCGTTTCCTCCAAGACAAGCTGAAGCGGCTGGAGAAAGAGCGGGCCATGGCTGAGGGCAAGATCACCGTGAAGGAGGTGTTGAAAATGGAGAAGGACGTAGCGACAGAAAGGGAAGTGAATGAACTGCGGCGCCAGTATGAGGAAGAGAAGGCCAAGACCCGCTTGAATGAGAGAGAGAAAGGCGAGCTGCTTAGGAAGATTCAGGCTCTGGAAGAGGAGAATTCCATGGTGATCGTCCAGGAGAAGGTACGGGAGATCATTCGCCCAGATCCCCAAGCGGAAAACGAAGTGGCCAACCTTCGTTTAGAAGTGATGGAGCAGGAGAGGCGATACCTGGGTGGGGAAGAGCAGCTTCGGGCTTGCCAGGATGAGCTGGTGACTCTGAAGAGCAGAGGGCCACGGGTGGAAGTTCAAGAGATCATCAAAGAGGTCATTAAGTACAAAACAGACGCGGAAACTGAAATGGAGATGCAGCGACTCAGGGATGAGATTGTAGATAGGACCAGAGCCATTGAGAGAGCAGATCTGGAGATCTATAAGTTGAAGCAAGAAATCGAGACCCTGAAGGAAGCCAAGCCTCACATCCAAGTGAAGGAGGTCCTTCAAGAGATCCTACAGTACCGGGAAGACCGCCAGACAAAAGAAGAAGTAGAGTCCCTGCGAGCTCAGTTGGTTGAGGAGCAGAAGAAGCACATGGACTTGGAGAGGGAGAAGAAGCAACAGGAGGAGATCATCAGGCAGAAGGAGGAAGAACTCTCCCAGGTGAGGGAAAAAGTGGTGAAGCAGGAAGTGGTGAAGCTGGAACAAGACCCTGCCTTAAAATCGGAGATGAATACCTTCTCACAGAACATTGAAAATGAGCTGCAGCAAATAGACTCGCTTCGGACTGAGATGCGCAAGCTGCAGAGGAGACGGTCACACCTGGAGCGCCAGCTGGAAGATCTGGAGAAAGAAAGGAAGGCCCGCAGGGAGGCAGAACTGGAGGTGCAGAGGCTGAAGATCAGACTGAGCGAGCTGGAGCAACAAGAGAAGGACACGGCAGAAAAAGTCACCGTGAGGCAAAAGGTGATCCTTCAACAAGATCCTCAGCAGGAGAAAGAGCACAGCCTACTTAAGTTGGAGTTGGAAGAGGAGAAACACAAGAAACAAGTGCTACAAACGGAACTGGAAGCCCTGCGGAAGAAACTGCAGGCCCTGGAGAAGATGGAAGTTAAGGAAAAAGTGGTCTTTTCAGAGAGCGTCCAGGTGGAAAAGGGAGACACCGAGTATGAGATTCAGAAGCTGAAGAACAGTCTAGATGAGGAAAGCCGACGGAAAATGCAAATGGACTCCGATATCAATAGGTTGGAGGCCAAACTTTCTGAAATGGAATTTAGCAATTCTAAATCTTCCAAGGAGTTGGACTTTTTGAGGGAGGAGAACCACAAGCTCCACATAGAAAAGCAGAACCTTCTTTTGGAGATGAGGAGTTTGCAGTCGGAAATTGAGCTCACGGCGATAGAAGCCCAGGATTTGAAGAGCATGGCCCAGGCAGATCAACGTATCAATCTCGATTCAAGGTTCCACAATTTGGAGAAAGAACTGGAAGACCTGAAAAGGCTATCGCGAGAAAAAGACGGGGAGATTGAACAACTTCAAAACCGTCTCCAGACCGTCGCTATCAAGAGGGAGCAGCGAGAAAACCACCTGAGGCGCTCGATTGTGGTCATTGACCCAGACACAGGGAAGGAGATGTCTCCGGAAGAAGCTCATCGTTATGGCCTTATTGAATGGAGTTTGTATGTCAGGTTGAAAAGCCAAGAATGCGACTGGGAAGAGATCACTGTCAAAGGGCCAAGTGGTGAATCTTCGGTCATCTTGGATAGAAAGTCAGGGAGGAAATTCTCCATTGAAGACGCCTTGAAGCGTGGAAGATTAACGATGGCTCAATATCAAAGTTACCTCAACAAGGAGATGTCTATTCAGGAGCTGGCGATTTTGGTATCTGGACAAAAATAACCGCTTCCCTCTCAACCTACCTAATGCAAAACTATTTTGAAGCTGGTCCAGAGCTTGTCTTGTTACAAATCCATAAGTTTTATATTATTTTAATGCTTCCCTCAGATCTATCTGCCAAAGCCTCCTGTGTCTTTATTCAACATTTGGGTGCTCTTTAAGCTTTAGGTCACATGCATCAATCTTGCCCAAATCGAAAAGATTCTGCTCCTGCATTTGATCAAGTTGCTCTTCTCCAAATTTATGACGGACTGTTTCCTGGCAGAGAAGTAGCATATATCCAGCATTTTATCCAGTCTGGATGATCAAAACCACATATTTCAGTTTGGCATCTCAAAGATTCTGTCGACTATAAAGTCCTGTGAAATGGTTTCGGTGTTGAACTGAAATCTGGGCACGTCCTATCGCCATAAATTCAGAATTAGATGGCCTTGAGTGAATGCGCTTTCCCCCCCCTCCTGCAGCATAGAGTGGATGCTATCTTATCTTTAGGAATTATTTTAAAGTTAATGCAGTGTATGGGAAACTCTTAAGCACTTTAAAGCATTGCCTGAAAACCTTATTATAACTGCATCAACTGGTTTGTTTCTTCTGGAGAATAAGTCGAAGTTTAGGAAAAGTTATCCAAAGGAAGAGCAGGTGGCTGGTAGGTGGACAGCAGATGCTTAGCAATCTTTCATTGACATGGGCAAGTGAAACGTGGTTGAACGTAATGGACTGGCATTAAAAACACAATATGGGAGATTTACAAGAATGATACAATCGTACCACGATCCAACCTAGTATTTCGTCATGCTGGATCTTGACTTTATAAAAAAAAATGTTATCTACATGATATGGGAGCGGTCAAATTTTAAGGCAGTCAAGATGTATGTATATGCGTGTTTGATGATGCTGTTTATCCTGTGGCTCAGATTATGTAGAGGTTTCTAATTCTTTTAAAAAAAGGGGGGAAGATTAACTATCACCAATTCCAAGTGCCTTTATTTTCCTCAAAGTCTCACTTATAAGATGCATGCACTGTTTTTGCTGACTTATATTTGACTGTTATGTATTCAAGTTATTTGTTGGAGAAGGGAAATGGGAAAAGTTATTTATACCCCTCAGTTATAATAAAGAAATGATCTAAATTAATGGTTCTTTAAATCTTTTGCCTTTCCGTCAATAAATGAACATTATAGGCATTGAATCTATACAGTTGTATACAAAAAGACACAGAAGATGGAATTGGGTAGGTCCAGTCTAATGAAAAGAAAAACTAGGGATAACATGTAGCAATGTTCCAATATTTGAGGGGCTGACACAAAGAAAAGGGGAGGGGGTGTCTCAGAACTGAAGAAGCTTCTTGGATGAGAAGCAAAATGTTTTCAAAGGGGGGGGAAGCAAGAAAGTCCAGTGGCCTTTTGGAAAAGACCCTTTGAGACAACCATGACCTGGATGATTGAGAATCTCCATAAATACCTAAAGCTGTGTATTTCCAACTTTGGTACCTGCCAAATCTTCTACCTCCCAGAATTTTCAGCAAAGACCTTGCTGGCTGGGAAATTCTGAGCGTTGAGATCCATCCATCCTGTTGTGGCCTGCCAGCAGCCAACAGAGCTGGCAGCAGATTGGGAAATGAGGAGGTTGGGGAGGAACGTGGGCCAGTCCTGGACTCTGGGGAAGGCTCTGATGAGGGCTCTGCGTTGGAGGCAGAGGAGGGGCCAAGGCCATATGCCAGTTATCAGTTGCCTTCCGAGTCAGACGTCAGTGAGGCAGACAAACAGCTGGAGCCTGTTCCATGCGCAGAGTTGCCAGACAAAGGGAACAGCTGAAGAACAAGGGGCGACTTGGGAATAAGGCCACAGGTGGACGATGAAGGGCCCCTCCCAGAGGGAATAAAAGAGGAGAGAAAAAGGAGGGGAGTTTGCAGGAGACAATTAGTTCGCTTAATTGGTTCGTGACTCTCCGAGACTCCTGGCCAAGTTTTGAAGATATCGGCCTGGCAGCTCTCCAAGCCAGATAAGGTCTGTGACTGTAAAGTCTCCCTTGAAAGACTTTGCTGGATGTGAATGAGAGGAATCCATGGTAACTTAATAAAAAGGGGTTTTTGTCGGGACAAGGAGTCTGCTTCATGCTCTTGGGAAGCCTAGGTCAGAACACATCCATCCATATGCATGCATGCATGCATCTACCCCCTCACACACACATCCATCCATCCATCCATCCATCCATCCATCCATCCATTAATTAACCCATCCCCTAAGCTGGAGAAAGCTAAAGCTATCAGGACTCCTTCCCTGCAGTTGGCAGCTTCTAGGGACCTTAGATCTGACATCTCACCCATCTTTCAGCGATGATGCCAAGGAGCTTTGCATCTAATTGCGGGTATCTCTACCCTTCAGTAGGCCGCCCCCTTTGCCCCAACCCTCATTTCGGAGTAAATGAAAAACGTTCTGGAAAAAAAAAACAATTTTATTCAGTTGCAGTATACAAGATTAATCATTTTCCATGTCACCTCCACCCTCCTTATTTTCCTAGAAAGGCTGCCATTTCCCCCAGCCAACCCAACCCCCCCACCCCTTTCTCCCAAACACACAAAAATAAATCACAGCTCTTTCCGCACATAAAAAGAGGCTGCTTTTTAAAATTTTTAAGTGCCATCTGGTGGGGCTTATGCCCACCGTAAACAAAATCTCCCCCAAGAGTCAAAAGCCAAGGCAGGCACAGTCCTGGGCGAGCAGCTCCGGTTGCCGCTGAGGCACTGCCCGCCCGCCTGCCTCCCCCCCCCACCGTTCTTTGATCTTGCCCTGTGCCATGGCTTGCTTGTTAAGTTCTACTTCTTAAAACACAACGGGGTGGAGAGGGAGGGGAAGGGAGGAAAGCAGGAGGGGGAGAGATTGGGCAGAAGTTCCACCACATAACATTTCCCTGAGGCAAGAGGCTTTGTGAACATTTCCTTTTTTTAAAAAATAGATAAGGGGTTCTTCTCCAGCTGTGGCAGGCACCAGTACGCGTAGCAACCAAAGCTTTTGGGAGAAGAGGGGGGGGGGAGGGATAATGGCTCATGCAAGGCCCAAATCCTGCCAAGTGCCAAGCGCTTGTTCCTATGACTGATCAAAAGCAGCTTTTCGAGAGGTAATTAACACAGAGTGGGGACTGAGCTCTGACGAAACACAACACCCCTCCACCAAAATCCACGTACTTTAAAAAAAAAAAAGAAGAAGAAGAAAAAGAAGAAGAAAAATGCGTTTCAAAAAGAAACCGGGCGACTTGAATATGCAGTCTTTGGCTCTTCCGCTGCAACGTTTTGAACAGAAATAACTTAAGCCCAACGAGGCCAAAATTAACTATTGGGAAAAGAAAAGGCCCCAAAACAAAAACAAAAACAAAATGCAAAAGACTTGAAACAATTTTGCACAGGTTAACCAAGAATCCTAAGACCCTTCAAAGGAAAGAACTGGTTTTCTAAGATGGGGTGGGGGTGGGGGGGAGGGAGAGGGGGTTGTCTCAAATCAAACAGAACTCGCTGTTTTTTTTTGTTTTTTTTTTAAAAGGGGGTTCGACGAATCGATGAATCAAGTGCTTTTCCTCTGTTTGAGTTGGAAGAATCAGTAAATTGGGGTTAAAAATGGAAGAGGAGGCTGCGAGAAACAATTTCCGCTGGCCGCAAATAGACACTCAAGTTGGGGCTGATAAGCTTTCAAGTTGAGTTTGGGAGTTTGCAAGAAAAACAACTCTGCAACTCTGGCAAGTAACTGCCCTGGCTAGTTTAATGAGCCTTGTACTGTGTGCGCTCAAACATGTTTTTGCTCCAAACAAACAATCCCAAAAGAAAAATGGGATAATTGATGCCTGTACTAGTTACTCCTCTCCTACTGCAAGGCCTATGTTTCTCTAGAAGGGGCAGCAGATTGGAGAATCGAACAGTGACAAGCCAAGCCGAAAATTTAGATCATCAGCTTTACTCCAAAGTAACCTCCAGACCAGATCATCATCATCATCATCACCTTCTTTTTAACGACCCCATGATCCCTTGGGGGTGGACTCTGGGCAACTGAATGGAGCAAGCAGAGTATTTTAATGGCCGGATGCCCTTCCTGTCACCAATGTGGAGTTTTGTTCAGCAGGTAAATTCTCAGCGTGCCGAGAGAGAGAAATATCTGCCCCTACCTAGGATCGAACTCTCACAGCCTTCTGATGGTGAGATGAGCGCTTCACCTCTAGGCCACCGCACCACTCCTAAACTCCAGACCGGATGCTGCGTCAAAATTAGGAGAATCTGCCCCCAAATCTTTAGCACAGCAGCAAAACATAACCAATGCTGGGCAAATGGTAGCCCTGGTTGGATTTTAAAGGATCCCCAGCCAGTTAAAAGAGTTGCAACTAAGCAGCTCAAGAAAGAAAGGGGGGGGGAGTCTACTTAGAAAATGACTTAAGTCCTGAAATAAAACAGACTCTCCCTTCCATTCAGAGCATAAGGGGAGCTCTTTTAGTTGTTCCAGGCACAAAGAGACAAACTCCCATGTGAGCAAATGTGCCCCCACATCAGGTCACTGGCTGCATAAAATGTGCCAGACCTCACAGCAAAGCAGGAAGTCCTTGGCTCGATTTTGCAAAATGCTTAAAGAGAACTCGGGGCAGAGAACTGACAGCTTTCCAAGAAATGCCCAACCCACGTTATCAGCGTGGCATCCACCGGCGAGCGCGGTTAAAATGGGAGTGACGATGGGCCACCCCCTCCCCTCCCACCCTATAGCCCCCCACAAAGTTCCCTTAAATAAATCCCGATGCGTCTTTAAATAACAGAGAAGGATGTTTTAAAAAAGGAGAACGTTAAAAAGCTCTTGGCGAGCTCCCACCCCAAAAAAACCCCCAAAAACCAAAGAGAGCTTGGGATAGGTTGCATTCTGGCTCCACCATCAAAAGGCACTGAAATGACAGCTTCGTTATACACATTGACCCATGGGGGGGGGGGGAAGGGGGGAGGGCTGGGCTTAGCTCCATCCGATGTCTTCAGTGGAGAGAAGGGGGAGAACTGGGCGTGTTGAGGAAAGGGAAGAAGGCAGGGCAAGAGAACGGCCAAAAGAAGACCCCAATCGGCGTTTCGAGGTCCACAAGTGCATCTTAAGGCCTCTCAAAAGTTTTCACTTCCTTCTGAGAGGACCAGTGAGCTGCCACGGAGGAGGAAAGATCTTCCAGGCAAGGATCAAGCAAAGCTTTCGGAAAGGTGCCTTCGGGGAGGAGAATCACCCCCCCCCCCCCCCCCCAGATTCACTCAGGGCCGACCTTCCATGAGCCAGTCCATCCGCAAGCAGAAGCGAGGGCCTTTACAAGACTCCGCTTGCAGAATTAAGAGGCACCTGGCAGGGACACATGGAACCTGGCTTCTGGAGATCTGTTAAAAGGATCTCGCCTCCCCCCTGATCTGGACCCTGGAGGAACTTGAAGTGAGGAGTAGGGCCTGCGAAATGCTTCCTTCCTCAGCATTTGGCTCAGACAGCTCCTCCTTCCCCGATCCTCCCCCTGCCCCTCCACCAGGGAAGAATCTAGTCCAAACTGGGATAAAGGGAAGTGGGGGGACCTACAGATCGATTCCACCGAAGAAGGAAGAGCAAGGAAGTAAGTAAGGGGAGAGGCTCCCTTGCTGCATTCTGCAGGCTTTTTTTCCCAGAGCTGGTTGTGTTCTTTTTTTTTTGTTTTGTTTTCCAGAACTGTCACAATTTCCGCGGTTGTACATTGGGCCCTTTGCTGTGTAGCTGAGAACTATCTGAAAGAGACACAAAACATAAGGGTCATGAATATACACGGCAGGGAAGCTCCAAAGTCTTATACAGTTTCGACTTCTTTCGGGAATACAGATTCACAGGGCAGGAAAGGAATTGTGATGTCCAGCCCAAAAAAAATTCTGCATTGGGAGAAAAATAATAATTACCTATGAACAGAATTCATGGCAGGTGAATGGTTGTGTCGTAATCTAGACATCCTCTATTATGTTATTAAATGAAAAGCATGTTTGATTATGTGGTTGGTATACTAGAGGCAGGAAGAGAGAGATTATTTAACTATTTATAAACTCCAATATGGAGAATGGATTACATGAGGAAGATCAGGTGGAAGACTTAACTGGCTGATTGATCGGTTGAATAAATACATTTTTAGATTTAAAAAAAGGAGAATATTTGTAGCTCAGGGTTGAACTGTGGGGCCCTTGGTGCTCTCTGAGCTTGGTTGGGGTTTTTTTTGCAGACGTTTCATTACCCAACTAGGTAATTCCATCAGTACTAGTGACTAGCATTTCATTATCCAAACTAGATAACATGACGAACGCTGATGATGTTACCTAGTTTGGGTAATGATGTCTGCAAGAAAACAACCAAGCTCAGAGAGCACCAAAGGCCCCACATTTTCAGACTGTCCAACTCCAGAGCGATTCTGAATTGCTTCTTAAATTAAACAACTTTATATGAAAATAAGCACAGGATAATACAATTGATCACATCAACATCTAACTCAGAAGAGGCCCAACTAACCCACCCACCTGTACAATAATAATTATTCTACTACTATTACTACTACTACTACTACTACTACTACTACTACTAATAATAATAATAATAATAATAATAATACAAGATTTTGCCACAAAAAACTAACCCAATCAGTCCCGAGTGCCACTTCATGTTTTGCAAGGAAAATTTTACATTGCAGAAGTTGCTTTAGTAAACAAAAAGCGAGTGTCATAGAGACTTACACAGCTCAAATATCAGAAAATATTATAGATCTGATACTAGGCAGTGGTCAAGTAAATATCCTCCCTACTTTAACCACCACAGTTTCTCATTTCAGTTCAATGACAGCCAGAGAAAATCATAAAAAGGAGGGCAGGACTCCTTTGAGAGGTCTTTAAAGACACTACTGGAATTCGTCAGCACAAAAGGACAGTTTTGGGGCTTAGGATATGTGCAAATAAAGGCAACAGGAATTGTCCTCTTTAGACCCCCTTTAAACAGTATTTTACATGCTGGGTTTTGATTTATTTATTTATTTTATTTTGAATTTGTATACCGCCCTTCTCCCTGAGGACTCAGGGCAGTGAACAGCCAAATAAAAACATCAAGTACAAATATTAAAATACAGTTAAAATATATATATATAAATTTGGCCCCATTAATTAAAAACAATAAACGAAACACTTAAAAACACTTAAAAAATTAGGCCAGCCCGGCTTGCTGGAAAAAGAAGGTTTTAAGGCACTGAGGTCTTGGATTCTCCTTATCTCTGGAGGCAATTGATTCCAGAGGGTAGGTGCCCCCACAGAGAAGGCCCTCCTTTATGACATGACATGCCTTCCCTGTCTTTCTAAAAGAGACATCTTAAAACCACTACAGATCAGCGGTACTGCAATTGTTATAGTGTCCTTTCTGCTAGATTCAATCCCTCTCTGAAATCTTGTGATTCTCGGCCTTTGTAGACAATATTGAGCTAAATAAAACCGATTGAATAACCTGATAGTTCCTTACAGTAGTGGCCAAAATTGTGGAAGTCTTTTGGGAAAAGTGTATTTTTGAGGTTTGATGGCTAATAACACCACTTTTTTGGGGAGTTTCAAGATAATCATATTCTGCTGCTGGAATGGCCTAGGAATAGCCCAGACCTTAACCCAATTGAAAATCTATGGAGACGACTAAAGAAATTTGTTCGTCAGAAGCGACCCAGCAATAAAACCCAGTTAATAGAAGCAATCCTTCAATATTGGTTTCACATGGTAACAGCTGCAGAACTCAAAGGCTTGGTTCACTCCATGGGAAGACGTTGTAAGGCTGTAATTCATGCTAAAGGTTACCCAACTAAGGATTAACTGACATGGTGTATATCTCATTTTTTTCTATGTGTTTCACTTTTCTTCTTTATACTGTAACTGCTATTCTAATAGCAAATCCTTCCTAAAAGTTATTGCATGACATTCTTGATTATTTATTTATTTGTTTGTTTGTTTGTTTATTTATTTATTTATTATATTTCTATATCACCTTTCTCCCGTAGGACTCAAGGCGGTGTACAGTCAAGAAAAATATACACACACAAACATCATAAAATTGCTAATTAAAATTATTACTTAGTTTGGTCAATTAAAACCCAGAATTAGATAACATTTAAAAAAAAAAAAATCATTCACCTGTTTGTATGTTTAGCCCTGCCTGTTGGAACATCAGGGTCTTGAGGGCACGGCAGAAAGCACGGAGATCAGGGATATTCCGTATCTCCGGGGGCAGTTCATTCCAAAGGGTTGGAGCCCCCACAGAGAAGGCCCTCCCCCTGGGAGTCGCCAGTTGACATAATTTGACTGACGGTACCCTGAGTAGTCCCTCCCTGTGAGAATGAACTGGTCGGTGGGAGGCTATTGGTGGCAAAAGACGGTCTCGTAGGTACCCAGGTCCTAAGCCATGGAGCGCTTTAAAGGTGATAACTAACACCTTGAATCGCACCCGGAAGACCACCGGGAGCCAGTGCAGCTCGCGTAGGAGAGGTGTTACATGGGCGTAACGAGCTGCGCCCATAATCACCCGTAATAATTGATAATAATCAATTTAATCAATAATTGATTAAATTATCTTTCCGTTTTCCATTAATTTTATGCTACTACTCCAAAAAAAAAAGTGGAGTTATTAGCTAGTTTTAGTAAATACACTTTTCCCAAAAAGGAAACTTCCCAAAAGGTTTCCACAATTTTGGCCACTACTGTATGTTCTAACCCAAATAGCTAAAAACATTAAGCGCAACAATACATTTAATAACAGAAAGAAATCAGTGCCACTAATTAAATTGCAACAAACTGCAGCTAGTCCTTGACTTATGACAGTTCGTTTAGTGACCATTTGAAGTTACAACGGCACTGAAAAAAGGGACTTGTGACCATTTTTTCACACTTACGATATTGCAGCTTCCCCAGTCACGTGATCAAAATTCAGATGCTTGGCAACTGGTTCATATTTATGACCATTGCAGTGTCCTTGTGTGTGTGTGTGTGTGTGTGTGTGATGTGATCCCCTTTTGTGACGGTCTGATGAGCCAAGTCCATACGGAAGCCCAATTCACTTAACAGCCGTGGTAGTAACTTAACAAATGCAGTAATTCTCTTAACAACTGTGGCAAGAACGGTCATAAAATGGGGCAAACTCACTTAACCAATGTTTCACTTAGCAACATAAATTTCAGGCTCAATTGTGGCTGTAACTCGAGGACTACCTGTGTTACACCCAGCACACGATAGAGGCAGTCCTCGATTTACTACCAATCGCTTAATGACTGTTCAGAGCTATGACGGCACTGGAAAAAGTTATTCATGACCCTGTCCTGACCCTGACCATTATGCCACCCTTGTGGAAACAGGACATTTTTAGTTACTTGGAAACTGACTGACATTTAAGACTGTTTGCAGTGTCCTGCAGTCGTGTGAACCCCTGTTATGACTTCTTCTTTTTTTGCCATTTTCCAGCAAAAAAATAAAAAGCCCACCGGATTAGCTGGATTCAAATTTGCAAATCGTTCACATGATTCGCTTAAACGCTGCGATCTGCTTAATGACCGCAGTCACTTGCTTTACGACTGTTGTAAAGAAAAAAAAATAATTCCCTCAACACTGACAAACTAGTTAATAAATCTGCACTACTATTAATCTTCCCATCTCCTTCCACTTATGACTGTATGACTGTAACCTTGTTGCTGGTATCCTTAAGATTTATATTGACTGTTTCCTAGTAGGATTTAATTGCTTATTTGTTCCCTATGATTATCATTAAGTGTTGTACCTTATGACTCTTGACGAATGTATCTTTTCTTTTATGTACATTGAGAGCGTATGCACTGAAGACAAATTCCTTGTGTGTCCAATCACACTTGGCCAATAAAGAATTCCATTCCATTCCATTCCATTCCATTTCATCCCAATCCAATCCAATCCAATCCAATCCAATCTAATCTAATCTAATCTAGGCCGGCTGCCTTTGGGGAGATGAAGCCTTTTAAGGTTGAAGGCTTTATTAATTCGTGAATACGGAAAAATTATGAACCATTCACTTCCTCATTTATTAGCAGGAAGACTCAAATCCAGGACGCCCACTGACAAGTTTAACATGGGAAGCCAAATGGGCCTCTGAACGCCCAGACAAGGGAAGACATATAAATGACCCCACAAAAAAGGGAGGGGGATTTGAACTGCCTTGTTCAGCAATGGACAACCCTGAATAGGATTCACACCTCACATGGCAGCATCTGCAGACTCTCCCTATATAAATGGGCCATAGGACCACCCCCCACCACTGTAGCAGATCATAGAGTGACTGGCTATAAGCCGAGGGCATACACCACTCCAGTATCTGAGTTTTTTTTTTTAAATATAAATGATGCTGTGCTTCAATGGTTATATGGCCTGGACCAGAGGTTGTCAACCTTTTTCTTCACCACTTTTGTGGCCACGGATCCCCCAAGACGTAACTCAAGATTTAAATCGTAACCTTTCTTCGAGCCTTCGTGGACTCTTGTGGCAGAATCGTGGGCCCCCAAGGGGTTAGGAGGCCATACGTGAGAACCACTGGCTAGACAATGTTACATAGATCTTTTTAACCTTTCTTTGATTGGGTTCTACTAATTGAGATGATATGTTAATATACGGTACGTTGCTAGTCAGGGGTGGGCTGCTGGGGATTCGCAGGGGTTCGGGAGAATCTCTAGCTAAGATTCTGTGCAGTTCAGAGAACCCCCAAATCCCACTCCTGGCTGGCCCCGCCCATCCCACCCCACCCCTCCCCTCCCAGGAGTCCCCACATGGCCCGTTTTAGATGCAGGTAAGTGCAGGGTGCACATGGAGGCTCGGGAAATGAGAAAAACAGGCCTACCAGAAGTTCCAGAGGGCCTCCGGAGCCTGGGGAGGCCGTTTTCGCCATCCCGGAGGCTTGAGGAAAGCCTCCAGAGCCCGGGGAGGGCAAACGACTAGGCCACGCCCACCATGGCCACGCCCACCCAGCAACAGCAGAGAACCCTTAGTAAAATTTTTGAAGTCCACCCCTGTTGCTAGTCCTCATACCATGTGCCATACGTTAAATAAGTAATAATTGGGTGATGGGCAGGCAAAGCTGGGAGCCGTCCCAGGAGGTGCCCGCTGAATGACTTGAAAGCGCACAAAACCAAACAAGAGTGACGGAGGAGTTACCTGGCAAACTGTGGGATAAATGGGCAGGCGGCCCTGCCTGATGGAGGCTGGTGGACAACCCAGCCAGAAGACCTAGAAAGGAGAGGGGAATTGAGGAGGAGGAGGAGGAGGAAGAGGAGGGAGGAAGAGAAACAAATGTACATTGAAGACAAATGAGCCGAAGGTGATCTATGGATGGATTTAGATGAAAAATGACCCGCCCTCCACCCTCCAACCTTTGCCAAAAACTCTCCAGCAAAACCTCTTTATCTCGTATCTGATTGGCTGCTCAGCAAGTTCACCAGTAAAGGTAAAAAAAAAAAAAAAGGTTTGGCTGACATGCCACGAGTATGGAGGTGGTAGCTGAACACATAAAACCAGATGCTCTGAAAAAGTGACGTACCTGAAGGGGCGCAGGGCATTGGATGGGGCAAAATCCCAGCAACGATTCCCTTCCCACAGGTCAAGTCATCACTTGAAAGTGCAGTTCTCAAGGAATGAGCTAGCAGGGGCAGCCTGGACTGTCTCCCTGCCAGAGCCAAAACATTAATTCTCCGCTCCCATCTCACAGTTTTACTTCAAATAATTATACACCACTCTACAAATTCCAGCTAACAGCGCCCGGCGGACGACAAAGGACAGCAAGTAGAGCTACTGCGATACAATAACGACAAAAGCATAGCCAGAAGGAGGGAACAAGCGACCAAATAACACCACAGATGACGTTCGAGGCCATGTAATGCCTGGGAAAACCAGGGGTAACTACTGCAAAGCCCATCATCCAGCACCAACAGCACAGAAAAGAAGGCAGAATTTCAGCAGCGGGTCTCCTATTTGGGAAATATTTTATCTCTCGGGGGGGGGGGTCTGCATCTATTTTAGGGGTGCAAATCACCAACGAACACTTCAAGGACACGGTTACATTCATAAAGGGGGTGGTTACCCTTCCCAGAAACGTAGGGGAGGGGGCTTGCTGGTCAAAGAGACAAAACAGACCTGCCAATAAAGGAGAAAATTTGTAGCTCAGGATTGAAATGAAGGGTCCTTGGTGCTTTCTGAGCTTGGCTGTTTCCTTGCAGATGTTTTCATTAAAATAGGTAACATCATCAACGTTAGCGATGCTAACGTTGCTTGGCGGTAGCTTACGTCTGTTAGAAAGCATGTTAACTCCAACCTATCCGAAATTTTTGAATAATTTTTGAGGTCCATGTGGGAAAAGCCCTTCACTTAAGTCACTGAACCCAAAGCTGAAAAATAGGGGTAGAACTAGCAATAGCTTTTGAGCGCATGGCAATAAGGCCAAGCGCTTATTTCAGGGTTCAAAAAAAATATAAGACAGGGTCTTATTTTCGGGGAAACACGGTACTTTGCAGCCTTCTCTAAGCGGTTTACAGAGTCAGCCTATTGCCTGCCCCCCCCCCCCAATCTGGGTCCTCATTTTACCCACCTCAGAAGGATGGAAGGCCGAGTCAACCTTCAGCCGGTCAGGAATCGAACTCCTGGCCAGGGAGCAGTGAGTGCATTCCTAACCACTGCGCTACCATGGCTCAGTTAGATCCATGCTATTACGGACTCTGTATTTGGAGATGTGCCACGCAGGGACTTTTCATCTCGGACCCTACCCATGCTGTGCCAGTGGATGGAAGGAAGGGAAAAGGAGATCTTAGGAGATCATGGACATGAGAAAGTATTCTGGGATGGACTGTCCCAACCGCAGGACAGCTTTTAAAAGAGGATAGGGCCCAGGCCCAGAATTGTTGAGATGCAAAAGCAGAGCGAAGACAGTGACAATGACAGACATAAAACACGAGCGAGACAGGAAAGGGATCTTGGTAACTCATTGGAGGAAAGTTCATGGAGATGAGCTTTTTTTTTTTTTTTTAAAAAAAGATCCCTTTGGGGTAAGAGCAGGCGTTGCATGTAGAAGCACGGGGAGCACATTATCTGCAGCAATGCTTACAGGCTGTAAACACCCCCCCTCCCTACTTTCCCAACCAGCACTTACTATGGCCAACGCTGTGATGGAATGTCGCTGGGGCCGGTCCTGTGACTACCACGTCCTTCGACACGCCAGCCTTGGATGAAGAATCCGAGCTGTAGGAAATCACGTGAAGAGGGAAGGAATGGATTGGTGATATAATCCCCAGCGGAGTAGAGCTCAGTGCAGTGGGCAGCTTTGGGCTGTTGGATTTGTAGGAAGGAGACAGGACATTCAAGGAAGACGAACTGGTCAGCAGGACTGCTCCACCGGTTCCTTTCTGGAGATGGAGGGGAGACGGGGGGGGGGGGGACGGGGTCGGGAGGAGGAAAAAGGGTGAGTGGGTGAGAACAACAGCGGTCAGAAGCAGAAGAGCAAACGTTCCACTTTTCTCAACTGTCAGGCCCCACAATTTAGTAACAGAGTTGGAAGGGATCTTGGAGGTCATCTAGTCCAACCCCCTGCTCACACAGGAGACCTATACTAGGGATTCGAACCGCTGACCTTTCTGATTGACAAGCTCAGCCACTGAGCCACTTAGTCAGGTGTAGATCGGGGATTTATCATTTTACAAAGAAAAAAGGGTTTTGCTTTGCCCAGCTTCCCAAAATTATGACAAGCACGAGTTGAAATAAACATTGGCACTTGCAAAAAAAAGGGTCTCCTATAGTAACAGAAATACCGCATTTTTTGGAGTATAAGATGCATGTTAGTTTTTGGGGAGGAAAATAATAAGAAAAAAAAATCTGCCTCTGCCTACCAGCATCCATCAGTATTCATCTGGCTAGCGTCCTGGCAGTGTGTGAGGGTTGAGGGCTGTTTGGAAACTGAAACAGTATTTGCTGTGTGAGCAATAAGGAAGGAGACGGCAAGGAGCCTGGGCGTGACTTAGCTTTGCAGCTCTGAGTCTGTGCTAAAGCTGCAAACTAGTCTGCTGCTCAAAACTGAAACTGAAACTCCTCTCCTCTGCTTGTGTTTTGCTTGGAAAACCTGCTTTTGGTATTGTATATTTTACTTCATGTGTTGTATTATGTATAAACAGAAATTATTGAATCCTGCTGAATCAGCTACTTGTGTGTGCTTTCTGGATGTGATTGCTGCTGTAAACGCTGAGTCCTTGCAGCAAATAGCAAACAGCCAGGTCAGCTTCAGCACATTATTGCAGCCTGATTCAGCTTGAGCAGCTGATTGGCGGGTGGATGGGCCTCCCGGAATACCCCCAATCAGGTGTTCCGGGCTGCAGGGATTGCCACAGACCATCGCCGCCTCCGTGCCTCGCTTTTTTGGCTACATTCGGTGTATAAGACGCACCCAAATTTTCACCCTCTTTTGGGGGGGGGGGGGAGTGCATCTTATACTCCGAAAAATATGGTACATGGTTTAGAACTGCTAATCTGTTGTTTTCCAGTAGGGAAGTATCTTTTGAGGCATTCAACACAATCTCTATGTAGGCTTGTGATAAAATTTTTGGTTTTTTAAGGATTAAAAAACAACAAAACACCCATTTGGCAATCTATTTCAAGGGTGTCAACTGTTCACATAACTGTATGTACTGTGTTCTGAAATGAAGAAGTGAACTGAAGAAGCTTCTTGAATGAGAAGCAAAATGTTTTTAAGGAAAAAAAAAACCCAAGAAAGCCCAGCTGCCTTTTGGAAAAGCACTTTTGGGATAACTATGACCTGGATGATTGAGGATCCCTATAGAAATCAAGAAACGGAGGTTTTCTTCCATTTTTAATGAATGCAATTAAGGTCACCGTGAATGTATGGATCTTTCGTTTATAGATGGCACTAACAGACAGGGAAAGGAGAATTAGCACAAGGATCAACCTGTCTATTGAGATTCTCAATCATCCAGGTCATAGTTGTCCCAAAGGTGCTTTTCTAAAAGGCAATTAAGACTTCCTTGGTTTTTTTCCCTTGAAAACAGTTCGCTTCTCATCCAAGAAGCTTCTTCAATTCAGTTCACTTCTTCGCTTCAGAACTGAAGAAGCTTCTTGGATGAGAAGCAAGATGTTTTCAAGGAAAAGAAGCAAGAAAGTCCGGTTGCCTTTTGGCAAGGCACCTTTGGGACACAAGGGCCAACATGTTGCCCGTGGAGTCCCCAAATTAAAATGAGGTGGGCAGCTGTTTTTTTTAAAAAAAAAACTGGTCAGAAATTTGAAAGGTCACCAAGCTTTGCTTTGTTTGAAGCATTCAGGCAGGAGATCTCATAAGATGGGTTCAAGGACATTTGGGCAGAACTCACCTGTTATAGTTTGCAAGTTTTAGGTGGGAAAGAAAGAAAGAAAGAAAGAAAGAAAGAAAGAAGGAAGGAAGGAAGGAAGGAAGGAAGGAAGGAAGGAAGGAAGGAAAGAAAGAAAGAAAGAAAGAAGGAAGGAAAGAAAAAGAAGGAAAGAAGGAAGGATGGAAGGATGGAAGGATGGAAGGAAAGAAAGAAAGAAAGAAAGAAAGAAAGAAAGAAAGAAAGAAAGAAAGGTAGAAAGTCGAAAGTGCACAACGATATCCGCAATCTGAAACAGCTGCACCTTATCTGGATGGTGCCGATTTGCACTTTGAACTTGGAAAGTTCCTGAGCCAACTCCCGGCTACTCACCGGCCCAGAGGTAGAGGATACGGAGCTGCTAACCACGGCAGGTTTCAGGGAAGATGTCAGCAACTTGGCCACTCCTTGCGTTCCTCCACTGGAGCTGACGTTGGGACCTCCCGGCGGAGCCACCAAAGTCAGCTTTTGAGGGACGAGGGTCTTCTTCACCATGGAACTGGGCGAGGAGCGACTGGGAGCCTGCCCAGCGGAAGGGACAGAGGCACCTGGCAGGATGTTGCTCGAAGACGGGGAGCTCTGCGTCGAGGAAATGCCGGATGATACGTTTCCGGCAGAAGCCACGTGCCTGGACAGGGCCACAAAAGGTGACTTGAAAGGCTGCCCTGAGGAGCTAGGGCTGCTGGGATGCTTCCCGACATAACTCAGAGAGACCGAAGAATTGGGGGTCTTGGGAGAGATGGTTGAGGAGGAGGAGGAGGAGGAAGGAGAGGAGGAAGAATGGAAGGTGGGAACCTTGGTGGGGGTCTTGACTTGTTGCTGGAGGAGAGGGCGCTGAGCCAGCGGGGAGACGATCTTGGGGTTCTGCAGCTTGACAAAAGGTGGGGAAGGGGGGAAGCTTTTCTGCTGCTGAGCAACCAGAGGAAACACTTTGACTTGGGGAGTCTGCACCGGGGTTGACGTCTGAGGGCCCTGCTGCAGCGCACGGGGCAGGCTGTGGTGTTTCGGCTTGGCCTGGTGGGCATCCAGATGCTTGGAAGGAGGACTCTGGCAAGGGAGTTCTTTGTAAGCGGGGGCCTCAATTTTTTTCTCTTGAGGAGATTGGCCTAGCGCCAACGCCTGTTCGGCCAAGAAGTTGAGTGGAGACTGCACAGAGCCTCCTGCAGCTGAATGAACAGGGGCGGGAGCTGCTTTGGGGAAGATCCTCTTCTCTTCCAAGCTGGTCTGAGTCGAGGGCTTCTCCACGGGCGTCTTCAGAGCTGGAGAGAGTGTGAAGTCAGGGCTGCTGCCTCCCGTCCGGCTGTTGAGCGCAGCCAGTTCCTTGGAGACAGCTTCCAAAGATGAAGTTGTGTGATGGATCAAGTCCTCGTCGAGGGAATCGTCCAAGGTGAAAGGAGGAGGGGGAGGAAGAGGAGGAGCGGCCATGGTGCTGGTGACTGGATTTGAACTCATAGCCAACAGTTCCCTAGTTTGAGGGCTGAGGCCGACAACAACTCCCTGGGAGTCTGGAGAAAGAGAAACTGCACCGCTGGAGTGGATCAATGGGATGGGAAGGGGAATCTTCTTCTCAGGTTTGCCAGAAGGCTCCTAAAAAAAACCCCACAACAGTTCTGTGAGAAATAGTCCTTTCCGAGGTCAATCCAATCATCAAACGAGTTTTGTGTGATCGCTTTTGGAGACATTCTACTACTCTGCTAGGCCTCAAAAATACTGTATTTTTCAGAGTATAAGACGCACCTTTCCCCCCCCTAAAAGGGGGAGAAAATTTAGGTGCGTCTTATACACCGAATGTAGCCCCACCCGCCCACTGACCCCCACCCTTTGGCCTCTGACTCTCAGCAGTTTACCTCCTTGCAGCAAACAGCCTGCTTTACTTTCATTTTTGTTTTCAGCACAGCTTAATTAGCACAAGTTGATTGGATCAGCCTCCCGACTCTCAGCTGTTTTGCTCTCAGCTGTTTTGCTTGAGCCTCTGCTGCTTGCTGCAAAGAGGTAAAATGCTGGGAGCAGATTTTTTTTTCTTGTGCTAATCAAGCTATGCTGAAAACGAAAATGAAAGCAAAGCAAGCTGTAACGAGGTAAAATTGCTGGGAGGCAGAGGCAGAGTTCTTTCTCTTGTTTTCCTCACCGAAAAAGGTAGGTGCGTCTTATACTCCGAAAAATATGGTACATTATAGCAGGAGTGTCATCAGGGTTGTGTTTGACCTTGGGGGGCTGGGACGGGCATGGCTAGGGTGTGCGTGGCCAGCTCGATGTCACTCGCCTTTGGTGGCCCAAGTGCTCTGCCAGTGACAACAGGCTCCTGAGCTCTGTTTCCGGCTGCGATTGCCTCCTGCAATCTTCTGCCAGGGAAAACGGCCACACGTGGCCCTCCCGAGCTCTGTTTTCCCTGGCAGAGGCATTACGGGCCGGTCCTTTGCTATTTCCATGGGCCAGATCTAAGCACCCTGTGAGTCGGGGATCTAGCCCCTGGGCCTTGAGTTTGACACCCCTGCATTATAGAATTACTTGAAATTTTTCAGTCCCTTTTTTGTTATCTCCACACACAAAATAACTACCTTGTTTAGTTATTAGATGCCAAAATCCTTGGGGTACAAGCTTCCTACAATTCTGGAAAGCGAAACTAGGAAATTTGCATGCAGACAAAATGATCAAAGCCAGACTGGAGACCCCTTGTCATACAAACCCAGTCACACCTTCGCCATTATGGCATCCCTCTGCAATCTCCCCCAGGGGCTGAAAACTCTGGGGAAAGTCTTACCAAATCACTCACCTTTCCCTTCACCTTTGGAGGGGCCATCACTTTTTTCTTTGTTCTGAGGGAAACACAATGGAGAGAGAGAGGTTTGCTTTATTTCCAAGAGAATGAAATGCAGGGTAATAAAACTTGCCACAGTGGCTAACATGAGGATCTTCTGGTGCTTGGGGCAGGCCATAAATGCTCAAACTGGAACACAAATCCAATTTATTTAAGTAACTTTCTTTAAAAAGATTTGCATATTTAAAATGGAACATGTCCCTGCTGAAAGTCATTAATTAAAGTTGCTTGCACTTCCCAGTTAAAAGCCTATTGAGCAGGAAATGTGGGAAAAATCTGCACATATTGAGTTCTTAGAGAATAGTGTCAGGGTTCTGACAGAATTAACTCATGAGCCTCAACCAAGTTTCAAAAGAAATTCAGTTATTTATTAGGAGCAACATGTCAGCAACTACCCAAATGAAGTCAACTCTGCCCTTACGGCTCAACTCTGACCCTGTTTCCCCTCTCCTCTCAGGCTGTGTCATAAATCACATTCTCCAACAAGGCACTTTTGCGGGCTGTAGAAAACACGCCTCAGTCCAGCTCTGGTAATCTGAGATCCAACCTTGAGAAAGGTATGCGTGAAATGTACTTTTGAACGTGGCTCTTGAACTGCTTATTCAGTTCTGCCCCCCCCTTCCTTCCCACCGCAACTTAAGAGCAGACCAAAAATGCTTTGCGAGTTGACAATAGGATGGGTTTGACACTACATAACATAGATGTCAACAAGGATCTGTTGGTCCCATTATTTGGTACCCAGGTGCCTTTTGCTGCTTAGTAGTGAAAGTATATCCTCTTGCTATGGTTGTAGTACATTTGAAACATGACCTTAGTTGTAATAGTTTTAATTCTGAGTCATTTTTTTAAAAAAAACCAGCACAAAAACACAGCCCTTACAACATTTTATGCAATAGTACGACAGATGGTTGCGTTTTGAATGACAACAATTAAACTTGGTAGGCAACGAGGGAGCCCCACTGTTGGAGAAGAAGGCAGAATGTCGAGGTGGAATTAAAAAAGGGATCAGCCTAGTATCCCTACATAGCTACAAGCGAACTATGTTCAGCCTCCTTTAAGTCCCATTGACCCTTCTCTAACTCCGAATAAGTGCTAACCATTAGTTAAGAAGATTCCTGTGCACAGTCTTTTAACAAAGATTTTCAGCAGATCAGTTTAATTGTATTTTCATGTCTGGATCTGGTCTTTCACTTTTCTGTACTGGCAATGTAAGAAATACTCACGGGATTGAAGTGAGATGACTGTGCACTTTTCTGCTTTCTTTGAACAATGTCCTGAAAAAGAAGAGAAAGGGGGAGAAACTGAGCCAAAATTGTTCCCCCCCACAAAAAAAAGGGGGAGTGGGCGCTGAAAATAACAGGAATATAGATTTCTAGGACAAGAATTGAACCACTATAACAAAATTATATGTTGCATGGGACACTTAGTGGCTAAGACGCTGAGCTTGTCTATCGAAAGGTTGACAGTTCAGCAGTTCGAATCCCTAGTGCCGCATAATGGGGTGAGCTCCCGTCACTTGTCCCAGCTTCTGCCAACCTAGCAGTTCGAAAGCACATAAAAAATGCAAGTAGAAAAATAGGGTCCACCTTTGGTGGGAAGGTAACAGCGTTCCGTGCGCATTTGGCATTGAGTCATGCCGGCCACATGACCACGGAGCCGTCTTTGGACAGCGCTGGCTCTTTGGCTTAGAAACAGAGATAAGCACTGCCCCCTAGAGTTGGAAACGACTAGCACATATGTGTGAGGGGAACCTTTACCTTTACCAAAATTACAGGAATCACATTCGCTGTTAAAAAATGGTCAAATTAGGGTTGTAAAACAAGTCATGAGAAGACAGAAAGTATCTCCTCTACATTATTGGTTCATCCTGAAGAGTAGTTTGTTCCTCTAATCTTGTTTTATCTGTCTAAATAAAACATCACTGGGTGTTTTTAAGAAAAAAAAAAAGAGTAGGGTAGAGCAGAGTAGAGCAGAGCAGAGCAGAATAGAATAGAATTCTTTATTGGCCAAGTGTGATTGGACACACAAGGAATTTGTCTCCAGTTCATAAGCTCTGAGTATACATACAAAGAACAAAGTAATATAATCATAATATTCCAACAGCAGGAAGGCAATAGGGAAAATGTGATGGATAACAGTAATACACCCACTTACTACATGGGTAAATATGCTTAGACATAAGACAGTGCTGTGGGATTTACATGTTCAGCAGAGTGATGGCACGAGAAAAAAAAAAAACCTGTCCCTGTGTCTAGTTGTTTTGGCATGCAATGCCCTATAGTGGCATCCTGAGGTGAGCAATGGAAACAGATTGTGATCAGGATGTGAGGGGTCTGTAGATATTTTCTCAGCCCTCTTTCTGACCCATGCAGTATAGAGATCTCCAATGGAAGGCAAGTTGGTTGTAATTGTTTTTTTCTGCAGCCCTAACTATTTAAATTGGATATTCTAACTAACTTGAACATTCTATCTAATTCACTAAATTTAACTATTCATTTGTCTGGGATGGCATAAGGTCTCTTGCCTTCGGCAGGGGGTTGGACTTGAGGACCTCAAAGGTCCCTTCCACATCTGTGATTCTATTATTATTCTGAGTGACAAAGCAAACAATACCCCATTATACTGCCATTCTGAAGAAACAAGCACCACGAATTCTTGTTACAACTCCTATTAACTACGGGACAAAGGTTTCCTGGCACTTGTAGGCTCTTATTTCTACACAGCCCCAATTTACACAAACAGCGCATAGAGCCACTTCTTCAGGAGTTCATAGCTACCATTCCTCTCAAAGCAAACAAGACTTTTATGAGCCTTTCATTCACATTATTTGCTCTTGGTTGGTTTAGGCTGAAGCTTCGCCCGTTCGATAGCCATCTATCGCCTCTTTATAGTGTAAACACAACACTAGAAACTTCACTGCAAGCCAAATTCCAGATCCGACATTCATTAGGAAGGCTTGCAAAATCATTTGCTTTTCGTTCCTCTGACCTCTTTCATATAACAGAATAACAGAGTTGGAAGGGATCTTATAGGTCATCTAGTCCAACCCCCTGCTCAAGCAGGAGATCCTACACCATTTCTGATAAATGGCAGTCCAATCTTTTCTTGAAATTCTCAAGTGATGAAGCTCCCACAACTTCAAAAGGCACCTCCTGTTCCATGGGTTGATTGTTCTCACTGTCAGAAAATTTCTCCTTATTTCCAGGTTGAATCTCTCCTTGTTCAGTTTCCATCCATTATTCCTTGTCCGGCCTTCGGGTGCCTTGGAAAATAGCTTGACTCTCTCCTCTCTGTGGCAGCCCCTCAAATATTGGAAGACTGCTATCCTGTCTCCCCTGGTCCTTCTCTTCACTAGACTAGCCATGCCCAGTTCCTGCAACCGTTCATCCTATGTTTTAGCCTCCAATCCCCTCATCATCCTGGTTGCTCTTCTCTGCACTTTTTCTAGAGTCTCAACCTCTTTTTTATAGTGTGGTGACCAAAACTGGATGCAGTACTCTAGGTGTGGTCTTACTAAGGCTTTGTAGAGTGGTACTAATACCTCACTTGATCTTGATTGTATTTAGTTAGAGCACCGGGATAACAGTAGTAAAATTATATAGAAGGAGCACATTAACACTGTGGCACATGCATGAATGTAATATGTATTTTGTAAGATTTGAGGAATTAAATAAATTTTAAAAAAAGCATGACACCTTGTTGGATGGAGCCCTGCTACATCCAAGATACTTATGGGCTGATTAGATGGGAAAGGAGAAGTCCGTGGCTTCTCATTTCTCTTACCTGGCCTGCATCCATCCCTTTGGCCAAAGAGGTTTGATTTCAGCGTCTAGGAATGTTTTTACGTAGTCTTCCATGGACTGAGCTTTGTTCTTCTCCACATCATACCCATCCAGTTTCATCTTCACACCTTGGCAGAGCAAATCTCTACAAGAGGAAAAACACTTTGTCAGCCCTGAAGCTGGCCTGACTGAGGCCATTTTGAAACTTCAGCACTGACACACTGGAGAAGAGGGTCAGGGAATGGGGGGGGGGGAGATAGAGAGAGTTGGGGTGTTGTAGTCAAAACAAAATACTTTCTCTTGGGAACCAAGGATGTTCCTGCAGGTGCTCAGAAGGAGGGGACTGGAGTCACCTAGCAACTGGGCAGTATCCTGATTGGACCATGTGACTGATTGTTTTGAGAAAGTGGAAAACTTTTATTTTTAATTAGGTGAAAACCACAAGAATAATCAGAGTCGGTTTTCATCAGCCGTGCCAATATCATATATCCAATACTTATTCTTTGAGGAATCTACCTGCCTCGGAGTTTTGTTTGCTGTGGGTAACCCTGACACATTTATCAGGTTTTTCCAAAGCTATCTCCCAAACCCTACATGCAGTGTCATTTAACGGAGATTGAAAGAGCTATTTTAAATATGATTTCAAGCTGCCAGTCCACCTTTCACATCTGGGATGTTCTCACCTAGTACCTCAAATTCCACCTCAGCCTAAGCAGCAGTGACATCAACTCTATGAAATGTGTTCCCCAGACTTCCTTGTTCAGAATCTTGTAATGCCTGACAGAAATCTGCTTCTGAGTATTTAGCTGGAAATTGGGCAGACGTCTCTGATGGTTGAGATGTATCCCTTCTTCTTTCCCCCTTTCTCAATCTGTTAGCCAGACTCTGCTTGGTCATTTGTTCATTTCCTATTGAAATATTTCCCCAAAAGGTGGGTTTTCAGGAGGTTGCTTGTATGCTGTATTTTGTTTTCTATGTAAGTCACCAACTATGCTAATGTAGGTCAGAGGTGAGGTGGCGCAATGGTTAGAGTGCAGTATTGCAGGCTAACTCTGCCAGCAGTTCGAATCTCACCAGGCTCAAGGTTGACTCGGCCTTCCATCCTTCCGAGGTGGGTAAAATGAGGACCCAGATTGTTGGGGGCAAGAGGCTGACTCTGTAAACCGCTTAGAATGGGCTGTAAAAGCACTGGGAAGCGGTATATAAGTCTAAGTGCTATTGCCCTTTTTCTTTCTTTCCCTTTCTCTCTCTCTCTCTCCCTTCCTCCCTTCCTTCCTTCCTTCCCTTCTTGCCTCCCTCTCTCCCTTCCATGGTGCACACTGGCTAGAGTGCAGTATTGCAGGCTAACTCTGCCAGCAGTATGAATCTCACCAGGCTCAAGGTTGACTCAGCCTTCCATCCTTCCGAGGACCCAGATGGTTGGGGACAAGAGGCTGACTCTGTAAATGCCTTAGAGAGGGCTGTAAAAGCACTGGGAAGCGGTATATAAGTCTAAGTGCTATTGCTATTAGAAGGCCTGTTTTTTTGAAGCTTAACAGAAACCAGTTAAAAAGGATACTGAATTGCCTTCAATGATAAATATCTTAGTAAGTCTCTTGCTTTGAAATTGGACCTCTTAAAAATCAGGGCGCCAAATGACTTGACCAAAAGACCAGTAAGCCAAGTATGATTTACAACAATTAGAGCCAGAATCTCTGTTGCTAAGCAAGGTGGTTGTTGAGTCACACCCAATGTTACCATTTTTGCCACAGCTGTTAAGCGAATCACTGCAGTTAAGTGAAACATGCAGTTAAGCGAATCTGGCATCCCCCCCCCATTGACTTTTGCTTGTTGGAAGACAGCAGGGATGTTCTCAAACGGTGATCACACATGATCTCAGGACACGGCAACTATCAATACGTACCGTTGCCAATCATCTCAATTTTGACTGTGGGGAATGCTCCAATAGTCGTTAAGTGTGAGGAGCAGTCATAAGTCCCTCATTCCGGTGCTTTTGTGACTTGGAAAGGTCGCAAAGCCAACGGACGTAAGTCAAGGATTACCTGCACCAACTGTGAGAAGGGGAAAGCAAAGGCACACCCGTTCCCAGAGGGAGGGCGACTGTGTTCTCCCCAAAGGCCAGAACAGGGTTCTAAAATCCAGATGTTTTCCAGCAAACCTGATTTCATCATTCCACTGAAACTTCTTCCGAGGTCCCATGATCCTCTTTCCTCCTTTATCATCCTCATCCTCATCCTCCGAACAAACTCGGTCTCTTTGCTCCTTGTCCTTCTCCTCTTCCAGCATCCTGAGAGAAGGAAAACCATAACTGAGGCACTAACTGGGCCCTTCTCCCAAAAAAACATTCTGCCTGCCAAGGATCAGCCAATGAAGAAGATGTCCCAAGAGTTCTCAGCAGTTACGCTTCTCGACTTCAGGGATTATCCATGTAGGAAGTTAGCACCCACCCCTCTCCTAGGAAAATGGAATATTCTAGGAAATATTAAAAAGGCAGAATATATTTCCCTAGATGAGAAATGGAGAAACATGTTTTTAGGCAGGAAGCAGACTCACTCTTAATAGCCCCCACCTTCCTTAATAGCCCACAGCAAATGTCCACATTTAAGAGATGAAGAGATAGCTAGGTCTATTCGTAGGCAAATGTCCTGAGATCCAACAAAGGTAGGATTAGCCCTCTACCCATCTAGCAACAGAACTCACCACATGGCACCTGGGGAGACTGCATCACCCAGCAAGGCTCAACCAAGCCTGGGACCACAGAGTTGCCCCTGCATGGCCCCATGGGAGTCTTGACAACCAATCAGAATACAAGCTCAAAGCCCAACAGAGGGCATAAAACCCAGGCACTCTCAGCATCTCGGCCCTTTTTTCTGCCCAGGATCTCAAGCCATGTGATCCTGTTCATCAATAAACCTTCTTTCCAAGCAACTTCCATGAATCCAGAGTCGTTTTTCCCCACTTGGAACTGAACCCAGAAGGATATTTCTTCCAACACCGAGCCTGGAGTATCTACGGAGGACTTGCAGGGAAGGGTGACCAGAGAGATAACAAAAACAAACGAAACACATACTTGGCAAACTTGGCCTGGGTGTGTGCTTGGCATTCTTCCTGGTACTTGGCCATCTGCTCAGGCATTGCTCTGCCAATGGCCTCTTTCAGCTTCTGAAGGGGCTCCTTCAGCCGACCCCCCTAAGAAAACACCAAAAGTTAGGGGCCTGCTTCCTATTTGCCCTGTTCAAGCAATCGTCTACTCACAACCAGGCAGTGGTTTTATTTTAAAGATAGGGGAAAGCACAACAGAGTGGTGCGGGGGCCTAGAGGTGGAGCTCTCGCCTCACAATCAGAAGGCTGTGAGTTTGATCCTAGGTAGAGGCAGATATTTCTCTCTCTGGGCACACTGAGAATTTATCTGCTGAACAAAACTCCACATTGGCGACAGGAAGGGCACCCAGCAAGTAAACGGCAAGCTCCATTCAGTTGCCCAGACTGCACCCCGATGCAAGGGATTGTGGAGTCGTTAAAAGATGATGATGATGATGATGATAGGAGAAAGCACAATTGTGGGCTATCAGGCACATAAAAAAGCCTGCTTGTTAAATGTGCTCCAGGCATTTTTCTCAGGAGGCAAGGACGTCATGGAACCCTTTTCTTAAAGGCTCAACTTTCTTGACATGACATTTCCAGAGAGGCAATAAAAGGCCATTGTTCTTCCTGCAGCTCCTGGGTTCACCTTAGTCTCCTTTCATCCCTTACAATCTGGGACACTTTTACGTGATGGCATTGGCTTGCATATTTTTTAAGATCCTTTCATTTTTGAGAGATGAATTTTAACAGATTTAATAGATTAACCGAGCTGGAAGGGACCTTGTAGGTCATCTAGTCCAACCCCCCTCCCCCGCTCAAGCGGGAGACCCTACACCATTCTGACGGATGGCAGTCCAGTCTCTTCTTGAAAGCCTCCAGTGATGAAGCTCCCACAACTTCTGAACGGAACTTCTGTTCCATGGGTTGATTGCTTTCACTGTCAGAAAATTCCTCCTCATTTCAGGTTGAATCTCTCCTTGTTCAGTTTCCATCCATTAGTCCTTGTCTGGCCTTCGGGTGCTTTGGAGAGTAGCTTGACCCCCTCCTCTCTGTGGCAATTCCTCAAATATTGGAAGGCTGCCATCATGTCTCCCCTCTCAGCCTAGTTCCGTGATGGCAAACATGTGTGCCCAAAGTGGCACGCAAAGCCATGTTGCCTGGCACGCGCAGCCTTGCCTATTTGTCTCCTGGGTTTCTGGTGTGCATGCATGTGCAACTATCAGCTGTCCTTTGGGCGCACAGCAGTGCCGAAAACCGGCCTCCGCATGTGCGCTGGCCAACTGATCATCAGGTGTGCTTGTGCACTAGAATCCAGAAGTTCAGCTTTTCCGGAGTGTGGCCCCGACAAGCATGCTCATACATGCGCAATGTTTGCACGCAAAAATTTCAGCACTTGGTACCGAAAAGGTTCGCCATTACTGGCCTAGTTGAAAAAGTGGCATCAAAATGCTGCAAATAAGCACAGCTTCCTTTCCTCAGCCAGGATTATTCCTCAATGTAAATGCTGCTATTTCATCATTAGGGGTCTTATAATTAAAAGATGTTTCCCTTGTTGTTATTTCAAGCCTGGGTTGGCTGTGACTCACCCGGCTTCAAAAAACTCTGTTCCGTTCCTCTCCTCTCTCCAGCTCTATACTTAATCTGGTTGTCCCAGCTTCGTGGCAGCCACCATGGCTGCCATCCCCCACCGCTGAGTCACAGAGTTCCCTCCGACCTTCGAGGAACTTGTCTGTTCCTCTTGGACATCCAAGGTGCCTCTCTTTCTTCCGCACCATCTACAGGACGGTTCTGGTCCATAGACCCATCGGTGGCAGTTCGTCAGCCGGGGTTTTTGCGGACCTCGTCGGAGTCCGCTAATTCCCCGACTGTCTCGCTGCGACGCCAAACCGGAAGTTGGGGTGGTCTTAAGATTCTTCAGGGCTACATTTAAATCATGGGGCCACTTTTTTCACTCCTTTTCCACGTGCACTTTCCTCTCTGTTTCCTCATCTATGAGAGTAAACTCTAAGGAAAAGGCCAGACTGCTCCTGCCAGAAGCCTGAAGCGACCAATTGCAAAGCCTTTCCAACTCAATGGAGGGATGCGAATTAACCGTATTTTTCGGAGTATAAGACACACCTTTCCCCCCCCCTAAAAGGGGGTGAAAATTTGGATGCGTCTTATACACCGAATGTAGCCCCGCCCATTCACTGGCCCCCACCCTTTGGCCTCTGCCTGCCAACAGTTTACCTCCTTGCAACAAGCAGCAAGAAGAAACAGCCCATTTCAGCTTCAGCACAGCCTAATTAGCACAAGTTGATTGGATTGGCCTCCCGACTCTCAGCTGTTTTGCGCGGGCCTCCGCTGCTTGCTGCATGGAGGTAAATTGCTGGGAGCAGATTTTTTTTCTTGTGCTAACCAAGCTATGCTGAAAATGAAAATGAAAGTAAAGCAGGCTGTTTGCTGTTTGCTGCAAGGAGGCAAAATTGCTGGGAAATTTCTTTTTCTTGTTTTCCTCATCAAAAAAGGTAGGTGCGTCTTACAGTCCAGAGCGTCTTATACTCCGAAAAATACGGTACCCATCTCTGTGCAATGGCTCATTGGCCAGCAGCTGCCTCCCCCCAAAATCACTCACCTGTTCATACACGTAAAGTCGCCGGGCTCGCTTGACCAGAGTATCTTTGTTGCAGGGCAAGAAGGAGGCCAGATACGCGTAGACCCCTGATCGCATTTGGCTGTTCAGCTCCCGGGTTTGCAGCTCTATACTGAGGGCAGAAGAGGAAGAATTATTTAGCTCTGGTTCAGCCAGCTTCCCGAAGTGTCGCCTGATTAGGAAACATGCCCCCTGATTAAATCGATGCAGGTTAAACTCTGAAACCCATGGAACAAGGGTTTTCCACCTCTCCCAATTAACATTTAAGAACATTTCACCATTGCCCTCAAAGTAAAATATACCAGTAATTCAAAGGTGGATTTCAGCAGGTTCTGACCAGTTCTGGAGAACCGGTAGCAGAAATTTTGAGTAGTTCGGAGAACCTGTAGTAAAAATTCTGACTGGCCCCACCTCTGGAGATTTTACAGTATCCTTCCCAGTGAGGGGTTTCAAATTTTTTTACTACTGGTTCTGTGGCCGTGGCTTGGTGGGTGTGGTGTGGCTTGGTGGGCATAGCAGGGGAAGGTTACTGCAAAATCCCCATTTCCTCCTGATCAGCTGGGATTTGGGAGGCAGAGAATAAATGGAGGCAGGGCCAGTCAGAATTTTTACTACCGGTTCTCTGAACTACTCAAAATTTCCGCTACTGATTCTCCAGAACTGGTCAGAACCTGCTGAAACCCAACTCTGATCCTTCCCCTGCCATGCCCACCAAGCCATGCCAATCAAGCCATGCCACGCCCACAGAACTGGTAGTAAAAATTTTTGAAACCCACCACTGCAGTAATTTCCCCTGCAAGTAAAAATAACAATGCCACGGGAAATGTCCCCTTCCTTATAACCCACCATCATGCGATGGTTTATGTCTATGCTCTCGCTAAGGAAAGGATCTCTAAGATGCTCTTCCTGAGGGAGCCTCTTCTCCCTCGCTTTCCTGGAGGCTTGCAAGGCCTGACTTCTACAAGCAGGAAGGGGGCTTACTCCAGTAAGATGCTATTCATGTCTTGGTTGAAGAACTTGTGTTTGCCTTCTCTCTCCGCAGCTCTGGCAGCCTAATTCAGAAACAGACAAGGAAGAATAATTAGGAGGTAATAGTGACACAGGGCCAGAGAGGGGGGAACAGGGGAAGAAGCTGGATTATTAAAAAAGAGAAAGAAAGGTTAGAAAGTATGCGTTCAAAGGCAGAAAGACCACAGTCCCAATAAAACAGAAGTGGGCTGATTTCAAACCAAAACTCTCATAAATCCAGCATGGTGTGAATCCTATATCAGCATATAAGAGAGTCCTCGACTTATAACCAGAATTGAGCCCAATGTTTTTTGTTAAGTGAATTCACATTTGTGAATTTTGCCCCGTTTTACGACCTTTCTTGTTTCCGTTGCTAAGGGAATCAGTGCAGTCGTTAAGTTAGTAACATGGTGGTTAAGTCAATCTGGTTTCCCCATCGACATTCCCCATCAGAATGTCACAAAAAATCATTACCCGCCACCCCGCCACAAGTTGAGAAATATATGGCAACAATAAGAGCTTTTTCCTCTTGCAAAATAGGTCCAAGATTTATAAACTTCTACATCTCTTGGCTTTGATCTGTCAAATAACTTCTTCAAGTCCATCATAACTTCAAAGGGTACCATATTTTTCAGAGTATAAGAAGCACTTTCCTCCTCCTTAAAGAGGCTGAAAATTTGGGTGCATCTTATACTCCGAATGTAACCCCATCCACTTGTCGGCCCCCACCCTTTGGCCTCCATGCGTCCTCTTCCTGGCTGCAGAGATTGCCACCGACAATGGCTTGTTTTTGGGCTCCGCACGTCGCGTTTTCAACTTCCAAACGCTCCGTTTGAGAACCCTTCAAGACTGCGGGGATCGACAAAGCACATCGCCACCGATCACCACCCGAAAACACGATGTGTTTGGAGACTAAAAACGTGAGGTGCGGAGCCCAAAACCCGGAACAGCTGCTGCTTTCTCTTACCGCTTCCGGGCTTCGCCTGCTTTAATCACTGGAGTTCCCTCCGTGATCAGCTGTGCTTTTGAAGCTGTTTTTTCAGCCCCAACGCAAGTGATCTTCCGTGCTTTGCCTGCTTTTCTAATTGCAGCTCCCTCCGACCATCAGCTGTGCTTTAGAAGCTGCTTTTTAGCCCCAACCTCAAAACCAGTGAGCGAACTAATGTGCTGAAGCTGACCAGGCTAAGGACGCTAGCCAGATGAATACCTGGTAGGCAGAATTTTTGTTTTCCTATTTTCCTCCCCCAAAACTAAGGTGCTTCTTATACTCTGAAAAATATGGTAATTAAGTGACTGGTCCTAAATTGAGGACTACCTGCATTGTTTGATGTTCGTGCAACTGGACATACAATACCTGAGTAAGCTCTTCAACACGCTTCATCAGTGGTTCTGGAAGCCCCTCAGGGAGGGAGGGAGGGACCTGCTTGAGGTCGGGTTCCAGGCCTGCTCCCAGGGGATCGCTTCCATTTTCCATCTCCATAAAAGGGCTTTCCTCCGGAGATTCACTCAGAAGCTGTTCCAGGTCCAGGTCAGTCAGGGAGTCCATGGCTGTGGCTGCCTGAAGCAGTTCGTTTTCACTCGTGTGGCCGAAGAGAGAGAGAAGAGGGTCGGGCACGGACTCCACTTCCCGCTGAGCTGGGGTTTCGGCCAATGAGGGAATGCTAAGTTTGGGTTCATCGTCCTTCTGCTTCTTGGCATCTTTTTCCTTCTGAAATTTCTTCAGCATCTCCTTGACGCTCAAGGCCCCTGAGTATTTCTTTTTCTTCTTCTCTTTGCTGGCGTTCAGAGCTGTGAAACTATCAAAGAAACAGGTTAATGTACACAGCACGGAGGAAAGTGTACACAGATGGGAGAGTCCTCAGCTTACGACCATTTGCTTAACAACCCATTCAGTTACACAAGCCCTGAAAAATTACGACTGTTTTTTTACACTTATGACTGTTTGCAGCATCCCCCACAGACATGTGATCAAACATTGGGTGCTTGGCAAGTGGCATGTAGCAATAGGTAAAAGGTTCCCCTCGCACATGTGTGCTAGTCGTTTCTGACTCTAGGGAGCGGTGCTCATCTCCGTTTCAAAGCCGAAGAGCCAGCGCTGTCCAAAGACGTCTCCGTGGTCATGTGGCCGGCATGACTCAACGCCAAAGGCGCATGGAACGCTGTTACCTTCCCACCAAAGATGGTCCCTATTTTTCTACTTGCATTTTTTACTTGCTTTCGAACTGCTAGGTTGGCAGAAGCTGGGACAAGTGATGGGAGTTCACCCCGTTACGCGGCACTAGGGAAAAAACCTCCAACCCTAGCCTGTTTTTGGAAATGGTTCAAGAGGGAACCTGCGCGTGCATGCACACACACGAGAGAGAGAGAGGGGGGGGGGGGGGAGTGAGGAGAGAGAGAGAGAGGGGGGGAGAGAGAGAGAGAGAGAGACCTATTTAAAATATCTGGAGCCACAAAACCTGGGTAGGTGTGGTTGGGTGCATCATGTGACTGGGTGGGTGGGAGTGAGTGATATTGAGTTTGCCATGCCCACCCAGGTTTTGTGGCTCCCGGTGTTTTGTTTTCTGTGGGGAAAAGGGCCCAAGTCGTTCTTTGAGTGTTTAAGGTTGCAGACCCCTGGCCTAACTAATTTTGCCCTGACTGATGAAGTTGCTTGGATGAGCAACAAAACGTCTCAGATTGACAGAGATTGGTCCAGTTGCCATGTTTTAACCTTTGGACACCTTTGGCCTGGATGATTGAGTCTTCATCAACCTATTGTACAGTGGACTGAGCCTATTGTCAGAAACAGATGAGGAGGAGGAGAACTGGAATTTAGATCCCACAATGCAGCTTAAAAAGTTGATCTCTCCCTAAACTTCCAATGAAGTCAAGTCACCTGCAGGGAGATGATCAAGGCAATCCCTTTAACTTCAAAAACCACATCCCTATGTCGAAGAGAGAGACTTACCCAGTTTTTGGAAATTTCGATTTTTTAGATTTCTTCTCTTTCTCGTAATTGTCATCTTTCTTCTTTTTCTTCACCTTCTCACCTCCCTCTTTCAATTTCCGCTTCTGTGAATCAGAACAAAAGTTACCATAAAAGATAGCGCATGAGGCTGGCTGGGGGATTCTGGGAGTTGAAATCCACAGATCTTAATGTTGCCACCCCTGCCCTAAATTTAGTCACGACAGAAAACAAAGAGGACAAGAAAAGAAAGAACGCTCTCTCTCCCAGCATCCAAATCCAACGAAACTACATGCCAAATGGATTACTGGCCAGAAATAGTCCCAAAGGTGCTTTTTTCAAAAGGCAACTGGACTTTCTGGTTTTTCTTTGAAGACATTTCACTTCTCATCTGAGAAGCTTCTTCAGCTCTGACTGAATGGTGGGAAATGGAAGGATTTGTATTAGTTGCACAGCTCCACAACACACAATCCATTCAGCAGTTCCAAGGCGGTGTTGTGACTCCGACCCCCGAGCCCGTCTTATCGGAGGGAGAAGACTCCGAAGGTGAAGGAGAGGAGTTGGCCAGGCCTCCCTCTCCAGGACCCTCCTCTCTGGCAATGCCTCAGTTGTCTCCCGAAGGAGAAGAGATTGGCCAGGAGCCAGGTATCTCCGAACAGTCGCAGTCGGACAGTGACGGAGATAAGTCTTGGCTGGATCCACGCCAGCGTCGGAAAGACAAGCGCACGGAACAGAAAAGGAGGCGTGCCAGAGATTAAGCTGAGTCACTGGACCACACCCCACAGGGGATAAAAGGGGGTGTGGTGGCCATTCAGGCTCTGTGACAGACAAAACTAAACAACTAGCGAGTCGCATTGTATCTCTGAAACTACGTTATCTGCCTGCCTTGGATTTAATACGAACTGGACTTGACAATTCTTTGACTTTGTGTATTGTTTTAGTTTATCTGACGGAGGAGGAACACCTCCCTCTGTGAGTAAAGTTCTTGGCAAGCAGCTACTGGGTTGCTGCCAATCCTGTTATCGAAGGAATTTATTGTCTGCAAGTTTTATTTAACTCCTGGCTGACTGTTTGTGTGCATGTGTGAGATGGGGACAGAACAGGCGGCTCCACACCCATTTGCACTACTCAGGTGACCCAGAGGACGCAAAGAAACCTCCAAGCGGCCTCAATGACCCTCGAAAAGGATGCAAATGACCTGCTGCCTGCAAGGAATATAAATCCTTCCATTCCCCACCATCTGGTTAGAGCTGAAGAAGCTTCTTGGATGAGAAATGAAACATCTTCAAAAGAAAAACCAGAAAGTCCAGTTGCCTCTTGAAAAAAAAAAAGCACCTTTGGGACAACCATGACCTGGATGACTGAGAATCTCCATAGACATTTTTGGTCAGCAATAGGTACACCTTGTTCTTTGAGGGGAAAAAACGACAACCTGTCAAGCCAGCTAAGTACTGATGTGATCTCAACTGCTATAATCTCCCAGTCACGAGAGCCTTCTGTGCTGTTAAGATTACAAGCAACGGCATGCAGAAATTGCTACAATGCCTTGTTTGTTCACAGAGTATGAATGAACTTTTGGACCTCGTTGCTGTACTCTGCCCTCTGTTTACTTTCACTTATTTTCACAGATGGTGGCATAGTGCCTCCCAGCTTTACAGATCGCCCTTGAGTAGGCCCTCTCACAATCTGGATGACGGGTGCAATCATCTTGGTGCATCCTTGGGAATTTCACTCGCCCCACCCTGCATTTTCTTCCCCAAAATCAGCCTGGGAAAGTTGGGCATCCTTTTCCACCCATGACATTCTTGAGACGTTCACATTTTGTCACGTTCGTCGTCATCACCAATGTCATGAGTATCTTAAAGGTAAAGGTTCCCCTCGGACATACGTGCTAGTCGTTCCCGACTCTAGGGGCCAGTGCTCATTTCCATTTCAAAGCCAAAGAGCCAGCGCTGTCCGAAGACGTCTCCATGGTCATGTGGCTGGCATGACTCAACGCCAAAGGCGCACGGAATGCTGTTCCCTTCCCGCCAAAGATGGTCCCTATTTTTCTACTTGCATTTTTTTATGTGCTTTTGAACTGCTAGGTTGGCAGAAGCTGGGACAAGGAACAGGAGCTCACCCCCTTACACGGCACTAGGGATTTGAACTGCTGAACTGCCGACCTTTCAATCGACAAGCTCAGAGTCTTAGCCGCTGAGCCACCGCGTCCCTTAATGAGTATCTTACTAGGTTTAAATTGACACTATTTATTCAGGACTTGAAGGAGGCATACATAGTGCTCCATACTATTTTTTTTTCGTTCCCTAGAACACCCACCCTATGAGGCAGGTTGTACCAATAAAACAAGGACTAAGTTAGTCTTCTGGTTAGCTGCCATGACTGGGAATGGCAAGGACCTGGGTCTCCCAGCTCTTAGTAAAAGGTAAAGGAGTTGTTGCTGCAATTTGTTGCTGACTAAAGAGGACGGTGCTAATCTCAGTTTCAAGGCCATTGAGCAGTGCTGTCCAAAGATATTTCCATGATCACGTGGCCATAAGGTGGATTTGATTTAAATCAAGTCAATTTAAATCATGATTTAAATCACTAGTAAAAAGGCTTGATATAAATCAACTCGATTTAAATCATAATTTTTAAAAAGCAACAGTCATCTCTGTCCAGCAGCAGTTCCTCCTCTGATCCGCTGTTGACTCACCAACAGTCCCGATATTGCAGAATATACAGCCTCATGCTACATAACTAAGCTCCATTTCACGCTAAATAAACTAAATAATCTTAAATAGAAAATTATCTTTAGATAGATTTTTACTCCAAAAGCATTTTATTAAAATAAATTTGATAAAAATCAAAAAAATCTGATTTAAATTAAAAAAAAAACGATTTTTTTTTTTTAAAAAATGCATAGATTTTTATTCACCCTGTGTGGCCCGTATGGTGTCATGGAGCACTGTGACCTTCCCTCCAAAGCGCTACCTATTGATCTACTCGCATTTGCATGCTTTCAAACTGGTAGGCTGGCAAGGGCTCTTAATCCCTCATCTTAATCTACCTCACTCTGGCCCTCCCATTTCTTGTCTGATGCAAACCCCAGTGAACTGGATCTGATTCGCAGCAGCTATTTTAACAGTATGGGCAAAATCTGTACCTTGGAAATACCATTTCTCAATTTGTTTGGACGCATCTAAAAGTCCAAGTCTCAAAAGTCTTAAGAAAAAAATGGCTTTACGGAGTCTGAAGATCCGACAGCAGAGAGTCTATTTCTGGGACAGTCAGGCTGACCATGTTTAGCAGAACTGCTGCGATGTTAAGCTAACTTAGGAAAAATTGACTTTTTTTCCAATTGAGATGAGAAAAGCGACCTACTGAGTCAGAAACACAATTTCTGGCCATTTCTAAAACGGAAGTTCCCAGAGCATGTGGATCACCGACCTTAGGAGATTTCTTCTTTTTCTCCTTGATATAGTCATCTTCAGACTCGGATGCCTGTCGGAACTGCAGAGTTCCAGAGTTGATGTAGAAGCCTCCATACTTGGTTGTTAGAGATGCTGGAACAAGCTCGTCATACTGGAAAGAATACAGAAAGACAGATCAGTCCACAGCCTTGGTGTTTACAATCCCAACAGGGCTCCATGGGCCAATTTCCCGTGAACAGAGTTGACATAGCAGGCATTGAAAAGCGTCATATATTCATCTAACCATCAATATCTTCAGCAAAACTGAGATTTTCCTTCCTCACCGCTACTCTTTCCTAACTAGCAATAGCAATAGCACTTAGACTTATAGACCACTTCTCAATGCTTTTATAGCCCTCTCTAAGCGGTTTACAGAGTCAACACATTGCCCACCAACAATCTGGGTTCTCACTTTACCGACCTTGAAAGGATGGAAGGCTGGGCCAACCTTGAGCTGGTCAGGATCGAACTCCTGGCAATGGGCAGTTAGCCTGAAATGCTACATTCTAACCACTATGCACCGTGGAAGGAAGGAAGGAAGGAAGGAAGGAGAAAAGGAAGAGCAATAGCACCTAGACTTATATACTGCTTCAAAGTGCTTTACAGCCCTCTCTAAGCAGTTTACAGAGTCAGCCTCTTACCCCCAACAATTTGAGTTCTCATTTGACCCAATGTGAAAGGACGGAAAGCTGAGTAAACCTTGAGCCGGTGAGATTTGAACTGCTGAACTGCAGCTAGCAGTCAGCTGAAGTAGCCTACAGTACTGCACTCTAACCACTGCGCCACCTCGGCTCTACCAGACTCACTTGATTGTGATAGGTGGCCTATAAATACTAGTACTCTTCAATATCTTCATACATGACTCAGAATGAGGGAATAGAAGGGGAACTCATCAAATTCACAGATGACATTAAGGTGGCAGGAATAGCCAACACCCCATAAGACAAGCTCAAGATCCAAAAAGATCTTGACAAACTTGAACAATGGGCCCTATCCAACAGAATGAATTTCAATGTGGAGAAAAGCAAAGCTTTGCATTTAGGCAGGAAAAATCAAAGGTATAGGTACAGGTTAGGCGGGACCTGGCTCAAAAACAGTAACTGTGAGAGGGACCTTGGAGTCCTAGTGGATGATCACTTGAATGTGAGCCAGCAATGCACAGCAGCAGCCAAAAAAGCTAATGAAATCCTGGGTTGTATAAACAGAGGCATAGGATCAAGATCACGTGATGTATTAGTACTGCTTTATAAAGCCCTAGTAAGAGCACACCTGGAATACTACAACTAATTTTGGTCACCATACTACAAAAAAGATGTTGAGACTTTGGAAATAATAAACTGGAGCATCACTGGAATTCTATCTGCAGTGTCTTAAAATCCAGGTATTTTTCTGATTTATTTATTTATTGGTTCGATTTATATGCCGCCCTTTTCCGGAGACTCAGGGCGGCTTACAATGTGTTAAGCAATAGCCTTCATACTTTTGTATATACCTGCTTAGTAGGGCTTTCGCCGCTCCCACCCCCCCCCAGCGGTGTTCTTTTTATACAATTCTCAAGTGATGAAGCTCCCACAACTTCGAAAGGCAGCTCCTGTTCCATGGGTTGATTGTTCTCACTGTCAGAAAATTCCTCCTTATTTCCAGGTTGAATCTCTCCTTGTTCAGTTTCCATCCATTATTCCTTGTCTGGCCTTCGGGTGCTTTGGAAAATAGCTTGACCCCCTCCTCTCTGTGGCAGCCTCTCAAATACTGGAAGACTGCTCTCATGTCTCCCCTGGTCCTTCTCTTCACTAGACTAGCCATGCCCAGTTCCTGCAACCATTCATTGTATGTTTTAACCTCCAGTCCCCTAATCATCCTGGTTGCTCTTCTCTGAACTTTCTAGAGTCTCAACATATTTTTTATAGTGTGGTGACCAAAACTCGATGCAGTATTCTAGGATACGTTTATATTCAGTAATAAAATCTAATTTGCTAGTCGATACTGGAAAGTAAACCAAGGAAGAATATGTATGCAGATTCTCTTAATATAGATCCGGGGGGCGGGAGTGTGTTTTTTTATCACAAATGAATCTGAGAGATCTGTGGTAGATCTCTAATGAATCTGAGAGATCTGTGGTAGATCAGGAAAACATTCTAAGCCTCACTTGTTCATCAATAGAAGCAAAATTATAGCATTTTCTTATTTAGGCTGCTGAAATGAAAACACCTTGGAGGATTGCCAGGTCTGGATTTGTTATAAAAAAAAAAGAACCCAGCAAATTCTATCCGGCTGCTGCCCCACATTTGAATGAATACTCAAACAATAAAGGCGTTTTATCCTTTAATTTCAACTTCTAGTCTGGCTCCAGTTTCCAGATCCTGACATTTTAATAAAGAAACAGATTTCAGAAGCCTTCTCTAATCCGTGGCAGGAAACCAACAGTTGCTTGGATCAGTGCAGCTTTTATAACTTGGAATTCAGGAAAATATAGATTACTCCCCAATTAGTCCATAATTAAGCCCACAATAATGGTTGTAGGTTGTGATGGTCATTAAGGTTGCCATGTGATCGATCACCTGCCATTTTAAAATTACTTTGTGGAGATTATTAAGGGCACACCATGGTCATTAAATGAACGCCACAGTTGGTAAGGGAACTTATGGTACTCAATGGGCATTTTTTGCTGGAAATCAGAAGTAAACACTGGTTTCTGGCAAAATAATAATACTAACAACATGTTAACATGCAACAGTGATACCCATTGTCATCGGGGTATTTGGTATCATGTCCAAGAATTTTATAAAATACATCAAGAAATTGCAACTTCCTGCAATAATACCAGCGAAACTTCAAAAAACCGTGCTACTCGGAACATCGTACATTTTAAGAAGATACTTGGTTGATACCTAGGATGCTGGCAGCAACCTGTATCAGCCATTAGCGCCAGTCAATGATATTTGTGATACATTTTTAAATGTTCAGTTGACAGAGTTTCATGTTTAATGAATAAAAGAGATAATAATAATAATAATGATGATAATAATAAACCTCAGTCACATAAGCGCAGGATAATGCAAACAGCCGTACATGTCGGCCAGAACAGTAAAAGTGATGAAATGTGATGCGATGAGAGATGAAACAGATCCCTTATGTAGGTATTTTGTGCAAACTAGTAAAAGAAACATAGCTGTGATCCTTGAACTGTTTCTACATTATCCATTCCCAGAAAATTGCAACTTTTAAAATGCAAGCCATATCTAGAATACCCAGTGTTCCAATGTTAGCTGATGGTTCTGTTAATTCTCCTGTAACTTTAGGGAAAGAAAAGACTTCAGTTTGCTACTTACAGCTTCAGAATTATCAATGAAAGAATCTGATTCATCATATCCTTGTCCCATGTCAATCAAATCCTGAAAACGGTCTTTCCTGCGCTTCTTTCCTCCCTGAAAAGAGAAAAGGTTCGATGTTGATCCGGAGTTACCGTATTTTTCGGCGTACAAGACACACCTACTTTTTTTGGTGAGGAAAAGAAGAAAAAGAAATCTCTCTCTGCCTCTGAGCAATTTTGCCTCTTTGTAGCAAACAGCCTGCTTTACTTTCATTTTCATTTTCAGCATAACTTGATTAACACAAGGAACAAAAAATGCTCCAGCAATTTACATCTTTGCAGCAAGCAGCAGAGCCCTGCGCAAAACCGCTGAGAGTCAGGAGGCCGATCCAATCAACTTGTGCTAATTAGGCTGTGCTGAAGCTGAAATGAGCTGTTTTTTCTTGCTGTTTGCTTGCAAGGAGGTAACTGCTGGGAGGCAGAGGGTGGGGGCCAGTGGGTGGGCGGGGCTACATTCGGTGTATAAGACGCACCTAAATTTTCACTCCCTTTTAAGGGGGGGAAAAGGTGCGTCTTATAGTCTGAAAAATACGGTATTTGCAAGGCTACAATTCCTACCCAGACACACAACCCCAGAGTCTCTGGCTAATGCTTAGACCTGGTGTGTGCAAGTGGATTCCACAACAACATAATCATTACAACTCTTGAATGCTAACAAAAATAAAACATCAGCTGGCAATAGTCCACCACATATTTTCTAAAATATGAGGTAGCTAAAGGATAGTTTTTATAGATAGTCCTCGAGTTACGACCACAATTGAACCAAATATTTATGCTGCTAAGTGAACTGCTGGTTCGAATCTCTCCAAAGCTCAAGGTTGACTCAGCCTTCCATCCCTTCTAAGGTAGGTGAAATGAGGACCCAGTTTGTGGGGGCAATAAGCTGACTTTGTATAAAATATACAAAAGAATGAAGGCTATTGCTTAACGCATTGTAAGCCGCCCTGAGTCTCCGGAGAAGGGCGGCATATAAATCAAATAAAAAAAAAATTGTTAAGTGAGTTTGGCCCATTTTAGGACTTTTCCGGCCACAGTTAAGTGAATCATTGCATTTGTTAAGTTTGTAACATGGATGTTAAATGAATCCGGACTCCCCATTGACTTTGTCAGGTCGCAAAATGGGATTCGCGTGATCCCGGGACACTTGCAACCGTCATAAAGATGAGTCAGTTGCCCAGTGTCTGAATTTTGACCATATGACCAACCACAATGGTTGTTAAGTGTGAAAAACGGTCATGAGTCACTTTTTTCAGTGCCGTTCTAACTTTGAACGGTCCCTAAGTGAACTGTTGTAAGTTGAGGACTACCTGTACATCTCTAACTTCTGGAAAAACAAAACAAAAACCCAAGCCCGTTTACAGGTCTCCTTATATACTGCCAACCCAGCAGATCGAAAGCACGTAAAAAATGCAAGTAGAAAAATAGGGACCACCTTTGGTGGGAAGGGAACAGCGTTCTGTGAGCCTTTGGTGTTGAGTCATGTCGGCCACATGACCACGGAGACATCTTTGGACAGCGCTGGCTCTTTGGCTTTGAAACGGAGATGAGCACCACCCCCTAGAATCAGAGGGTGCGAGGGGAACCTTTACCTTACAGAGAAACAGCAACTTTCCTGGCAGGTTCTGGAATTACCATGGACCACATAACACAGCAAGGGCAAAAGTCAGAAAATTTGAAAGAGGATTTTTTAAAAATCTGGATTAAAACCAAAGGACTAGTATCTTGATTCTCTGTTCTACAGTAATCGTCTTCATCTGTGTGCGTATAAGATAGCAGGTAAAGATTCCCCTCGCACATATGTGCTAGTTGTTCCTGACTCTAGGGGGTGGTGCTCATCTCCGTTTCAAAGCCGAAGAGCCAGTGCTGTCTGAAGACGTCTCCGTGGTCATGTGGCCGGCATGACTCAATGCCAAAGGTGCATGGAACGCTGTTACCTTCCCATCAAAGGTGGTCCCTATTTTTCTACTTGCATTTTTTACTTGTTTTCGAACTGCTGGGTTGGCAGAAGCAAGGACAAGTAACGGGAGCTCACCCCGTTACGCGGCACTCGGGATTCAAACCGCTGAACTGCCAACCTTTCGATCGACAAGCTCAGCGTCTTAGCCGCTGAGCCACCACTGTCCCTAAGACAGCAAGAGAAATGTATTTCTCATTTAAAAAAAAAAAGCATGGTGATACTGAAGCTTCAGCTAGTTACTGAATGTGAGTGTTAAGATGAACCTGATGAGAGGCCTAACAATCACACCAAGTTTTAGAAAAATTAAAGAAAGCTTGCAAAGGCCTAATATTTTAGAAAATGAAACTTCAGATAGAGCACTGGCGCAAGCTGGCAATTTTCTCTATGGATTTATTTTAAATAAACACGGATAGGAAAATATTCCAGACTGGAAATCTTGTCCCCCAAAATAAATTTGTTAAACAGAGTGGACCTACCATGGTCCACTCAGTTTACACTCCCAATACAGGAAGCCTGGAATGAAACGTAGCTTGTATGTTTTTGACAGAACGTTTATGGAGAATACTAGAACCGAGATTTAACTGGAACGTAGATGGGACAGAGGAGCGTACATATTTCTCTTCAAACTTCCTGGTAAGGGCTTCCGCTTTGTGCTTCTCCTTTTCTTCGTCGTTGAAGGGATCAGCAAAGTCTTTTTTCTGTCGGAAAAGGGGAATGGATAAAAGAGAGCACGTGACATGGTTTCACAGAGAAGTCTCACTGCAACTGTCATAAATAGGTGTCGCTTGCCAAGTGTCTGAATTTTGATCGCTCGACCATGGGGATGTTGCAACAGTCATAACTGTGAAAAATTGTTTGTTTTTTTTTCCAGTGCCGTTGTAACTTCGGTCGCTAAATGAAAAGTTACAAGACAAGGACTGCCTGTAAATGATACACTATAATTGTATTTTTAACTGCTGTACTGTAAAGATTGGCAGGAAATTTTTTTTGTTTTCTAACTTTCCCCCCTTTTAGCTTTCTCTCTGATGCCTTTTGCTTACTTCATAGTAGTTTATATTAGTTTTTAATCTTTTTTTAAAAAAAATCAAGGTTCTGCCTTTGCAACAAACCTATTCTTCCCCTACCACTCTTTTACCACAATCCCAAATGACATATATCGGTCAGTTTGTTGAATTTTCTCATGGATTTTCACCCAGGCCTCTGCAGACCACTGACTTTGTTAGGCTGGTCATCTTTTACTGTCATTTCATTGCTGTTAGCTACCCAGAGTTTCTGAGAGTTTGGCAGCATGCACACTTATGATCCTAGTGATTGTTACTGTCTATTAAGATGCACATTACAAATCTAAACATTAAAAAAAGAGAAAGAGAGAGAAAGGCCTGCTTACCTTTTCTCCTGCAGAACTGCTTTTTGTTTTGCCTCGCGTCATCTTCAGCAGTTCCGGGTAAAAAAATTCCGGGCAGCGCTTGTGATCTGGCTCAAAAAGGGAGAGGGCGATGCGTACGGCTGCAGCTGCAGGCTCAGATTCTGGAGGGTGTTCTGGATTGGCGACATCCTCCCACCGAGGTTTTTTCAGCAAAGTGGTACCCAGCGGGCCTGATAAGGAGGTGAGTTGCACCCGGTGGGGTTCCGTCATGGCTATGCGTTTGTTGCAGCTACTCTCAAGGCATGGTTTCCATCGCTTTAGGCCACAGGTGTAGGTACGGGAGCGTTCACGGTTAGCACGCGCTCAGAACTGACCGCTGAAGACCAAAGTCAATGCTGACCTTAGATTACAACTTCGAAAGTAACCTAAAGAGTCTCTGTTTTTATCCTAAATGGAGAATCATCCCATAGCAACACCTTTCGGGGGTTAACTTCCAGCCCTTGGAGTGATGGTCACTACGCAGTCCAGCTGTGTTTCAAGCAGCGAGCGAAGGCAAACGGACAGAAATGATTTTCTGAAGGGAACAACTTTTATACAATTTCCTATGCGGCTATAAAAGTCAGCCTGGGTTACAGTACTGTGCATTAGAGGGTTTCCCACACAACGGGCTGACATAATCAAAGGACACTGAACACATGAGCTCCAGTTTTCAGGCAAACCGGAATCTAGGCCCGTCGTTCTTCAGATGCCGATTCATCGGGTCCAATGGCCGGCAGGAAGCGTTCCTGAGAACTTCCTTCCGCACAGGTTTCTTTCTACGTGCTCTAGAGAGAGGGGGGAAATAAGAAAAGTTTCAGCACCTGATCTGGCGTGGTGGCTTGCCCAAGGGGATGCACAGGAAATACGATTCCTCTGCTATTGCGCACCTATGTGTTTCAGCTCGAATGAGGCTATATGGAAACTGGACTGAGGAAGCTCAGTAAAATAAGTCACCACACAATACTAATTGAGCCCTTTGTGAAACTGATCGCTGTACAGGTAAAACCTCTTTTTGGATAACAATGGATGTGATAGAATGGATGGGCAAGTCAAAGGAACAACAAATGACTTCATTCATTAGAACATATATATATACACACAAAAAAACTATACATAGTGGGGAGAAATGGCCAACCAGTTTACTTACCTTTAGTTACCTTCCAATCTGGATTGCGTGTCTATTTACCAGAGGTGTGCTGGTAAATAGCAATAACAATAGCACCTAGACTTATATACCACTGTACAGTGCTTTACAGCTCTCTCTAGGCAGTTTGCAAATGTTAGCATATTGTCCCGAACAATCTGGGTCCTCATTTTACTCACCTCAGAAAGATGGAAGGCTGAGTCAATCTTGAGTTAGTTAGGATCGAACTCCTGGCAGTGAGCAGTGAGTTAGCCTGCAATACTACATTCTAACCACTGGGGACAGCCTGGCTCTTATGTTTAGGGTTGCTGCCATCCTATCACTAGTCAAAGAATATTGGATTGGCATGATATGCAGCACAGCTCAGCTTTGTTCTCAACTGGTGTGCAAAAGTCCAGGAGATTTAACAGCCAGTTACACCCACCACAGCTATCTGGTCACTGAGATGGGATACCACAATGTTGATTGCAATGGAGGAGCACGTTGAGTTGATTGTGATGCAACACAACAGTTCCTAGTTACCTATGTTGTCAGCAACAACCAGCCAATTAGTATGTCAGAAGAACAGGTCAGATTCGGCTGAAGTCGCAGTGCAGCTCGTTGTGCTTTGGCTTAATGCACCAGGATGTCATGATTTAGATCTTACCCTAATAGATAAATCTGGCCTTCATAGCTTTTTAACAACTTGCATTTTAGACCAGAAGTGGGAAAGTTTCTGAGGAATAAGGGCGTACAACTCAGGTGAGCAAATGTAGGTGATATCAAAAGAGAGTAGTAAGATCAGAGGGAAGCAATGCCATATTTTTTGTCTTTTTCTGTTTTTCTTTAATAAAAACCAGAAGCTTCTGAGAAACAATCATAGTCAACTGGTAAGTCTTGACATAACTTGGCAAGAGCTCAAGTTTATGTACATAGCATACCTTCCTCCAAGTTTCGTCCAAAACAAAAACCTTGTAAAGAAGAAGGCTGGACTCAAAAAGCATAGCTGAGCCAGAATCCCCTATAGAACTTCCAGGGATAAAGACAATTAAAGCCCACCTATGATCACAACTTGTGCAGATAAAATTAGGTGCCAAATCAGTCAAACGGATTTTGAACAAATTTGAATTAAAATATGGGAGGAAGAAGACAACTGAACAAGGAATAAAATTAAAGGGGGATATGGCTGAAGGATCTGAGCTCCCTTATACTATTTGGAGGACCCTGAATAGATTTGAGGGGTGGAGTGCCTAAGTGTAAAATCAATATGATTGAGTGGAGGCTCTTAGCAGATAACGTGCTGTATGAATGTGGAGAGGCGCAGAGCCCGGCCCATCTGCTGGGATGTCAGCTACCACCAGAAACATATACCGATAATGACTTATTTTTTGGCCAATCACAAAGCCAAGAAGGTGGCCTTATTCTGGCAGTTTAGAGTTTAATCTAGATCAGTGATGGCGAACTTTTTTGGCACCAAGTGTCGAAAAGGCCAAGCGGAAATGTCGTGCACCTGCGCTCATCAGAGCCAAGCTCCGGAAAAGCCAAACTTCCGGGTTCTAGAGCACATGCGCGCCCGACAATCAGCTGACCAGCATGCATGTGCACACCAGTTTTCAGCACTGCCGCGTGCACAAAGGACAGCGCACATGCGTGCCAGGAGCCCGGAAGACAAACAGGCAAGGCTGCACATGCCAGGTGACATGACTTCTTGTGCCACTTTGATTCACCATCACGGATCTAGATCCTGAAGAAGACGACCAGTCAAATGTGATAATACAACTTTGGATTGGTTTATAAGCATGGGGGAGGGGGCGTGTTTCGAAGATAAAAATGAATCTATTGTCCCTCCAAGAGACCTTCTATTTTTCCCAGAAGAAATCCAACATCATACCCTGAAAACCAGAAAATTTGCCAGTCAATGTTGGTAGTTTTGAGAGGCCAAAAGCGAGGTGAGAAAGGTGACTTTAGCCACAGGGATCAACACCATATGAATACAAAATGCTAAACTGGCCACTGACACTTAAGAAAAATCTTTCATTTTTAGGACCTGAACATTGCCTTGGTGCCAGTAAAACTAATGAATGGAACATTTAATTTCTGCTAAAGGGAAAATACTTCCAAACCTTTGTCAGAGTCAAAATACTTCCAAACTTTTGACAAGTCAGATTGTTCTGACTCAGCTGCGAAACTGTGTACAAATAAAATATTTGCACATGGAGAGATTTCTTCTGAGCAAAAGCAGTTTTCTTTTTTTTTTCCAAAACCGAGCAAAGGAGATGCATAGACGCAAACAAGCCAAGGAAAATACACAGATTCTCAATCACATCCTTGGGGGGGGCACTTGCTTCAAAACAAGAACTCTCTAAGGACAAAGCTTAAGCCTTGTTAAAAAGCTAGTGTCATATAACAAAACCTTATACAGCTCAGCTATGTTGACTGAATGATTTCAGGCTTGTTCTTTGACTCTTGACAGTAGAGTCTATCTACAGAGTGGATTTAATGAATACTGTACTCCTTTTTGAAATGCAACCAGCCAGCGTGATATGTGAGATGGCTCTTGAAAAGATGATTGAACTTTGGTCATAATTGCTAGCAATATCTTATTCTATAGTAGATATATTTCCCTATGTTCAACTCCTGATATTATATCTCTGACGCATGCACTTAAAAGTACTTTATTGTCATGTCAAATTCTTCTCTATTGTCCATTATCATGGCTCTTTCCTGGATATCCTTTATATTAGCCCTGTGTTGAAACCATTGGTAAATTACCTGACCGTAGTCTTCCCTCATTTGGCAGTCATTCAGTTTTCCTTGATCAATGCTGGCTGAGGAGTTTTAAATCCCAGTGCATCTAAAGGGCAGCATCTTGACAAAGGCCATTTTACCAATTTGCAGGAATGCAGTTCTTGCTTTCAAGCAAAACAGTTTTATAGTTGAAGTCACTCTCCCATTATTGCATTTCCATTGTTTCATTTTAGATTCCTTATCTTCATTTAATACTTGGGGTAGCAAAATGCTTTTGTTTGATAGTGCAACATTGTATCTTTACAGGAAAACACAGATACTGCTTGTCCATTCAGAAATTCTGCAGGTCAGAGATACAGCATTCAAATTAAAGTTAGCCTTTAATAATGAACATTCTTTTCATTTTTTACTTCTCCTTTAATTTCCTCTTCCACTTGTTTCTTCACTTTTCTTTTTTCATTTCCCGATCTTAAGCCCCAGAAAACAGATCTTTTTATTATATATTTAACAATAATCTGTTTTTCCACTCTTTTCATAAAGATAGCTCTTCCTCCTCCAATTTATTCCCTACAACAACAAAACCATCTGGTTGATTGGACAGAGAACATGGTTACTCTGGTACCAGAAAGCTTCCATGTTGATGGGAAGGGAGAGAGAAAATTTTAGAATTGCTCTATCTATCTCATGCTTTAACTGCCTGTTTATATTGGCTCCCATTCTATTTTATGGAATTGTATATAATTTATTGTTTTATACCGTTACACCAGAAAACAGAAATCAAAACAAATCTATGCAATTGTTAGAGAGCAGCATAAACTATGAACCTTACCAGCATTAGTATTTCAAAATGAACAAAATCAAACCAGCTTTGTCTAATTTCTTCGGCATTAGTTCAGTTTATAGAAAGATAACAGATTATCTTATCAGTGGTAGCAAGAAGTTTATTTTTCTCCACACATTCCTGTTATTTCAAAGTTGTATTGTGGGCACTATCAGAATACTGAACTCCCTTTCAAATTCCTTCTCATTAATAAATTCAAGTTGGCAAACCACAAATAGCCTTATTCCAGCTTTCAAATGTTTAATGTAGCACTGATACAAATAGTTAATCTTTTGTAGTACAGTGCTTTGCTTTTTGCAAAAACAGCAGGTAGCATATAATGAGCCCCCACACACAAACACACAAATTAGAAATGTCACATCAACCACCACAGCCCTTGCTTCTGTCCCTGAATATTTTTTAAAACAAATAGAACAAGGGTTTCAAAATCCTCACTCTAACCATATACTAACACTCTTTTGTGTCTGTAGCCTTTAATTGGGGAGAAATGGTACATCATCAGGCAAAACACTTTCAACCAGGGCACCTCAAATGGACTAACTTACAGAACGTATCCAAAATCTGACTTTGTATAAAATAGAACACAGCTTAGGGGGGGCCAAAAGCCTTACTAAGCAGGTATATACAAAAGTATGAAGGCTATTGCTTAAAAAGCATTGTAAGCCGCCGAGTCTCCGGAGAAGGGCGGCATATAAATCAAACTAATAAATAATAAATAATAATAAAATCTGGGGCCTAGGGTTCCTTGTGGAACTGAAATTTTGTAAAAACATTTGTAAATGATATAATTTTGTAAAACATTTCATGACACGAACATGATCATAAAGCATTTTATGACGTAATACAAAATGTCATGAAACATTTTTTATGATCAACTGCTATAGTGCTATAGCACCTATACAGATCAACATGGGCTATTTTCAAGGCAGAAGATATCTGAATATCTCCCTGAATTTTAAAGAAATTTTCAAGTGAAGCCAAGTACATTAAAAGCTCTGCCACTGTTGAAGGCATTGAGGCATCTGATAAGGAAATACCTCTGAAACAATGACCCAACAGGTCATTGGTCTAGTACAACATAAAAGACAATGATTCACGCAAAACATCTAGAATGGTGCTTCTTAAAAGATCCCTGGGTATCTTTCAAGACCCTCTCCGGGGTCTGTGAAACCCTAATTATTGGCCACCTTACGTTGAAAAACATCACCATATTAAAATCATACCAAATAATTGTGAGAAGCAGTAGCAGTGGTGAATGCATCCATTTTAATCCTTCATACAGTGAATATTGACAATGATTAACCGATGCAAAGGAAAGCGTCAAAAGAGGAGAACATTGGTAGCTCAGGGTTGAAATGAGGAATTCTTGCTGCTTCCTAAACTTTGGTCGTTTTAATAATAATAATAATAACAACAACAACAACAACAACAACTTTGTCATTTTACATGTATATACAGTATACCCATACAACGAAATTCACTTAACACCCAAAGACCGGGTCCAACACACATAACAATCCCCAAACATTCCCACCCACCACAAATTCCCCACCCCTAAACCACCCAAACAACAGACCAAGTAATACTGTCCAACAGCTCACGGATGGTGGCCCTTTAGTTCATTGTTGAGTGCAATTATAGCTCTGGGATAAAAACTATTCAGAAAACTTGCAGGTAACATCATCAGACAGTGATGAGGTTGCCTACTTTGGGTCATGAAACATCTGCAAGAAAACCATCAAAATCAGAGAAAACCAAGCACCCTGTCAAAAGGAAAGCTCTTTTGGGGCGCTGCCTTAAAAAGTAAGGTAAAGGTAAAGGTTCTCCTCGCACCTATGTGCTAGTTGTTCCCGACTCTAGGGGGTGGTGCTCATCTCCGTTTTAAAGCCAAAGAGCCAGCACTGTCCGAAGACGTCTCGGTGGTCATGTGGCTGGCATGACTAAACGCCAAAGGCGCACGGAACACTGTTACCTTCCCACCAAAGGTGGTCCCTATTTTTCTACTTGCATTTTTTACGTGCTTTCGAACTGCTAGGTTGGCAGAAGCCAGGACAAGGAACGGGAGCTTACCCCGTTATGCGGCACTAGGGATTCGAACTGCTGAGCTGACCTTTCGATCAACAAGCTCAGCGTCTTAGCCACTGAGCCACCAGGTCCCCTGCTTAAAAAGTGGGGACATCTAAAGAATCTAAGAGGATAAAAGTGCAAGGAGGAAGAGAGCCATTACCTTCCTGAATTTGAAGGGCATCCATCCCAAAGGAGGGTTCGAAGTCTTCTGAAAGGAGGCCAAGGGAGACTTCTTCCTCTCCAGCTGCTCTGTGAAGAATCTCTGGCTGCACCCCGAATTATTTTCTTCTTTTTTTTTGATGGTGGTGGGGGGAAGTAATCCTGCTGCTCAGTTCTGGCCCAAAGGGCCTCCCCCCCACTATCACCTGCAGCAGCAACAACACGAGAGCTTTGAGCTAGGGCTGCGGCTCCAAATTTATTTTATTTAGAATATTTATATAGCCGCCTACTGGCTGACAGCCACTCCCCCCCCCCACCCAGGGCCAACAGCTGCCAGCCAAGCAGGAGCTCAAACTGGCAAAACATCCCCCCTCCCCACTTTCCCTCCCCAGACCAGCTTCTTCTGTTTAGGGACTACTGGATAAGCAATAATTAGCAGAAGCCCCCCTCCTCCCCCTCCTCGATTGGGAATGGGAATTGGGAGTCCTTCCCATCTGGAAGGCCGAGTTTGGAGGGGGGGGGAGATAAGGTCGGTTCGATGAGGCTCCCCAGGGTGGCCCGTCTTGCGGGACAGGTTAGGCCGGGTCAGGCCTGGCTTCTTACCTCCCTTCCCCCACCAACCGTCCCCCACCTCGTTTGGGGCCGACCCAGTCGGAGTCCCGGCCTTCGCACGCGGCGAGTTGGGCCCAGAGAGCGAGGAGGCAATTTAGGAGACAACCCCGCTCGGTTGCTGCTGGAAGCCGGGATGAAGGGAAGGCGTCCCGACAGGGTGAGGGGCGCCGCTTATTATCAACCCGCCCCCCCACTCCTCCCGCAACTACAGTTGGCGAGGCGGAGAGCAAGGCCCCGTTGCCCCTAGTTACGAGGGAGGCGCTTTCGCACGCCGGGAGGTTTGTCCCTTCTCGCGCCCTGTACCCCCTCCCTTCTCTTCCCCCCCCCCCCAGCCGCCCGCTGCGCTCACACACAGGCCCGTGCCGGCCTCCCTCCTCCTCGTCCTCCTCCTGCGGCCGGCCGCCGTCGCTCTTTCCACCAAACGGCGCCCACCCACCCCCCACACCACCACCAAGCCTTAACCCTGCCCGCCCCGCCAAGATGCCTTCTCTCCTTTCGGAGCTCCCGCGTCACGTGCCAGGGGTGGGCAGAAGCGGCCCCGCGCGCGCAAGGGAGGCCGGGGAGAGGAAAAGGAGGAGAAAAAAAAAAAAAAAGCGAGCGAGCGCATCACGTGACGCCAACGCCGCCTTCCAGGCTCGCGGGGAGGAGGGAAAGGAAAAGGAGGGGGACGGGGGGGGGGGGAAACGCACGGACGGCGTCGGGTCACGTGTGGAGAGGGCGCCCCGCGGACGCCGAGCCCCGCATCACGTGCAGAGGCCCGACCTATCGGGGCTCCCGTCTCTGTCTTTCCTTCCCCCCCCACCTCACCCCCACCCTCTTCGCTGTTCTTCCTAGCCGTCCCTGCCTGAGGGAGAAGAAGAAGAAGGAGGAGCGGGCGGTGCGCGAACGAGCGAGCCGGCCGCGGAGGAGGAGGAGGCGGCGGAGTGAGGGAGTCGAAGCGGCGACCGACCGACCGAACGAGTCGGGGGGGGGGGGGTCGCGAAGAGGGGGGGCCGGTGGGCGCGAGGAGGGTGTGGCGGCCGAGGCGCAGCGACGGTGCCGGCTGGGTCGGGAAGATGGCGGCGGCAGCGGCGACGGCGGCGGCGGCGGCGCCGCCTGTGAACCTGCGGCTGGGAGACTTGGTGTGGTGAGTGGCGCGGGGAAGAGGGAGGGAGCGGGGGGGCTCCGCCGAGCCTGAGGAAAAGAAGCGAAGGGCAGGGCGGGGCCGCGGGGCCTGATGAGGGGAGGAGGGCGGGGGCGGGACCAGCCCTTCAAATTAAAAAAAAAAAAAAGGGGGGGGAGAAACAAACTGCCGATAAAGCCGTGGAGGCCGGAGTGGCCCTTCGGACCGGCCGGGGTGGAGCTGCTGAGGCGGACGGTGAGCTTTGGCGGGAGGGGAAGGTGGGGGGTGGTGGCAGGAGGAGACCCTTGGTAGCCCTCCCAGCCTCGAACCCCTCCCGGGTTGGAGCGAGGAGGCTCTTTCTCCGTCTTCGGGGTGACAGCCGGCCCCGAAGACTTGTCTTGGTGGGGGTGGGGGGGGGAACCAGCCGGGGCGGGGAGAGGAAGAGCGATGCCTGGGCCGAGGCGAAGCGTTGGAGCCGCGTAGGAAGCACCCGCACCAGCAGCAACAGCAGCAACGGCTACTTCTCTCTGCGGGGCAGCCAAGTGGAGGAGGGGACGAGAAGCCCCTTCTCGGTTTAAACACACACACACACACACACACACACACACACACACACACACACACACACACACACACAACCTGGGGGGTTGTTTCTTGCGCCTTCCTTTTACTCGCAATCCAACTTGCCCTTAAAAAAGTCAGCCTCCCCGAATCCCCAACAGCCTTCTTTTTTTGCCTTCTTCGCTCGCGGCGTTTGGAAAATGGTAAACGAAGCAGCAACAGCAGCGGAGGTATTTTACTGGTCAGCAAGTTCAACTTTAGACGTGCTTTTTTTGTTTCTTGGCTGTCGAAGCTGCCATTCCCTCTTGCAAGGGATAATAATAATGATCATAATAATACAAATTTGCCCCGTGGAGAGAAAGAATGTGGTCAGCGTATACTCCTTTGCATTTCCTATAATTATAGAGTAGTTGGTGTTGAAGCAAAAGGAGGAGGAGGACTGGGGCTCAGAGCAATAGGCCAGGCCTTGCGTGCAAAAGGAAGGGTCCCGTTTTTGATTTCTGGGCATTTCTTAGTAGGATGGGTAAATAGAATAGAATTCTTTATTGGCCAAGTGTGATTGCACACACAAGGAATTTGTCTCCGGTGCAGAAACACTCAGTGTACCCGTGTTTTCCCAAAAATAAGACCCTGTCTTATATTTTTTTGAACCCTGAAATAAGCGCTTGGCCTTATTGCCATGCACTCAAAAGCCCGGTTGGGCTTATTATCAGGGGATGTCTTATTTTGGGGGAAACAGGATACATACAAACAACAACAAAGTGATAGACTCCTGCAGAAACTTTTATGGGGACGGCTTCTGTAAGAATGCCCAGCAAAATTGGATAATGTCTGGTAGCCTTTTCCCACCCAACATATCTTGCTGCATGTATTTCAGTTCCCAGATTCCTGTGTCATGGATAGGAGGAATTCTGGGAGTTGACATCTCTCATTTGAAATGCAACAAGGAGGTCAGGAAGAGCTGGTCTGAAGCTATACTGCAGTTTCCTACATAAGGTTCCTAAGTGGCTTATTAATCAGGCAATAGTTTATTTTAACTAAATTTATGGATGGAGGCTCTGGGAGCTGTTCTTTGCTGTCTTATTACCTTCATCTAGATTTTGTTTTGCCGGTGTTCCTTTTATTAAAATATTCTGTAAGATTTATAATGCAGGCCACTTCCAAATAAATCCCATGAGTTGAATGGACTTGCTTCCATGTAAAATGGCATAGGATTGTTTCTGCAGGCCAGTAAACCTTGTAGACTCTTGTTCTTCTTTACCAGCAGTTTTATGATGTAGGTCTCTAATACAACAACTGGAGTAACAGAGAGAGAGATTTTTTTCCTGGTAAGTGGGCTTGTTAGGAATAACAAGATTAGAGTGAAAGTTCTCCTTGAAATTAACATTCCTTAATTGGATGCATGGTTTATATTTGTCCTTGATTCTCCATGATTGCAAGACATTGCTGGTTAAGGGCTATGTAAGGCATAGTTTTCTACTGTCAAGTTCTTTGACAGCTACTAACTAATTATGTGCCAGTTGAGAATTTTTGGAACTTGTAAAACCTATCTTTAAATGTGTGGCATCAATGAATTGAGCTGTACTATTGTTGGGCAGTTAGAGTGTCTTCATTGTATAATGCCCATAATAATGAGGGGCGTTTACAATTTAATAATAGCTACCTGTGATATACAGAGGAAACCACAATTACCAACTGAATGGAGTGGGTTTAGGGAGTATGAAAGTGTAACCTTAAACATTACTCATTAGATGTTTCAGAAGATGAAAGTGTTTATACAGCAGCCCCCATTGTATTTATGAAGATTTTTTTTTTAATTTCTGGAGAGATGTTGAAAGCTCTTGATAAATTTGAATTGTCAAATTTAAGTGTCATTGTCATCAAAGACTGTACACTTAAAAAGTTGTTTTTTTCCTACCTCTTCAGACATGTGACTCTTGGTAGAACTAACAGTTTAACATTACATACACTAAATGAGTGTAAAGCTAAGCGTCCTTCACTTTGCATCTTAGGACTGGCATTATTGGATCGAATATTGATTTAATATTTAATATTGATAATATCGACTTCTTAATGGCTTGGAAAGAGAAAGCAACAGCTTTTGGCAACTTTTACCCAATTTCCTTTGATGTGATAATTCTAAACTCTGTTATGAACATAACTCTCCCTGTCCTACTAGCATCCATTAATATCAAATTAAGTAAAGTGAAATTTTTCAGCAAACTTTCAAGGTTAAATTGGTAAAGTCATCTATAGCTTTGCAGATCCATAATGTCTCTAGCATACTATAGGATATCATTTTGGAAGCTGATGGTAGTTTACAGTCCTCTTAAGTAATGTAGTAGGTATGTTTCTGGGGAAGGGAAAAGTGTACAGCAAGATACTGAAAATCAGAAAAATACAAGCATTTTAAACTCTTCTTAGTGCAGGTAGTCCTGAAGTTACGTCTAATTGGGCAATTATGGTCATAAGTTGTGATGGTTGTAAAGCGAGCCAGCATGTGAGTTGACATGAGTTTGTGACCTTTTTTGCAGTGGTCATAAAGAGAATGCTGAGACTGATGTACAGGTTGTTCTCGACTTACAACAGTTCATTTAGTGACAGTTCAACGGCACTGAAAAAAGTGACTTGTGACTGTTTTTCACCCTTATGACCGTTGCAGCATCCCCATGGTCACGTGCTTTACATTTGGATGTTTGATGACTGACTCACATTTATGCCGGTTGCAGTGTCCTGGAGTCATGTGATCCCCTTTTACAACCTTCTGACAAGCAAAGTCAATGGGGAATCCAGATTCACTGAATAACCATGTTATTAATTTAAGAACCTCAGTGATTCACTTAACAAAAGTGGCGAGAAAAGTCGTAAAATGGGACAAAACTCACTCAACAGATTTCTCACTTAGCAACATAAATTTTGGGCTCAATTGTGGTCATAAGTCAAGGACTACCTGTACTGTGCTTGATTAAGCTTAGTGATATATCTTGGGGCTGTATATTTCAAAAATACGATTTAGAAGTACTTTGTCTCTTCTCTCCACATTAAAGTAGCCTACTTTTTCAGGCTCCTGTGCAAATCTGAGAAAAAAGTGCTACTTTTTTTTATCCGTGATAAATATTTCAATGCCTTATAGATCTCTCTGGTCGTTTTGAATCCTTGGGGGCATCAAAAAGGTTAAAAATAGTTTCCAGCCATTGAACTTTATAAAGCTATTAGATGAATAAATTCTGCTTTTATGTAGTCTAACAAAGTAGCTTAAGCAAAGGCTCCTAGTGGGTTTTTGGGACGTTCTCCTTGTTCCTGTGTGTCTATGGAGATTCTCAATCATCCAAGTCACAGTTGTCTCAAAGGTGCTTCCCCCCCCCTCCCTTTTCAAAAGGCAACTGGACTGTTTTTATTTGAGGAAGAAGACTACGTTTCACTTCTTATCCAAGAAGCTTCGTCAGTTATAATTGGGTGGGGAGGGGGGATGGAAAGATAAGTACTGGCAGTTGAGACTGTATGGTTCTTTTTCCTGTGTTTGGAAGCAATTTGGTAACAGTGCCAAAAGTTACAGCATCATCGATCCTTTGTAATTTCTATGCCAGTTTGAGTGCAAAGTCGTCTAAATCAGTACACTTTTTTAAAAAAACATACCTTGTCCCCTTTTCATGACTTTGTGTGTTTGGATATTGTCCTTTAATGTGAATTCCAGTTATCGGACATTTTGGCAATATATACGCTTGCTCTATTTTCGTAGAGTTGCTTTTAGGAAGGAAAGCTTTTAAATCTGAATTAGTACTGGTAGAAGTTAGAGTAGGCCGTTGGTTTTACCAGAAGAAACTATTTTAATCTGAAAAGTGGGGCATTTAAAGAGCAGTTGCTCTCAGTTCTGAGAGTCCACAAGCCATGCAGTAATAATTTTAAATAAAAGACTTGTGAAAGAAATTAAGAAGGATCTTTGAGACTTGCCAAGTTGAGTCTTAATTTTGCAGACTGCTAAATTATTTGCTTTACACACATCTGGAACTCCAAACAGTGACACTAGTTTCTAATTTGCCCCTACTGAGTAAGTTGGAAGCATTACAAAGGTTGTTTATAGTTCTTTGCAGAGGCTAGTCTTCGTTTTTAACAGCAGATAGGCAGTATGAATGTCTATTAACTTTTTTTGCCATTTGTGAAAGCATTTTGCACCCAAGAAATTATTAGGTTGGATCTGCCTGGACTTCAGAGTAATATTCATTTTGTATTTTCATAAAAGAATATTGTCTGTAACCACACTTGGTTTCACTATATAGCTCAGTGATAGCTAACCTTTTTGCCATCGCATGCCAGGAGCGATGCATAATTCTATGCATCCTGCAAATATGCACACACCCCTCCTCCCACTCCTGGTACATGATGGCCCGATAGGGCCGTTTTTCTCTTTAACCAGGCTCCAGAACCTTTCTAAGAACCTGGGGAGGCGAAAACGGCCTTTCCCAACTCCCACCCGGAGGCCCTCCGGAGGCCGGAAACAGCCCATTTGTCAACTTCCAGAAGGCCCATTTTTTGCTGTCCCCAGCCTCCAGAGCCTTTCTAGGAGTCAGGGGAGGGCAAAAACGGCCTTCCCCACCACCCCCTGAGGCCCTCTGGAAGCAGGAAACAGTTTGTTTCCCTACTTCTGGTGGGCCCAGAAGGCTTGAAAATCATGCCATCACATGCGCATGCACGCCGGAGCTGAGCTCGTGTGCCCACCAATATGTGGCACGCGTGCCATAGGTTCGCCATCACGGATATAGCTCTTCAATTTCTTTTCTAATAGTACTATATAGGGGAGGGCTATTGATGAATTGCTGCTGTTTTTAATAGTGTTTGACTGACTTCTGGTTTTTCTGTAGGGGGAAGCTGGGGCGGTATCCTCCTTGGCCAGGAAAGGTAAGTTCTTCAACCTAGATTCTAATCTGTTCTTTATCTTCTGGTTCTCTTGCATATTCAAACTCTAAAATTTTCTTTTTGTTTCAGTGTAAGCATTTTGGCAGGTTTCAAAACGGATTAGGTGCAGCAACTTAGTTTTTATCTTAGTTTCGGCTGAACAAGTTTTCCCCTGCTTTTTGTTTATAGGGCTTTGTTTAATAAAGAGCTGAGTTCAAGGTAGCAGACAGAAAAATAAATTCCTTGCATGCACAAGAACCTTAATAAGTATATAGTTTATTATAACTGTAGTTCTGTTTTTCAGACCTGAAGTTTAGATCTGAGTTAAGTCCATGAGGTGAGCCATAATTTTACTTTGTGATAAATTTAGAACCGCTGGGAGGTAGAGACAAATCTATTTCCGATGAATACTGTTGGAGAGAGCAGGGACTGTTAAGTTAGCAATCAATTGTTCACCCAAGTTATTTAGCAGAGAGAGCATACGGAACATTATTTCAAGGTGCTCAGCTTTCCTGTTATGCTTCCTGATCATATAATTGCTAGCTCTCCTGCCAGAAAGCATGCTCTGCACACTAACTCATAATTTATCTTTAAATCTCCTGTAGTGCTGCTCTAAATCCTTTTTTCCGTCTCTGCCCAGTTCTAGCATGGTGATATTTAAAAAACTTAAGATAAAAACGATTAGTGTATCCATGGTTATGATTCTTACCATACAAGTATTGAGTGGGAACTTCTGCTCTGCACACTTAATCCCTTTGTACACTTTTCCATTGTTTTCTTTCTTGCTACAGCATGTTCTCAGTAATGCTTTTCCCCTGAGAAAAATCAAAGTGATAGGCAATAAATATGACCAATGCTTAGATTTACTGCTAGTCTGATGCACCTTTTATATTGGAATAAAAATGCTAGCCTTAAAATAATCATAACCTTTCCCAGTGTTGCTTACTCAATACTTAATTAAGCATCATACACATGGTCCTTGCTTATCGACTGCTTGTTCAGTGACTATTCGAAGATATGACAGCACTGAAATAGGTTTACGACCAGACCTTGAATTTATGGCTGTCACAATGTCCTTGTGGGTCACAGGATTGCAATTCAGATATTTGGCAGCTGGCATACATTTATGACAATCGTAGCATCCCACAGTCATGTGATCACCATTGGCAACCTTCACATCAAACTCAATGAGGAAGCTGGCAGGAAATCACAAGTTACAGGCACATGATTTCATGCTTAATGACCATGGGTGATTTACTTTACAACCATGTTAGCTGGAGCTAACATAAGTTGGGCTTGGTCATGTAATACTTCACTTTAAGATTGTGAATGATTGCTAGTCCCAGTTGTGGTTGGTAGGTGAGGACCACCTGTATGGCTTTTGTTTACGTAGCATCCAGACTTTTAAACAATAATATTACATTGTGTTAAGTGAAATCTATAGTCATTATCCTAGTTAGTTTATGAATTCTGACCCAATCAATATGTTTCCATTTGCTAGGCCTCACCCTTTATGGGGAATGAAACATTTGTCTTCAACGAAACTTAAGTCTAGTGTCTTTTGTGAACTGAGCCGTGAAATTGCCATATTTAATCTATACCAGAAGGACAAAATTGTTGAACACGACTTCACAATACATATCGTATTTTTCGGAGTATAAGATGCTCCGGAGCATAAGACACACCTTATTTTGGGGGGAGGAAAATAAGAAAAAAAAATCTGCTTGAGAGGCTCTCTGTTTGGGAGGCTGCATTTGCAGCCTCCGAAAGCTCCAAAAGGGTGGGGGCTGGTGGGTGGGTGGGGTTACATTCGGTGTATAAGACGCACCCAAATTTTCACCCTTTTAGGGGGGGGGGGAGTGCGTCTTATATTCTGAAAAATACGGTAAGTCCTGTTACATGCAGATGTAATGGTCATAAAATCTTACCTGCTGTTGCTTTGGGTAATGGAGGTTTTTTTTAAAGGTACATGACAACTGGAGCCCCAAAAGGTGCATTTTGTTAGTAAAATATGTGTGTTTGTGCCTTCAAGTCAGCTTTTGACTCCCGGGGAGTGCCTGGATTAGTCCCTGCAGTTTTCTTGGCAAAGTTTTTCAGGAGTGGTTTGCCATTGGCTCTTTCAAAGGGTTGAGAGAGAGTGTTTAGTCCAAGGTCACCCAGCTGGCTTTGTACCCAGGGTGGCACATGAAATTGCACTCTCTCTGTTTCTAGCCTGGCCCCTTAACCCCTACTCTCAAAAACCTTAAACGTGAACCTTAAAACAAAGCCAGTACTCAGAATAAACCAGAAGCCAGAATTCAGTTGGGTAGAAGGTTCCCGTTAGCAAGTTTTGTTGCCTTCTGGATTTGTGGGAGCACCACTGGAGCCAGCGGCCTTGATCCTTACTGCCTTTTATCTGTGTCTTTCTCCAGAGGTTTGCATGGGAGTCTCCCCAAAGAAGTAGGTAAGATTGGGAAAGAGTGATTAGCCCAAAGTCACACGGTGAATCTGCCGTCAAAACAAGAATGTGAACCCCTACCACATTTCATATTATTGCGCTATGTGACACTACAGCCAATATATCTTTAATTTCCATAAATGTTAAATCTTATTTCAGACCAGTGTCTTTTCAAAGCACAACAATTCTGCAGGGAATACTAGATGAACCTTGAGAAAAATTCAGTGTTATCGCTCTTTAACTGTTGCTGCTTTCCCCCATCCCCCCCCTTTTTTTTAGATTGTTAACCCACCTAAGGACCTGAAGAAACCACGTGGAAAGAAGTGCTTCTTTGTCAAGTTTTTCGGAACGGAAGATCAGTATGTGATGCTCTCTCTCTCTTTTTTTTTCTTTTATCTGGAAGGGAAAACAAAGATTTTTTTTAAAAAAAAACTTTGGAGCCTTTGTAGAGAAGCTCTTGCTCACGTACTAGAATTTCACGTCTTTCTGTTAAACTGTCTTAACCCCTCAGCCAGTAGAAAAAGATGCTTTAGAATCAGTGTTAAAGATGAGTAACTGAATCTGGCCCATGGATGGATTCCCACCTGTTGGCTAGGAGAATCCCAAAGAGGGCTTCTTTTTGATGAAATTAGAATCGGGGAGTGTTCTTCTGAAGGGAGGAAGACATTTGACACAGGAAGGTAGGGTGAGATCATTTCCAGCCTCTTCTTCCTCATGGGATATGACTCCATGTTTTAGATAATTTTTTTAAAAAAAACACAATTGGGAAAAGTGATCAAGATGATCAGATGGAGAAAGCAGGGCATTAGGCCCCGTAAGCAAGATGGGATCGTCTTTTTTGCCTGTGTGGAATTGAAAATAAACGCAGCAGAATAATAAGAATTTGATAAAAATTGATTTCATTGGCATGCTTGGAATAACATGTTTAGTGCAGTTTGTCCCATCATAGTTTGGACATCCCATTCTTGAACAACCAAAGATCTAATAAGTGATCTGGGAACTTTTTTTTTCTGGAGAACTTGGAATTTTGTAAGATGGGATTTGGGGCAATTGATGAATGTTTAATTTAGAATGACTACAAATCTGAGAAAACATAGTTTTAAGTTGGGGGGAGTTTATTACTGTTTGGGTTACAGTGTGATCTGTAGCTTCAGCCCCTTAGGATACTACAGTGTTAAATATTATTTCTAGTGAGCCAGATTACTCGATAATCTGGTGCTGTAAAGTACTTTCATTTGTTCACAGCTTGTTAAGCTTTTGAAAAAGGCTGTTCAGCATGCTACATAATATAACACTTTTTAAATGGAGCGTTCATTCTCTCTCGCTTCAAAATGGGGGCTGTATCTGAAATGCTGTTTAGTACCAGCACAGATCAGTGAACAGATTGCAGCTGAAAGGGTCAGTCTTTCCAAGTAAATTGTGTATGGCTCAGAATTCAACTTGGAAAAATCTTATCACTTGCTGTAGGAGAGTAGCGGAAATGTTGAGGTCTGGAAAATTAATGGATCGACTCCTGCTTTAAGGAGAGCTCTATATGCCCTGCTATTTTAGTGGGCGTAAAATATAGTAAATGGGAATTAAAATTTCAAAAACAAAAACGGATTTCTAGCTTCCACGGCAAACATGTCTTTCGCCGTGCCCTGAAAACTTTTCCATCAAGCAGGGCTGGCGTGAAACCCCCCCCCTTTAGTCTTTTTTAATTTTTTAGCTTTTAAATTGTCAATGGGTTTTAATTTGAATTGTTTTAAATTTGGGCCAAAGTTATGTAATTCTTTTAATAATTTTAAATTTTGTATTGGTATGTGTTTTAGTTCTGGCTGTGCACCGCCCTGAGTCCACGAGGAGAAGGGCGGCATACAAATTGAATTAAATAAATAAATAAATAAATAAATAAATAAATAAATAAATAAATAAATAAATAAATAAATAAATAAATAAATAAATAATATGATCACTACAGGCAGTCCTCTCTGTTTACAGCAATTCATTTAGTGACCGTTTAGAGCAGGGTTGTCAAACTTGCGTTGTCACATGACGTATCAGGATTTTTTCCCCCTTTGCTAAATTGGGTAGGGGCAGGGGCAGCATGTGACACATCTGGTTCGCGGGCTGCAAGTTTCGACACCCCTGGTTTAGAGGTACAACAACACTGAAAAAAGTGACATCTGGCCATTTTTCACACAGCCTTTGCAGCATCCCCATGGTCACATGACCAAAATTTGGATGCTTGACAATTCAGTTGCAGTGTCCTGGGGGAGGGGTGTCACATGATCTCCTTTTGCGACCTTCTGATAAGCAAAGCCAACAGGGAAGCCAGATTCACTTAACAACCGTGGCAAGAAAAGCTTGTAAAATGGAGCCCAAACTCAATTTAACCCCTGTCTCGCTTAGCAATGGAAATTTTGGGCATCGATCGTGGTTGTAAGCCGAGGACTACCTGTATTGGAAAACCAGCCTGTAGAAAAGCAGATTAAGAAGCCCGGATGATGTCTTGGTTGCTTCTCTGAAACTGCAAAGGCAGGAGGCTTTGGGAGCATCTGTTAACCGAAGGAAGCTGCACAGTAGACCTCTCCCTTCCCCAAGGAAGTTGGCTTTCTTCCATTCCTACTAGTCTCCATTTCGGCAGCGCAGCTTTGTTAATGGAGCCAGCACACGTGCTCCAGTTCTTATTCAGGTATCTGTTAGATACCTGATTAATATTTCTCTAAGGGATGCGGTGGCTCAGTGGCTAAGACACTGAGCTTGCCGATCGAAAGGTCAGCAGTTTGAATCCCTAGTGCCGCATAACGGGGTGAGCTCCTGTGACTTGTCCCAGCTTCTGCCAACCTAGCAGTTTAAAAACAGGTAAAAGAAATGCAAGCAGAAAAATAGGGACCACCTTTGATGGGAAGGGAACAGCGTTCCGTGCGCCTTTGGCGTTGAGTCATGCCGGCCACATGACCACGGAGACGTCTTCGGACAGCGCTGGCTCTTTGGCTTTGAAACGGAGATGAGCACCGCCCCCCTAGAGTCGGGAATGACTAGCACATATGTGCGAGGGGAGCCTTTACCTGTGATATTTTTGTCTCTGGTGTGCGTACAGCACAGAAGCAAGCTTGTATCAAAAGGAAGGGCCAAATGGGTGGTTGGTATTTTTTGGGCTTGGATAGCAGAAGAAAGGTTGGGTTTAGTTTCAGTTAATCGATGCTATAAATTTCCCCGGGGCTACATTTCATCTTTGCCGCAATTCCAATTTCCTGAAATGCCCTCGACCCAGTTCTGCATGATGATGAGATACCGTTCCTATAGGATTTCTAGGAAACTAAATCATCTTTCTTAGCTACCTAGAGTAGTTCCTTCCTTACACACTCAACTATATTTTGAGCCACCTAACGCATATATTGAAGTGGTCCTACTTCTCTTTTCGCTTGTGAATACTGCAGGGATTTGAAAAGAAGTATGTCAGCTCAGGTTAATACATCCTTGCGCTAAATAATCCTATCCTTTGCTCATGGTCCTTCAGTGCCATCAGGAGGTCTCCTTTCCCTGCACATGGCCCCAAGTAAAAGTAAATGAACATTATGGGTTATGTTGTTATAGCAGCGGTCCCCAACCTTTGTGGCTTGGCTGCCTGGCTGGTGGGGGGAGAAGGGAACTGGGCCACGTGAGTGGCAGACCGGCACACACATTCAGCCCTTGCGTGGCTGCACATGCACAGCTCGACTTGCACGCACAATGGACCAGCGTGCCCTCTCAACTCACCCAAGTTGAGCTGCACGCATTCCAGCCAGCCACTTGCATGAACCAGTTCCGAATAGGCCATGGCCCAGAGGTTGGGGACCCCTGTATTAAGGTAATACAGCCGTTGTCGCATATTCTGAATTGGTGTTGAAGCTTCAGAGGGTATAATAAGGGGACGGAAATGTCTTCAGGGACTATCAGTGTGATCATTAAGTCACAGAAGAAAATTTTGTTTATGCCTTCTCTGTGAATGAATTTCTGATAGTTGGAATTATGTTTTAGTAAAATGTTTTCCTTTGATTTCACTGCCAAAATAATATATAGAGGCTCTAGGGAATACAGGTAGTCCTTGACTTAGTTACAACAGCATTGAAAAAATTGTCTTAAGACCGTCTTTCACACTTACGACCGTTGCAGCATCCCCATGGTCACATGATCAACATTCAGATGCTTGGCAACTGGCTCATATTTATGACGGTTGCAGTATCCCAGGGTCATGCGATCTGCTTTTGTGACCTGACAAGCGAAGTCAATGGAGAATCCAAATTCACTTAACAACCATGTTACTATCATAACAAATACAATGATTCCCTTAACAACCGTGGCAAGAAAGGTCGTAAAATGGGGCAAACTCACTTAACAAATGTTTCACTTAGGAACAGAAATTTTGGGCTCAATTGTGATCGTAACTTGAGGACTACCTGTATCTGTACCACAAAACAAGCAGGAACAGGAAAGGAAGCAGAGCCTCAACTGAAAAATGAACAGTGATTATTCCTAAATCTTGTTTTAAAAATGAAGCAGAGAAAAAAAAATGCTTTACAATTTAGAAAGTATGAGGGATAAAGACATGTCAATTTTATTTGCCCTGGGCAAATTCCATTCCTGAGGATGAGGCTTATTGCATACAGCATAATATAATCATGTTATGATAATGGGGTGCCTGCCATATGTCTGGGTCAACTTTGGCAGTGACATTGTGGAGGAAGGACGGAAGGTTTTGATAGGGGGCAGAAACATAAGAATTTTTTAAAAAAAGAGATGCCATTGTAACTGAAAGTGATCATTTTGTTCTTTTGACTATGAACAATGTGATTCTGATTTCTTTTCACTAGCGCTTGGATTAAAGTAGAGCAGCTGAAACCTTACCATGCCCACAAAGAAGAAATGATCAAAATTAACAAAGGCAAGAGGTTCCAACAAGCTGTGGATGCTGTGGAAGAATTCCTCAAGAAAGGAAAAGGCAAAGACCAGGTAGGTGGTACTTCAGGGAGTGGTGCCAACTTTACCCTGTTCTTTGGAGCCACTGATGGGGGTGAGCTGTTCGTACGACTGTTCCGCTTCCTTCTCCGAAAGGGATTGCATGCTTTGTCCTCCAGGGTTGTGGCTAGAGGATCACGGTTAGGATCACAGTTGCCGCCTTTGAAATGTTGTTCATTTTCACCGCCTTGGATTGATTTGGATAAAAAGAGATCAAAGGGTCACTTGATCCTTAGAGCACTTGGAGGTGTATATCTGCTGTGCATTCTGGAATTGGGACCTGGTTCTTCTTCAAAAGGAGCTCCCGGTGTTAGAGCACGTGGTTGTACTTTGAGCTTCTTCTTGTTCTCTTGTTTCAGTAGCTTAAACCTGTTAATTTTTATTTATTTATTTTTAAAAAAATTTGGGGCCTTTGGCGCGCTTCAGACACCTGGCCAGACACCTCTCGGGCTTGGTGAGTGTGGGGAAATGAAACCGCTGCCAGCTGATGCCCCGTCTTTTCCTCATCCTTCTGTTCTGTGATCTCTCAGGCGTCTTCTCATAACTCCGCTGAAGAGAAGAACCGGCGTAATTCCAGTGAAGAGAGGGGGAAGCAGTCAGTGGGAGAGGAGAAACACAAAGCGGGGTTGTCAGAAAGGAAGCCGAAAAAACGAGCGTCTTCCGTGTCCTCTGAGCGAGGCTCGAAACCCCCCCTGAAGAGAATGTACAAGCAAAGCCCCCGGAAGCGAGGGCGCCCACCCAAAGACGAGAAGGTTTGTGTTTTGCCGCGCATTCCTTCCCGTGCTCCTGTGAGCTTGTCCAGATTGGAGCGTAGTCCTAACAGCCATCCAGATGACTTCATGGTTGTGACCGCTCAGAAAATTGCATGTCTTTTTAACCATTTGGGAACCTACCGTCTTAATATCCATTCAGAGTCGTAATTAACTTGTATTAGCTGGCCCTTGTGAGTTACTATACCTGAAATGTCTTAGGACTTGTTAAAAGTCCAACAAATGACATCGGGCCCTCCATCTTGCCGCACCCCAGCGGAGGAAATGGCGACACAGTTTTTTTTACCTTTGGTAGTTCCAGAGCACCTTCTGTTAACATTTCCATCTCATTTGTGTGTCTGATCCATCTCCAACTACATCAGGACAAGTGGCTTAAATTGTAGTATGATAAGATGAAGAAACACTCCAGAAGTGAATGATTCCACCAGAAGACATCAATTCCTCATATTTTCTTGCCAATATTGGAGCTTTCTCCTCTCCCATGTTGTGGTGTGACTCATCCTTGGACATTTAGAGTTCACTTGTAGAACGGTTTGCCTCTCCTCTCCTCTCTTCTCCAAGATTTCCAACCTCTAGCTGGTGACCTTTTCAATGTAGTTGTAAACAACAAAGTGGATAATGCTAGAATATACGTTCTTTACCGGGGGATGAACCTGAAGGTCGTTATGAAACAGAGCAACCAAGATAATACTAGAATTTCATACCACATATCCACAATCAAACTCTGTGCCACTCCTATCTTCCACTGCCTTTTTTTTTTTTTTGATTCACAATTGTGAATCTGCTTCTTCTGATTTTGGATTTAAACGCTGACAACTTTCAGAGGCCATCTAATATCTTGCTGGTGACAGACCAGATTTCTGTCTTTACAGTAGGGGTTTTGAGTTCTGCAGTTTTCTTCGTCGGGGCTTGCACTTTGGCGATACAGAGACCTCTTTTTTTGTTGTTTTCTTTTAACCTTAGAATTTGCTTATTTACCATGAGGTTTATCAGTGGTATTCTTTGCTTTTGGGAATTGTGAATGAAGCTTTTAGAGTTTAATCTGGAAAAACAGAAACCTGCCAAAGATTGAGTAACTAGTGGCTAGGGTTGTTTTGTTTTTAACAATGTTAACAATAATCCACCAATGATGATGAAGATGGTGATTTTGAGGGCTTTTGCCTGGATTTCTTTTCCAAAGTGAAAAGGGTGGCAGAGAAATTGTTGTGAGAGTCTTTAGCATTCTGGGAAATGAATAAAGTGGCCTCATCATCTTTTCTCTCTTCAGCCCCGAGATCTCTTTTATAAGGCATTCAATCATGCATATCCTAGGTTCCATTCGTCTCTGTCTTGTGATGCCTTAGTAATCTGCTTTCTTGATGCTTCTCCTCATATTCAGCTGTCATCCCTGCATAACTTCCTGCTTTGAGACTTTGTGGAAGGACATTTTCAGACTCCATTGTATGAAAGAAAGCCTAACATGAATCCTGGTTGTAGAGAAGAAAACGCCTGGGATGCATAAAAGATAATTAGAGGTAGTGATGTTGATGGTGGTGGCAGTGGCTGTTAGCAGTTCTGGTTCCTAAGTTGTCTTGGTAACAAAAATTGCCTAGGTTGTGGTTGTTGGATCTCATAGAGTGGCATAATATTGAAAGTGGGTTTCAAAGGCTGGTGGAAAATATGTCATTAAGAGTTCGGTAATGGTGGATAAGTATTAAGATACCAAATAGCTTTTTGCTTGTAAAATAACGAACCAAGAGGTTTTGTAAGAACAGAGGCCAGATGTCTGAATTTGTTATATTGCTGTTATTGCTTATTCCTAGCTGATAGGAATGCTCTGTGTTCATTCCTCCTAAAATTTGAAATAATGCAGACTAGCCTTCTGCAATTTAGGCTGCCAGATGCACCTGTTTCAACTCCCGGAATTCTCAGCACGGTATTATTGCTGAAGTGGCTGGAAAATTTGGAGTGTTGAAAGCCACAAATCCAGAAAACAGTGGGGAAAAATTGCTAGAGAATAAAAAGTTGCTCCCACTAGATTTTGAAAAGGAATTTATTTTATTGCTTTTCAGTCCTTCAAATCATTCTGTCTCCAGGGCATAGCATGTTTTCAAAGTAAGATGATTAGAGCATAACCAAAATAGCAGGCAATTCAATTTAAGGCAAATGCCTGGCAAAATGAAAAAAAAAATACTGGACAAAGTTGTTCAGTAATCTGGATGCCAAAAGCTTTGACCCATTTTTCAGAATTTCCAATAAGCAGAAGATTTGTGAGGTGAAAACTATATCCCACTACAGAAATAATGATTGGGCCCTATTAGGAAGAAGAGTAATTCTGGAAATGGGGTAGAACACATTCAAGTTTGTTCTTTTGTGCTCCCAATATATCTATAATATTTTTCTCCAGGGCAGTTGGGCAGGGGAAATTATATAAAATTCCATCCATCTAAGGGCTCAAGTTAAACCCAACATGGAAATTAAATGAAATTTACCAGCACCACATATGTTTTGTGGTGTTAAAAACTGGATCTATAACAGCTTATGTTGCACTGTTTTCAGCGAATACAGTTTAAACAGTGCTGGCTTAGGATAGCCATAAAATGAATTTAAGTACTGCATTTAAGAAAGGGGGAAGGAGGACATTGCATGTGAATTCATGGGCAGCCACTTAAGATATATCTCTCTAGCTTTCTGGTACCACATGTGCTTACTCCTCATGCTTGCTTTTGTTTAAATGAGAGGAATGGAAACTCTGCTGACTTACCTCTCTCTCAGCTTTGTTTCCAGTTTATTGCAGTATGTATAATTGTAGGCCAACCACTCCAGTTTTCTTCTTGATGAAAATAAAGAGGATTGTGGCCTCATACATTTGTCTAGATGTCATGAAAGAAAGACTGCTCTAGATGGTTTTGCTTGGAGAGTAAGCTCTTCTTCGGGAAGTATAAAAGGAAAAAAAAAATCTGTTTTGTCAAATAACATTTTCTTCCAACTTAAACTGCTTCCCAAGATGGATTGTATGTACAGATTTGGGGATTTTACAGATGGTACTCACCACTGGTCTATATTCTCCACAGGACACGACAATTCCTGAGTCAAGCACAGTGAAGAAAATGATGACTGGCACCATGGCTGGCTTTAAGTGGCCACAGAGTGTAAGCGAGGTGATTTAATTCTTTGCATATTTCTCAGAAGAAGCAACAATTCAGCTCTTGGTGTAGTGTGTGTGTGAGAGGGAGGGAGGGAGGGAGGGAGGGAGGGAGGGAGGGAGATAATATATTCAAGCAATACAGGTAGTCCTCCGCTTACAACAGTTCATTTAGTGACGTTCAAAGCTACAACAATATTGAAGAAAGTGACTTTTTTTCTCACAACTGTTCCCACAATCACATGATAAAAATTCAGGCGCTTGGCAACTGGTTCGTATTTATGACGGTGGCAGCGTCCCAAGGCCACAAGATCCCCTTTTACGACCTTCTGATGAGCAAAGTCAAAAGGGGAAGCCAGATTCACTTAACAACCATGTTACTAACTTAACAACTGCCATGATTCACTGAACAACTGTGGCAAGCAAGGTCATAAAATAGGACAACGCTCACTTGTCTTACTTAGCAACAGAAATTTTGGACTCGGTGGTGGTTATACGTTGTGGACTACCTGTACTGAAATCTTTACATCAGGTGATTAAAATCTCTTCAAAGATCTCTTTCTGATAGTTGGAATTATGAGTATATACACATTAAATTATGAGTATATACACATTAAAATAATCTGTGGTGCCTGTACTTCGTTCAGTGTCCCTTGCTGCTTCCTAAGAATGCACGGGATACCAGTTTAGAAGCCAATAATTTAAATCCGGTCCTTTTAATTTAGAAACTCTTTTCTTAGCCTACATAAGGTAAAGTTTATACGAAGGATCCATTTTTAGGTATTCTTCCATACAGCTGCATGGATGCTTTTCAGCCAACTCTTAGGTTTTGGTTTTTTTTTATTAATTACATTCTGTAACCTGACTTTTTCATGTATTTATCCCCATCACATGCACATTTATATTTGTCCTGAGGTAAGCAAAGAAGCTCAACCTAACTCTTCTGGATTCCAAAAAAGCACCAAAGACTTTTCATCATGAGAATCTGAAACCCATTCGTAGTGTGTGTCTAGATGCTTTTTCAAGACTTGACAGTTTCATTCTGTTGGTTTCTCAATTTGTTCCTTTGCCGTTAACAGCCTGTGAAAGATGGTGACCCTCATTTCCATCACTTCCTGCTTAGCCAAACTGAAAAGGTGAGCAAAAAAAATAATAATAATTGAATTTTAGGCTGATACATGGTGGATAGGGTGGATAGGCGGAGGAATGGCCGTCCTGTTTTGAATGAGCCGCGGTGGCGCAGTGGTTAGAATGCAGTACTGCAGGCTACTTCTGCTGATCACCGGCTGCCAGCAGTTTGGCAGATCGAATCTCACCAGGCTCAAGGTTGACTCAGTCTTCCAACCTTCCGAGGTCGGTAAAATGAGGAGTCAGATTGTTGGGGGCAAGAGGCTGACTTTGTAAACCGCTTAGAAAGGGCTGTAAAGCACTATGAAGCAGTATATATGTCTAAGTGCTATTGCTATTGAATAAACCATGGATTAGTCAAAACAGAAAAACCAGCTGTGCCATCCAGGGAATTCTGGGAGTGGAAGTCCACACATCTTCATGCAGCTATAGTTGAGAAACATGGGTGCATAGGATACAGTTTTGAGCTTGGAGCAAAGAGATGCCGTTTTATTCTCCTTCAGCTACAGAAATCCAGTAAATTATATGGAGCCAAGCACACTTTCTTAGCTTAATCTATCATAGAGGATTGTTGTGGGGAACATTGTTAAAAGAAGCATTACCTATGACACCTCAAACTCCTAAATGAGAAGCAAGATATAACTCAAATTAAAAATACAAAGGATATGTTTTTAAAGAGAATCTAAGCGCATCTCTATTCTGAAGCTACAGCAGCCTTCGTTCTGTCCCACCTAATTCCTTAAACCAGAATTTGCTATCCTTGGCCATCACCCTATTTCAGGATGTGACTTCTACTTTCATGAGGTCTCTCAGCTGTTATTTCTCATAAGTGCTTAGTGGGGAGAATTCCTTGCTTGTCCATGATAATTGGATTGTTTGGGTGAATGGGGCCCCTTAGTCTGCAGCTGAGTTGAGGTTTGGCTGTTCTTCTACAATGTGTGCTTTTATCTTTTTCCACACAGCCTACAGTTTGCTATCAGGCCATCACAAAGAAGCTGAAGGTGTGTGAAGAGGTATAGAGGAGTTTGCTTTTGATTTCCCTTCATTGATCAGATCCTGCCCGTTTTGCTCAGGCAAAGTTGATCACTGATCCTTCTTCCACAGGAAACCGGGTCCACGTCTATCCAGGCAGCAGACAGCACAGCAATCAATGGCAGCATCACTCCCACAGACAAGAAGTAAGAGGTCTTTTCTTTCGTTCTTTCTTTCTTTTCTTTCTTTTTCTCTCTCTCTCTCATTTTCTCTCTTTCATCTTCAAAATGAAAATCAATCCTTCCTTCCTTCTTCTCTTCAGAATGAAAAGCCTTCTTTCTTTCTTTCGTTCTTTCTTTCTTTCTTTTTTCTTTCTCTCTTTCTCTCATCTTCAAAATGAAAATCCTTCCTTCCTTACTTCTTCTCTTCAGAATGAAAAGCCTGCCTTCTTTTTCTTTCTTTCTTTCTTTCTTTCTTTCTTTCTTTCTTTCTTTCTTTCTTTCTTTTTCTTTCTTCTTTCTTTCTTTCTTTCTTTCTTTCTCTCTCTCTCTCTCTCTCTCTCTCTCTCTCTCTCTCTCTTTCTGTCTTTCATCTTCAAAAAAAAAACCCTTCCTTCCTTCTTTTTCTCTTCAGAATGAAAAGCCTTCCTTTCTTCTTTCTTTCTTTCTCTTTCTTTCTTTCTTTCTCTTTCATCTTCAAAAAGAAAACCCTTCCTTCCTTTCTTTTCCTTTCTTCTTTTTCTCTTCAGAATGAAAAGCCTTTCTTTCTTTCTTTCTTTTTCTTTCTTTCTTTCTTTCTTTCTTTCTTTCTTTCTTTCTTTCTCTTTCATCTTCAAAAAGAAAACCCTTCCTTCCTTCCTTTTCCTTTCTTCTTTTTCTCTTCAGAATGAAAAGCCTTTCTTTCTTTCTTTCTTCCTTCCTTCCCTCCCTCCTTCCTAGCTGTCTGAACTTTACCGAGAAGTTGCATGCATAAAATGAGAATGAAGCCCAGCCCGCGCTCCCCCCCGCCCCCCCAAAAAAACCCCTGCCATGACCAATAGATGAAATTGCTAGAGTACTGAAAAATAAAATTGCCCAGAGGCTTCCTCACAATCCAGTAGATTTCCATTTGGACCTAAGTGCTTTGTAAAAAGCCTCTTTTTTCATGGCAGACTTCATTGCAAGATTCCTTGTGGGAATGGTCTTGGGAGTTCCACCTCCTCCAAATGGCTCTTGAGCCACGAGAAAGGACAGGAGGAGGTGGGACTTCTGAACCTTCCAGGAAGGGCTCTCTGTGGCATATCAGCCTCCAGGCCCTCCTTGTGCTTCCCCCTCTCCTCGAGTGACAGGAACCTCAGTTGCACTTCCTGTCATGCTGTCAGAGGCAATTTCCCTCCAGCTCTCTTCAGAGCAAGCTGTGGCCTGCTTGTCGCTGCAGCCATCTCAGGATGCCAGCTCTTTGCCTTTGCTGAAGGGAAACAAACTTTTAACAATGAAGGCGTTCAGGTAAACCCTCAAACCCCCTAAAAGGGCCCATTTGCAACTGTGCATCAGGACAGCTCTTCCGCTGTCCTGATGCACAGTTGCAAATGGGCCCTTTTAGCTGCTCCTTGGCAGCTAAAACAGCACTCTCTCGTGTTGTTTTCCTTTAGCTTTGCAGGACACTCATGGGTGCACGGCGTGGCAAAGCATAGTGGTTAGGAATTGGCTTTCCTCAAATCAGCTGTGAGAGGTGACAGCAAGGAGGGGAAACTGGCCTGCTTGCCTTTTTTTTTTCTTTTGCACATTCTCTAAAGTAATTTTAATTGTTCTATTCTGGAGCCTGGCAGTCCTCCTATTTTACTTAAAAAAAATGTGCATAAAACATTCTTAACCACAAGCAGTCTTGGGTAAGAGTTCCGCTTGTTAGCAGTGGGTTTCTTAATCATAAGCCCAGAAGTGTTGATAACAGAGATAGTAAGGCTTGAAACAAGGGTCTACGTTACTTGAAAATGTTGGACCAGGCTAATCCTGCACTGGCAGGGACACGGTGGTTCAGTGGCTAAGACGCTGACCTTGTCGATCGAAAGGTTGGCAGTTCAGCGGTTCAAATCCGTAGTGCCACGTAATGGGGTGAGCTCCCGTTACTTGTCCCAGCTTCTGCCAACCTAGCAGTTCGAAAGCACGTAAAAAATGGAAGTAGAAAAATAGGGACCACCTTTGGTGGGAAGGTATCAGTGTTCCGTGCGCCTTTGGCGTTGAGTCATCCTGGGCCACATGACCACGGAGACGTCTTTGGACAGACGTCTTTGAAACGGAGATGAGCACTACCCCCTAGAGTCGGGAACAACTAGCAGATATGTGCGAGGGGAACCTTTACCTTTATCTAATCCTGCACTGCATCATGCTACACCGGGCTCTTAGTGTGTTGCTGACGCAGCTGCTTGGTGTGCACAGTCCTTTATAGCAGGGGTCCCCAACCTTGGCAAAGCTGGCTGAGGAATTCTGGGAGTTGAAGTCCGCCAGGCTTAATGTTGCCAAGGTTGGAGACCCCGCCTCTATAGTGTCGGATCTTTTAGAAAGGAGTTCTGCAAGAGGACTGGCGGGGTTGAAAACTTCCTGTCTCTTGGAAGCAATTGTCTTTTTGAATGCCACACATCAACTTCTGAAATGAGCATTTGAGCAGAATTAGATCCCAAAATTGGTGAGGCCACTCACTGTCTTGCTCTGGACTCCTTTCCCCTATTCTTTTGTTGATGGAAAAAATGAGTAGGAAAAGAAGATACAGTTCTTGTCCAAAGCCTGATCCCAGGGCTTGCAATACTGGCACGGATTCAGAAACCCACCCATACACACCCCCGAGGCGGAAATAAATATCTTGTTGCCTAGAGCAAGCTGTGTGATCGGTTTGGAACTGAGAATAATAGATTTCCCTTGGTTTATCCTTGTGCATCATTCTACTTGTTAACTCTGCCTCCGTTTCCCTGCATCTTGATTTTTGTGAGCTTTGAAAAAACAACAACAACAACAACAACGAATGTGCCTGCAGATTTTTCCCCCGCTCAGTGGCCCTCTCTCACCCTCTTCTTCCCTACGCAGGATCGGATTCCTTGGTCTCGGCCTGATGGGCAGCGGCATTGTTTCCAACTTAATAAAAATGGGTCACACTGTCACAGTTTGGAATCGAACCGCTGAGAAGGTAAGTCCCATTTCTAGTAAGAAATAAAGGAGGTCTTCTGTCGAATGGGGGACGAAGCCACCGACCCAATCAAGGAATGCCTTTTGAATTGCTGATGGTCACCCGAAGCCTGAAATAATGGGAGAGATTCTCTGTTTACAAGCTGCGAGAAATGTACAGCGATACTCTCATCTATACTGTGACATTCTTTATATACTGAACGATGGGCTATGGGTTTCACTTTTATCGGGGAAGTAAGGAAGAAGAGAGCCAGCTTGGCGTCCTGATTAAAGCATCAGGTTAGATTCTGGGGACTCTTCTGGGGAGTTCCACCCTAGGCAGAAAGCCAGCTGAGTGACCTTCAGCCAGTTTCCCCCGCCCTCCCCCTCAGCCCAAGGAAAGGAGGCAAGGACAAACCGCTTCTGAAAAACCTTGCCAGAAAAATTGCAAGGACTTGTCCAGGCAGCCAGCGCCAGGAGTCAACGCTGACTCAAAAGCATACATTCTCTAAGAAAGAGAAAAGCCATTTAACTAAAATGGATGCTTTCTGGCCCCACCACATTTGAAATGTTTCAAGATGGGCTTCTGAACGTAGTAATTGGTTTGACAGCGCCAGCTTACGTTACCACCAAGATCCTTGTAGCTATGGTAACGTTTCCATTCCCTCCCATTTCATTTCTTTCCCCCTCCCTCCAATTTGTGCTATTTTTGTGGCTGACAGCAGAAGCTCTGACTTAGGATAGCTGCAATGACTATGCCCGCGTCAGTTTAGCCCCGTATTTTTTTTTTTTCCAAAAATCATCCTGTTAGCGGTTTTTGTGAGCCTGGGGGACTGGATGAGGCAGTTGGCATCTCTTTAAGACCCTCATAATAAGGAGATCTACTAAGGAAAACCCTGCTATGCCATCTAGAGCACAGCAGCAGCTGCTTAAGAAAAGACCTGTGTCGTTTGGGATAGAGCAGTAATGTGGTGGATCACCTAAGTCAGGGGTCTCGAACCGTGGCAACTTTAAGACTTGTGGACTTCAACTTCCAGAATTCCTCAGCCAGCTGGCTGAGGAATTCTGGGAGTTGAAGTCCACAAGTCTTAAAGTTGCCACGGTTCGAGACCCCTGACCTAAGTTACCTCTCTGGCATTATTCCAGTCCCGTAGATGTCCAAGCCCCCTGTGTGTCAGTTGAAAGATTGGTGGGTGGGATTGGACCCAGGGTTCAGTCCTTTAATGTCGGATTTCCATGCCATTTCCACTCTGCAACAAAAAAACTGTCTTGGATCAGCAAGAGTTTGAATCCCTTTCAGAGTTGCTGTTACAGAAAGGTAATCTAAGATGTCCCAGCAGCCGAGGACATAGACATAGATCAGCTCCGATAAGGTTCTATGAAGCTTGCTCTATCCATGAAAAATACCTGGTAAGCCCATCTCCAATGATATGTTGCAATGACCTTTCTAGAAAGCAGAGGAAGGATTTCTTTGTTATCCTGGCAAGCTTAGCTAATTCTCTTCGCTTTTGGTTCAGGTGAAGTTACCTGATCCGAAAAGACCGCTTTCTTTCTGTTGCCTACTGGAAATGGCAAGAACTTTATTCTGACCCAGACCGAACATTTCCTGGGGTTGCATTAAGAGGTCTCCCAACTACGTGGGCTTCCAACTCTCAGAATTCAGCAACCGTGGCTGCGGTGGTTGATTTGGGGCCTATCGGGGTTCCAAGGCTCATTTTAATCCTTACTACTTGTGTCTGTGACTTTTGCAGTGTGATTTGTTCATCCAGGAGGGGGCCCGGTTGGGAAGAACCCCCGCTGAAGTAGTCTCGACCTGCGATATCACTTTTGCCTGCGTATCTGATCCAAAAGCAGCCAAGGATGTAAGGATTACCTCTTTTTACTTCCCTGAGCCCCCCATTGCTCCGTTCTCCCCCACCTCCCATCCCCGCCCGCCCAGCCTTTGTCACAGAGCAATCATGTCTGCTTTGCCAGAACCAGAATTTTCTCAGTTGGCCCAGAAAAACTACTATGACTGTGAACGACTCTCGAAGGCTTGATTTACACTTCTCTTTAATTTGTAGGGAGTAGCAATGCAGAAAGCCTATTTTGTTTTATAAGCAGAAGTCAAAAGTTTCAACTTCTTCATTGGTGTCCTTGTACGTGTGCAAACACCCTTTGCTTCTGCAGATAATTACTTCTCCTTTGAACTAACAAGGACACACTAGCTTTTCTCATAGGGCAGCTGAGAGAGTCATCCTAATTGTCCAAGAGGCCTTGATTCATTCAGCAAAGGAGGGAGAGGAGATACGAAAGAGGCCTTTGAAAATGGTGCTAATTGAGCATTCTCACAGTCTTAAACTTTTAACTTGTAAAAAGAGATAACAAACGTTCCTTATTCTGGGGAGGTTGAGAAAAACCGGCTTGCATAGTGATGCCTGCTCGCCGTCTCTTTTGACCGAAGACGAGCCAGCGCACTGCACTGTTAAATATTTATGAAATGCTCTTTTGATATTTAGGACAAGGTTACTCTAGCTTTTCAGTTGTGCAGTGGTCTCTTCTGCCGCACGTAATTGTGTCAAATATTTAATCACCTCTGAAAAGCTTTACTGTCAAATGAGTGGATTAAGTCACCAGTATGTGGTTGGTTTGGAATATTTTCAAGTCTGTGGAATTACAGTTATTGCTTGCCGCAGGCTCGGTTCACAGTTGCTGTTTAGTTTGACTTCACAGGATTATATTGTGTGGTCCCCCACCCCCTCACAGCAGTCCTATGAGAGCTCATTTATTCCTAGCTGACATTTGGGGCACCCAGGCTGGGACAATTAAGTTGCCTGAAACCATAAAAAACTGGAACCAGAAATGTACTATTGTAGGCCTCTTGAAGGCCATAAATGCCTTACTCCGTTTCATATTTCTAAAAATATAAGCAAAGATAGCCACAGTCCCCCTGTTTGCTTAAAAAAAAACCTGAAATGGATATTATGATAACAGCATTATTGGCCAACTGCCAAGGAGGAGGCAGGCTTTTGAATTCCCCTGAATTCTTCATTGGCATAAGCTTCATTGAGCATTATGACAATCTCTGGATTATTGTGGGGTAGAAATATGGGCAACAGATATAGGTAGAGCACCCAGAATCACCTTGTAGAGGAAACGGGCAGCATAAAAATTTAATAAATAAAATAAGAGTCTTGACGTATGACCTCTGTTGAAATTCTGAACTGTTTTTAATGACACCCTTAAGGAGAAAATGCCAATAAAGTCTGTTAAATGTTACGAGAGCTGTGCCATGCCAGGAACTCTGGGATCAAGTGACTGGCAAACACCAATTGACCAGTTTTGAAAATTCCACTATTTGTTTATACTGGACTCATCTAATGTAGAATGTCTAGATCGAAAAGATCTTAACCTTGATGACTTTAAGATCCGTGGACTGCAATTCCCAGAATTCCTCAGCCACATATGGTTGAAGTCTGCAGATCTTAAGATCAGATTTGAGAAGCACCAAGCTAAAAGATTTTTTGCAGCTTGTGACATTGTGGGAGCAGGCTTGGAAGTCTGTGGCCAAGGGTTCAAAAGCTCCCCAGAGTAGGACAACAGCAGCAGGAAAGGAGCCCTTGACACAGCTGAATGTGTGACATATTCTGTTGTTCAATGCAATTAGGCTTCATTGATCTGAATTCCTTGCACAAAACCAGCTCAAGCAAAGGCTTAGTGAATTACACAAAATAAGTCTACCGCAAAACCAGGTGAGTGGCCGATTCTATCTAACTCCAGTGCAGCTGTGGAGTCAATTTGAAGTGGCTAAGACGCTGAGCTTGTCGATCGAAAAGGTTGGCAGTTCAGCAGTTCGAGTCCCTAGCGCTGCGTAACGGGGTGAGCTCCCGTTCCTTGTCCCAGCTTCTGCCAACCTAGCAGTTCGAAAGCACGTAAAAAAATGCAATTAGAAAAACAGGGACCACCTTTGGTAGGAAAGGAATAGCGTTCCATGCGCCTTTGGCATTGAGTCATGCCGGCACATGACCACGGAGAGGTCTTCAGACAGCGCTGGCTTTTTGGCTTTGAAACAGAGATGAGCACCGCCCCCTAGAGTCAGGAACGACTAGCACATATGTGCAAGGGGAACCTTTACCTTTAATGTAGAAGCTGGTCTGCTTATCTCCGTTTAGGACGTGCATAAACACTTTTGTCTCGCCAGATCAATCTGTGAGTCATACCACATCTCTGTAGAAGCCTGTCCCCTCCCGTGAACTGATCTTTTTTAAGATAGCCTGTTTTCATACTTCATATGATTGGTCTGCTGGTGTAACTAACTGGCTCTAGAACTCTTGCAATGTTGTAAATGAATTATATCCTTGTTCTATCTACTTTTCTCTGTTGTTGTTCAGTCACTAAGTTGTGACTCCTCACCACCCCGTAAACCACACTACATCCTCCGCTGTCTCCCACAGTTTGCCCAAATTCATGTTCATTGTGTCAATGACACTAGCTAGCTCCGCCATTCCCTTCTTCTTTTCCAGTGAGTCTTCTCTTCTCATTAGGTGGCCAAAGTATTGGAGCTTCCTCCTCAGTATCTGTCTTTCCAAAGAACAGTCACGGTTGATTTCTTTGCACGGGTGTATTTAAGGCATATTTATTCACAACATGAAAAGGCAGTATGAGTATCTCAATAGGGAAATACCACTTCGAGAAGTTTATTGCTGGGCTGTATAAATCTAAGGTTCCTTCCAAACTGTGAATGGTTGTGTTGTGACCTAAGCTTCCCGCGTCATTAAAACACACAAGTAGTCCCAAAAATCTCTTTTATTGCAACAGCTGTGAATTATGTTCATTCACAGCTGAGTCCCAATTAGTTGCAAAAAGTCCTTCAGGAGAAGTCCTTCGGGATAATCACCAACCTTTATCTCCCTTGACACGCTGCTGAAGACCTACTTGGCAAAGCCACACGGATTCCAGAATCAAACAGAGATGCTGACTGGGAACAGAATTAACAACGTTGCTTTCCTGCAAAGGGCTCACATGTCTTTGTTCCTCTAAGTCTTATGGGAGGGGCCAATCATCTCCAGGTCTTACTCCTGAGTCGTCCCTTTTGTTTTAACGGTTCCTTCTGGCAGCTCTGCGGATGCGCGCACTAGGAACAGGCTCCTCCTGTTCCTCTGTCTCTCTGCTGTCCGACTCTGGAGGCTCTGGAGTCCGCGCATCACTCTCCGATGGACCTGGCCCCATCTCTGCCTCCGATGCAGAGCCCTCGTCTGGGCCTTCCCCAGACTTCAGGGCTGGCCCATGTTCCTCCCCAGCCTCCTCACTGTCCGACTCATCTACCAGCTCCGCAGGCTGCTGGTGGACCACAACAGGTTGGGAGGACTCTCAAGCAATCTGGAAGTTCTTAGAAATTCTTGATTGGGCCATATAAAACTTTGCAGAAACTGTACAGCCCAGTATTATCACCATTTTGTCCCAAAGGTGCTTTTTTCAGGAGGCCACTGAATTTCCTTTTTTTTCCTTTGAAGACGTTTTGCTTCTCATCCAAGAAGCTTCTTCAGCTCTGACAGGATAGTGGGGAATGGGAGGATTGATATTCCTTGCTGGTCATTTGTCTTCAGCAACCCTCTAAAAGGATGCAAATGGCCAGCTGTCTGCAAGGAATATCAATCCTTCCATTCCCCACTATTCTGTCTAATTTGGGATGAACACCCTTGGAAAGGTGTGGGAGGAGGAATGGATTTCCAGAGGAAAAATTGCAGACTGCAGGAACCAGGAAAACCACTCAGGTGTCCCTGAGGACATAGATAAACCTCCAAGTGCTTCAACAACCTTCTAAAAGGATGCAAATGGCCAGCTGTCTGTAAGGAATATAAATCCTCCCATTTTCCCACTATCCTGTCAGAGCTTCTTGGATGAGAAGCTAAAGGAAGTCCAGTTGCCTCCTGAAAAAAGCACCTTTGGGACAACCATGACCTGGATGGCTGAGAATCTCTACAGACTATCCCCGTTTTGAAAACCACAGTGCATTCTGCCCAAGCTCCCACCAGTCGTATCTTAACTTTGAGCGGTGCAGCATCGTTAGAGCTGCCTGCTAACTTCAGGGGGAAGCCACTACTTCTACAGGCGAGAGTTTGGAAGCCTGGGAGAAACTCGGCTAATGATTATGTGTGCGGCGATCAGTAGGAGCCCCCTTTGGCATTGGCTAGGTTGTGTTTCCTTTGCAGGCACCCTATTGCTTTGCCCCTCTTCTCTTCCCCCAGCTGGTGCTTGGTCCCAGCGGAGTGCTCCAGGGCATCCGTCCAGGGAAGTGCTACGTGGACATGTCAACCGTGGATGCAGACACTGTTACGGAATTGGCTCAGGTAATGGTGCTGGGGGGGGGGGGTATGATAGTATGTGAGAAGGACCTTGGGGGAATGAGGGGAAGAGATGCGGGCTAAGTGTTCTGAGCTAGGCTTCCTTAAAAAGCAGGAAGAAGGAATTGATCCCGGCAAAACCTCTTTTATTTACACGACTGTGAATTACTTCCATTCACAGTCAGCAAGGTTTGTCCAAACAGTTTTTCAAAGGAATATTTCTCAATAGAATAGAATAGAATAGAATAGAATAGAATAGAATAGAATAGAATAGAATAGAATAGAATAGAATAGAATAGAATAGAATAGAATAGAATAGAATAGAATAGAATATTGGCCAAGTGTGATTGGACACACAAGGAATTTGTCTTTGGTGCAGATGCTCTCAGTGGACATAAAAGACAAGATATGTTCATCAAGAATCATAAGGTACAACACTTAATGATAGCCATAGGGTACAAATAAGCAATCAGGAAACAATATCAATAAAAATTGTAAGGATACAAGAAACAAAATTACAGTCATACAGTCATCAGTGGAAGGAGATGGGTGGTGGGAACGATGAGAAATTAATAGTAGTGCAGACTTTAATAGTTTGACAGTGTTGAGGGAATTATTTGTTTAGCAGAGAGATGGCATTCGCGAAAAAAACTGTTCTTGTGTCTAGTTGTTCTGGTGTGCAGTGCTCTATAACTTTGTTTTGAGTTGAAACAGTTTATTGAGAATATTTCTCAACACATCTTATCTCGCTTGGCAGGCTGCCATGTAACTTGTTTCCAAACGCAGAGTAAGGGAAAACTTAGAGGCACGAACAGAACTTTCCACTCTTGAAACTAACTACTGAACAAATGAATTGTTTCCTGCAAAAGCCCCCTCCCCGTTTGCTCCTCTTTTGTTTCCTATGGGAGGGGCCAATCATCTTTGAGGTGTGGCTTTACTCCCGAGTCGACCCTGCTTTTTGAGTTGTTCTTCTGGCAGCTTTGTGCATGCACACACTGGGAACGGGCTCCAGCTGTTCCTCTGCCTCGCTACTGTCTATCTCCCTCTCTGCCTCTGACGCAGAGCCCTTGTCCGAGCTTTTCCCAGCCCCGAGGACCGGCCTATATTCCTCCCCAACTTCCTCACTGTCCGACTCTGCTGCCAGTCCTGCGGCAGGCCACAACACTAAGGAACAATCGGGCACGAGAGATCCTTGGCACTCTCTGAGCTTGGCTGTGTTTCCTTGCAGATGTTTCATTACCCAGACTAGGTAACATCATCAGTGCTGGTCATCATCACTAGCACTGATGATGTTACCTAGTTTGGGTAACGAAACGCCTGCAAGGAAACACAGCCAAGCTCGAAGAACACCAAGGATCCCTCATTTCAACCCTGAGCTACAAATATTATCCTTTATTGGTAGAAATCAGACAAGAAGGGTAAGATTGTTTTAGCAGAGAAAGAAACTTTGGGAAGGGCCTGTCTATGGATCAGAAATTAAAAGCGGAGAGAAGTTGTTTGTTCCTTCAGATACTAAATATTTTGCTAACGTAGCCTTAACGGTAAAGGAACATTAGCTCATCTAGTTGTGTTTCTGGGAGGCCTGACTCTGGGCTTGCTCGAATGGCTTTTGAAATATTTAACGAGTCGAAAAGTGTACAAAAGGGCAGGCTAATCTTAACCACAGAGAGACACACTATTCTTTTTATTTTAAATGATAAGTGAAACGGCTTAACCACCTTTCTCAGTTCTCCCAAGTTTATTTGTTTTTTTAATAGTCCCTTCCTTACAAACAAAATGTGTGCATGAAGACTTGTGGATGTGTGGATATTACTGATTGATTTTCAACGTTCATCATTTCCCCCAATTGCAAAACATTCTAGACAGATTGCAGCAATGCACAAAATCAAAGTGCATTATCGTAAAAGTCAAAATGGAATGCAGAAAGCGAACATCCCTGCTCAGAATCAAGGGCTGGTGGTGGGGGTGGAGACAGAGTCTTGCTGGAAAGAAAAAATACAGCCTTGGTTTGACTGCAGACCATTAAAAATGAGTTGATTTTAATATTACTCCAGAGAGGGGGAGGGGGGGATCAGAGTTCCATAGAGTGAAAACTGCCTAGAGAGAAGGCCTGTGGATTATACATAGATGCCTACCGTATATCTCTTTACTGTTTTTAGAACTTGCAAAATTTTCCTTTCACGTGTAGTAAACTATAATTTCTCTCAAGTAGCATTCAACATGCTGGCATACTGTTTTGTTTTGTTGCTGTTGGAGTGTTTAGGCTTCATAGAAGATTAATGTTTGGGTAATACAAGTAGTCCTCCCTTAACAATGCTAATTTGTAAGGGAAACTGTTGCTAAGTGACATGGTTGTAAAACAAAAAAAAAACATATTACTGTGCTGCTTAAGCGATGGCAGTTCCCACGCTCCCCGTTGCTGTCTGTAAGTAAGACCCATGTAGGTTGTTAAGCGAGGACCTCTTACAACCATGACTGCCTACCAGCTTCCTGATTGACTTTGCTTGTGGGACATTGGCAAGGAAGGTTGCAATTTGTGTTCATGTGACTGTGTGACACTGCAATGTTGTAAGTATGAGGTCTACCACTGGCCTAGCACCATCGTAAGTTCGAACAATCACTCCATTGTTAACTAAGGATCACCTGTAACTGATACCATATTATCTGAGTTGGGTGGGGAGATTAGCACGGCCACCGGTGTCCTTGGCTGATGCAACTTGTCTTCTCTGCTCAGAACGGTCCACCTTCTCTTGCTTCCAGGTGATTGTCTCCAGAGGTGGTCGCTTCCTGGAAGCCCCAGTCTCAGGGAACCAACAGCTATCCAACGATGGGATGCTGGTGATATTAGCGGCCGGAGACAGAGGCTTATATGAAGACTGCAGTAGCTGTTTCCAAGCAATGGGGAAGACTTCTTTCTTCCTAGGTAGTTTCATGAAGTGGTGGGGATGCCAGTCCTTGTGTCTGGAAGGTCAAAGTGTGAAAATGTACAGTTAATAATTCATGGCTTCTTTATGAGTTTCTCATACAGGATCTCTTTCTGCATTTTTTTTTCCTGTGTTAACTCTCATTTTAAGATTACTCCGAGGAGCACTTCTAACATCTGTTTTAATGCAACTTCTTAAGCTACTAACAAAAGTCTGCAAGATTACGATAACTTCATCCAACAGCCAAATGGGTTGAAGTCATAAAGTGAGAGGAGGCACAACCATTATCTGTACGCCACCTGGAACTGTATTTAGAAATAACATGTTTTTCCCTTTTCCACAAAAATAAAATCCAGCTATTCTCAAACCTATTTATACTGCAGGGGTCACTTGGTAGCACAAACCAGGCCTGATCCTTTTTTTTCTCCTTAGTGTATGCTATTCTTGACATTATGTACCAACATTTTAGAGTAGAATACAGTTGTTATGCATGCACACACATACTTCGTAGCATCCTTTGAAATGGTGTGTGATTTATTGGGCATGTAGTATATTTTGATTTGTGGGGTCGTTGATTAATTGTACATCCTAGTATTGGGGTTCTCTCTGGACATTGGTAAATGTTTGTTAGTGTAAATACCTATTAACCCCAAATCTATGAATCTCTACAGGAGAACCATATCACTCATCTTATTAAAAAAAAATAGCAAATCTTCACTGTACCAACATCATTCAAGACTTTTGCTATCGGGTAGCATTCTTTTTCCAATGTAGTCCACTAGCTGAGGGGCATCCAGTGTAAAGAATTTAGAATGGGAGTCTTTTGACTAGCTCTTAAGACCGGTAAATTACTATGAAGCTGAATTCTGAAGAATGGCGAAGAAACTACAGAAGTTTGGGAACAAACAATTCCTCTGTTATCAACAGAAATTTATTGTTGTTGTATAAAAGTAGAGGAATGCATCAAGAGACAGATTAGCAGATGTTATAAAATGTCTTAACAAGGTCTAACACAGGGATGTTAAATCAAGGCCTGCAGGCTGCATCCTGGAAACAGCAAGGATGGTGCCTCTGCCAGTGAAAACGGAGCTCGGGAGGGCCGCAAACAGCCCTCACGAGCTCCATTTTCACTGGCAGAGGGTTGCAGGAGGTCATCCCAGCCGAAAACTGAGCTCACGAGGGCCACACTTAACCCACACGAGCTCCGTTTTAGCTGGCAGAGGGTTGCAGAAGGCTGTCCCAGTCGAAAACGGAGCTCGGGAGCCTGTTTTCACTGTCAGAGCGCTCAGGCTACCACAGGTGCCCCCCAACACGAGTCAAGCTGGCCATGCCCCCGCCCCCCTGAGATCAAACAACCCTGATGTGGCCCTCAATGAAATCGAGTTTGACAGCCCTGGCCTAACATATTGTTGAGCAGGTATCGGGGTTTTTTTTTAGCCCCATCTCCTTGTAGATAATCTCAACCTCTCTCTCTGTCTCCCACAGGAGAAGTAGGCAATGCTGCCAAGATGATGCTGATCGTGAACATGGTCCAAGGAAGCTTCATGGCCACAATAGCAGAGGGACTGACTTTGGCTCAGGTCACTGGTCAGTCCCAGCAGACCCTTCTGGACATCCTCAATCAGGGACAGCTGGCCAGCATCTTCCTGGATCAGAAGTGCCAAAGTAAAGTTCTTCATTCCCTCCCCCGCTTTTTAATGTAAAAAGGCTTATTTCTCTCAATCAGATGTAGCCAATCCAGAATCTTCCAGTTGTTCTGACCGGTTCCCATAATCCTTTGATTTTGGGTCATCTTGAGAGGGCCTGATGGGAGTTGAGTAGATGCCTAAATATCAGGGTTTCTCAACTTTGGCAATGTTAAGAGGTGTGGACATCCGACTCTTAAGAATTCCCATGCTGGCTGGGGAATTCTGGGAATTGAAGCCCAGACTTCTTAAAGCTGCTAAAGTTGAGAAACACGGATCAAGAGGTCAGCAAATGGCCTGCTTCTACTCTTGAACTAGCTCTTTCCTGAATGGCAGGGGTGTCAAACTGGCGGCCCGCGGGCCAGATGCGTCACATGTAGGCCACGCCCACCCTAGCTCCGCAAAGGGGAAAAACATCGCAAAACGTCACGTGATGGCAACATGACGCAGCAAGTTTGACACCCGTGCTGTTGGTATAGGGCTGTTTCCTATGCCTCCCATAGCCATACTTGCTGGAGGTTTCCAAATGGTTCCTCCTATTACATGCTTTCTAACTGTGATAGCGAAGTAGTTAAAGTAGTGGACAGGCCCAGGGAGGGCCAAGCTCAAATCCTCCTCAGTTATGAAGTTCACCCACCTTGAAGTTTGTGGTTGGGATGTATTAAGGGAGATATCTCTCCGGGGCCCTTGCCTTGAATTGTCAAGGAAAGCAGTTTCTCTCCATGTGTATGTACAAACAATACAAATGACTGGAATGAAGGGCAGTAGAAAGTAAAAACCTGTTTGTATACCAAAATACAATCTTGAAAGTGTGTAAAAGACTTTCAGGGCCAGCTTAGAGAGTTTGTTATTTATTAGCATGAATAATTTGGGAAAGGATCACTCTGTGACGGGACATGGTTTTGCATGTTTAAATAGGTGCACTGGGAATGGTGAAATCCGAAGGGACAAAGGACAAGGGGGTTATCAGTAGGGAAAGTGGAATATGAAAACGTAGCTGGGCTTTTCCTTCTCTAGATATCCTGCAAGGAAACTTCAAACCCGATTTCTACCTGAAATACATCCAGAAGGATCTCAGATTAGCCATTGCACTAGGCGATTCTGTTAATCATCCAACTCCCATGGCAGCTGCAGCCAACGAGGTAGGTTTTTCCCCAACCCTATTTCTGTTCAGTCCTGTCTTATGGTGGTTTTTTTCTGCAAACCTTTAGAAAAGCATCTAAAGATTGGGTCGAGATTGTTGTTTTTTCAGTCTAGATATTTGACCTTAGCTGCCTCCTTAATTAATTTTAACTGCCTCCTACTGGGATATAATGACATGTTTTCTACATTTTAATTCTACACCAACCAGACTCGCTCTGTGAAGGGGACGGGGGAGTCTTCAAATTTGTTACCTAAAATTCAGAAAGGTCGAAAATAAAGGGTTTTATTAACAGCTATCTGGAATACCCTCTGGCATAAAATAACAGAATCCACAGATTCTCATTCAGACATTACAGGTAGTCCTTGACTTATGACCACAATTGAGAGCCCAACCTTTCTGTTGGCTAAGTGGGGGGGCAGTTAAGTGAATTTTGCCCCATTTTACGCCTTTGCTTGCCACGGTGGTTAAGCGAATTGCTGCATTTGTTAAGTTAGTAACCCAGTCGTTAAGTGAATCTGGCTTCCCCCGTTGACTTTGCTTGTCAGAAGGTGAGTCCCTAAACAACAGATTCTGGATCCCCTTTAATTTGTTCAGGTACTTTTGCTGGAAGGGAAGTTAGTAGGTGCAGCTGTGTGTGTGTGTGTGTGTGTGTGTGTGTGTGTGTTAAGGAAGCCACTGGTCCTCTTTGGTGACTCGTCTCTTCTCCATTTTCTCCCTCAGGTCTACAAACGGGCAAAAGCGTTGGACCAGTCTGACAATGACATGTCTGCTGTGTACAGGGCCTACATCCACTAGGCTACCTTCTTCTAATTGTTAATACTATGATTAATTATAACGATGAATACTGGGTTTTAACTCTGGACCAGTCCATCTTTGTCTCTCTGTCTCCTCTCCCCCATATTCCCACCAACCATTTTCCTTCTTTCTTTTTTATTTTCTTTTTTCTTTTTAATACAAAAAAACCCAAAACCTTTTTTGAGATCTGCCACAAGGACAGTAATGCCTTCCTGTGCCAGCTAGCTGCTGCTGCAGCAGCAGTAGAAGAGATTGGACCACATATCTCTTACCATCCTTTGGGAGTCATAGAATGGAATAACCCACCCACCCTCCCCAATAATGCTGCTTGGCTTTAATCCTGGTTCTCATTGTATTTGTGTCCCTGGGTATTTTAAGTTCTTTCCAGCTGCTGTTTCAATGATTTGCTGTGGATATATATATATATATTGCCCACATCCAGGTAAAGGGACATCCGTTTCTCAACTGTCCCTAACTGTGCAAGAGAACCATACACACACACATATAAGCACACACACATATACACACTATATACACACAATATACATACACACACATATATATAAGTGCACACACATATACACACACTATATATACACAATACACACACATACATATGTGTGTAGGGTTCTCTTGCACAGTCAGGACAGTTGAAAAACGGGTGTCCCTTTACCTAGATGGTTTTGACAATTGGGGTCGGATTCTGGCACACCTGTGTTCTTTTTCCTTGGAGAAAAAGATTAGAACAAAAGGTTTTGTGTGTGGGGGGGTGTAAATTAATAGTGCCTGGCCATAGTTTCCTAACAGAAGAAGAGGGGTTTGCATTCAAGCCTTCTCCATGGAAACAGCTTTTGTAAATGAGAGAACTTGTCTTTTACTTTAATTCCAGTTCAAAATGAGCCTCTGATAATGCAGGATGTCTCTACAGGCTCTTAAAAAGATTTGACCAGCCTGTGATTCACATAATGGACATTTACCCCCCCCCCCCACCCCCCCCCAAAAAAGGTGGTAGAATTTCTAGAGCCTTCTTCAGGTTCATCTTGGAGAATCAGCACCCTGAATGTGCGCATCTTTGCTCCTCTAATATTCGCAAGGATGATTTGGGTCTTGAGTGTTGCCCGATAATCAGAAAAACAGATAATTTGATTTCCATGTTTTTCTTTCTGAAAAATTGAAGATGCTCCTAGTGTGAAGTAGAAATCCTGCTTGCAAGTAATGTAATGAAAGATTCAGCAAGCTATGGACCGATACAGCTTAATTCTTTGCTGAAATTTACAAAGTAGTCTTAAAATACAGGAACACATCAGCATATTCCAACAAAATTGTGATGGTTTTTTTTTTCAGTCTCAAAAGTCAGTATTAATCTTGAGAGAAAGCCCCTTTGCTCAAGCTTGGAATGCATACATCAGAAAGCGTTGGAAACCATTTCTGGGTTCATGCAGAGACTTTCACATTTGCATAAAACAGAGCTCCAGAACTCAGCACCCAGATACCTAGTCCGCTTAATTGTACATTTCAGATTGATGAACTTCTCTTGCCAGTATTTAAACTTTCAAAATGCAAATGTGACATCCATCTCTTTGAACCTTGGGTTGGTCTCCCAAGCTATGTGGATATGCTGGCCCATTCTGAGTGCAGGCAGAGAAGACTCCAGGGTTTTAGTTGATATATTAAAAAGTTTAGTTGATAGATTAAAAGAGTAGGCCTCACCCTACTCTGCTCTTGCTACAGCACATATTCCTGATATAGGTTTCCTTTCCTTCTGTGGTACAGACAATCTACCTTTAAAAAAAAAGGACATTGGTTTTTGTCCCTATCCAGGGGTTTAATAGGTCCCAATAGCTATCTGCCTGCTTTTTCCCACAGTGAAGTGTGTCTTGCTAATAGAAATGAACTCCTTATGAGTAAGTCAAGCTTTTTAAGGACAACTAGTACCTGTCAGGAAGAGCAGATGGATTTGGGTGGGGTGGGGAAGATGACCTCATTCAAGATGGTTCTTAAGGTAGTAAATTACACCTGGAAGCTACTCTTCCAAAGACCTTCTAAAGCAGGGATTCCAACCTTGGCTACTTTTAAGACCGATGGACCTCAGTTACCAGAATTCCCCAGCCAGCATTGTTAGGGAATTGAATTCTCGGATTTGAAGTCCATCGGTCTTAAAAGTTGTACCCCTGTTCTAAAAAATTGTCAGGAAGAGGACAGAGAGATCCTTCTGAGATTTTGTGAGAACCTTGCAGAACAGATATAGTTCCCAGAATATTTTATTTTGCCCCTCTAGCCAAAAAATAAATAAATCCAAATGGAACTAGGAACTGCAACGTAAGAGAACTGTAGCGTCTTCCATTCAGTCTCTCTATCTTGTGGTTTCTCTGTCAGAGAGAGCAAATATCTACTGAAGGGGTGCAGTCCTTTTTGCACAGTTAGTGATATCCCAAGGGGAGGCAACAGCTCAAAACGCTAACAAGAGCTTGGAACTGCTGGCTTATCTCATGCCTTTTTTAGAAGGACACCCTTGTTTTCTTTTGTTTGCAGCCAAACAGTAGTTTATGTAAACTGGGTTTTTGTGGCATCCAATTTTATGGGTCAAAGTGTATCCATTAGTCTACCAGTTTTACATTTGCAACATATTTGCTGGTTTTAAGGTGCCATGGGACCCCTTTCCTACTCAAGCCTTTCCTGCTCCGAGAGCCAGCTTTGATCAATTCTCAGTTGGGGGTGTCCTTAAAAATCGAACTGGCACAGTGGCGCAGAAGGGGAAGCGTTTGTTACAAGAGAATACGATGGAACTGGCTTTAGTCATTGTTGTCTTAATATTGTTGACAATACTGTAAAGTTTCTTTTTTTAAAAAAAAATGGGATTTCTGTTTTAGCAGTTGCTTTTTTTTGTTGTTGTTCCCTCCTTTTTCAAGATAAAAAAGATATTTACACTTGTGGAGAGCTTGTAAGAAAAAAAAGCTGTTTCTTTTAATTCCTTCTACCTTTGATGAATGATCTATAGGTAATTAAGGTTGTGAATTTTTATTTTTTATTTTTGCCTTGTTTTTAATTAATGTTTTGTCATTCAGATAGGATGTGTGGTGATGATTAAATGGCAAACACAGACAAAATGATTTTTTTTTCTTGTGCAATTAACAAAGCTACTGGCAAAAGGAAATAAAACTTTTCTTGGTAACACAATGCTATTTGTTGCTCTCTAAAGTATTCTTCTTTCCTAACTGCATACTTTGGGGGAAGAATTAGCATATGAATCTCCCATTCCCAAAGCACAAAAAATGGTAATAGGTGCATTAGTCAAGAGTATAAATTTAAATTGTTGGACTATCATTTGTGTATAATTTCAAGGGCAAGGGAATGGAGAAAGTTTAGAAAGGATGAATGCCATTAATAAAAGCTGAAAATATACTGCAAAATTTAAAATTTGATGGTGAGACTGGAGGATGGAGGGAGATTTGTAAAAACAACTCCTGTTTAATCATCAGCATTTACAAACCACAACACACCATACAGTTTCCTTTGCAATGACAACAATGTAGTTTATTTCAGCAATATTGTTTGAAATATTAGGGGGGAAATCCAGGGGAAAACTCTTTTTCCATTTGAAATGAGTTGGGAAGAATTGAACTGTTTTGTTTATTTTGCAGGGTGGATAGGAAGAGTTACAGAATTGACCTGTTGACCTTGTTCTTTGTCCAAGTGGTTATATTAGAACAAAAAAATGAGGAAAAAAATATCCAGTATTTATGTATTTATTTATAAACATTAGAAAATAAAATCATTTGCTTATTAAATAATTAGCTATGTTAAATAATAGTGCTTTTCTCTATTTTGTCATTTTGTTCTTAAGCCAACACATGAATTAAAAATGGAGGTTTGAACACAGTAATTGGTTTACGATTGGTTCATGATTATTCAAACTTTGCTTTGGAAATGTGTGTGCTTTCAAAGGAAGTGATGTTTGAAACAACTTTAAAGGAAAATACTGTCTTCGTAATTCAAAAGATACTAAGAGGGTGAGCACAGCTAAAAGGTAAAAACAGTTGTAGGTGGGTTTTTTCAGTTTGCAAATCTCATTTAGAAGATAAGAGATTGCCTAACCTTGTTAAAATAGGAGCCAAAGGATAATCCTATGTATATATAAATGTGCTAATATAAAATAAAAATACTAAAAGGAAGCTTGAGATTGCAGACAGTTCTTTAAAAAAAACACAATGTATAAAGAAGGAAAAGCAAAACAGTATTATTTCTTCAAAAAACTTACATCAAGGATTTGCTTATCATTTATTGTTACCATGCTGTGCTTTAAGGATCCTAAAAGGAATTAACATTGGTTCAATTTATTTATTTATTTATTGGTTCGATTTATATGCCGCCCTTCTCTGGAGACTCAGGGCGGCTTACAATGCGTTAAGCAATAGCCTTCATACTTTTATATATACCTGCTTAGTAGGGCTTTTGGCCCCCCCTAAGCCATGTCCTTTTTATACAAAGTCAGTTTATTGCCCCCACAATCTGACTCCTCATTTTACCTACCTCGGAAAGATGGAAGGCTGAGTCAACCTTGAGCCTGGTGAGATTTGAACTCGCAGTAATTGCAGGCAGCTGGCAGCTAAGTGCTATTTAACAGCATTTTAGTCCGCTGCACCACCAAGGCTCTTATGCAGGTAGTCCTTAGTTTACGACCCAGAACTGAGCCCAACATTTATGTTGCTAAGTGAGAAAGTCGTTGCATGACTTTTGCCCCCTTTTACGACTTCTTGCCACATTGGTTAAGGGAATCCCTGCAGTCCTTAAGTTAGTAGCATGGTTGTTAAGTGAATCAGACTCCCCCCCCCATTTGACTTTGCTGGCCAGAAGGTCGCAAAAGGGAATGAACAGGTGTAACTCTACACCTGTATTTGCATACCATGCCAGGAAAAAAGGGAAGTGGAGGCAAGAATGACCATCCCTATTTGATGTATGCAGGGACTCATTTCTACAGCCACGATGGAACCCAATTTCGGGGTTAAAGCAGCAGAATGAAACCTGACAGCAACGGGAAACCCTTCCCCAAGCAGCTGAGCCAAGCCGGTTCTGCAATGTTGCACACCCCTCCAGCCATGCGTCCAGGCGGATGCAATTCAGGAGAAAGGCTGGCTGTCGCAGAGCATCTAACGGGAGGGGGGAATTAACAGAGTTGGAAGGGACCTTGCAGGTCATCTAGTCCAACCCCCTGCCCAAGCAGGAAGACCCTACATCTGCCTCTACCTAGGATCGAACCAATAAATAAATAAATAAGGGATCTAGGATCCTACTCACCCCGCCACCGAATGCAATGGGGCGCCGGGGTTTTTCCAAGCCTCATTGCATTGGTGGGGTGGGGTCTTCAAATATGCCTGACTTCCAATATATGCCTGACTAAGGTGGCTCAGTGACACTGAGCTTGTCGATCAGAAAGGGTCGGCGGTTCGAATCCCTAGTGCAGGTCTCCTGCGTGAGCAGAGGGGTTGGACTAGATGACCTCCAAGGACCCTTCCAACTCTCGTTACTGGGCTCCCCTCCGCAGCGCTGAAAAGCCGAACGGCTGTGGGTGGGTGGGCGGAGCCTGAGAGGTAGGTATGGGAGGGGGGTGCCCAGGGCGCGACCAATGAGAGCTCTCGCGTCGGCGGAGCTCGACCAATGAGGAGCGAGAAGGGGGTGGGAAGCCAGCCAACGCCTCGCCTCAGCGCTGGGTAAACTCGGCGGCGTCTCTCGCTGGCCCGGCAGTGGCGGCGACGGAGATGAGGATGGCTGCGCTGGCGAGCCCGGCCGAGCGGGCCGTCTTGGTAAGCCTTCCGAGCTTGCGGAATCCGATGAGGGAGAGATGTCTGTGTGTGTGTGTGTGTGTGTGTGTGTGGGGGGGGGGGGGGGGGAGCTTGCGGGAGCGCGTGACGTCATTGAAAGAGTGGGGGCGGGTGACGTCACCGACCTTCGCGTGACGTCACCAGGCGAAGGGGATAACGTCCTCCGGCCGAGGTCCTTTTTGAGCTGCTGTTGCATTTTGGGGCGGGTGGGGGTGAGGTGGGGTGAGAAGGGGATCTTAGCGGCGTCTCCGCTTCCAGGAATGGTCTCCCTTACAACCCTGCGAGGTAGGCCAGAGGGTTGGCTGGGATCTGCTTTGGTTGCACAAACCACACTTGCTTTTTTTGTGGTGCGTGTGTGTGTGTGTGTGTGTGTGTGTGTGTGTGTGTGCTTGCTTTGCAGTCGGGGAGGGGCTTAACAATTCAGCCCTGGATTTGGGGTCCAAAGGATCCATCCCAAAGGGGTAGATTTTCTGGGCTGCTGAAATCCGGACGACCACCAGGGGGCAGCCAAGCTCTCTCTCCCCCCCCCCTTCTGGTGTCCCATGGCTGCCCCCTCTGGGTCCCCTGCAGCTTTGCAGCCCCGAATCCAGAGCTCTGTGCTCTCCCAATGCAATACCAGGCGTCGTCGTATTGCAAGTCGTAGTCCTCAGCTTACGGCCACAATCAAGCCGAACGTTTCCGTGGATAAGGGAAAGAGTTAAGTCAGTTTTGCCCCATTTTACGACCTTTCTTGCCACAGTTGTTAAGTGAATCGTCGCAGGTTTGCTAAATGAGTAACATGGTTGTTAAGTGAATCTGGCTTCCCCCATTGACTTGGCTTGTCAGAAGGTCACAAAAGGGGGATCACATGACACACACACACACCCCGGGGTGGGGGGGGGGGACACTGCAACCGTCATAAATACGAGTTAGTTGTCAAGCATCCAAATTTTAACCATATGACCATGGGGATGCTGCAACAGTCTTAAGTGTTAAGTGTTAAGAGCCTTGGTAGTATAGTGGTCTAAAGCACCCTGCTATTAAGACCAGCTGCCTGCAATTACTGCAGGTTGGAATCTCGCCAGGCTCAAGGTTGACTCAGCCTTCCATCCTTTCTAAGGTAGGTGAAATGAGGACCCGGATTGTGGGGGCAATAAGCTGACTTTGTATAAATATACTAAAGTATGAAGGCTATTGCTTAACGCATTGTAAGCCGCCCTGAGCCTCCGGAGAAGGGCGGCATATAAATCAAATTTTTAAAAAAAGTGTGAAAAACAGTCATAAGTTTCAGGGCTGTACTAACTTCAAATGGTCACTAAATGAACTGTTGCAAGCTGAGGACGATCTATAGTTGGATTTCCTAACCATTGTTGGATTTTTTTTTAATCCAGCTATTCTATGTATAATATGTAACTCAAGGGGGTGAACATAGCAGTAACAGTAACAGAGTCGGAAGGCACCTTTGAGGTCATTTAGTCCAACCCCCTGCTCAAGCAGGAGACATGGCGAATACTCCCGCCTCTTGTTTATTTATTCTTTCTATTTATGTAGCCACCCACTTCCCAAACCTGACTGGACAACCCTGTTAACAGCTTTAAAACAGTCCTTAATTATTTTTTTTTTTAAAAAAAGCAATATTATTAAGAAAGTTAAGCATCTGTGATACTAGAAATGATGCAACGTTTGCAACAGTTCTCCAGTTCCTGGTTATTATCTCCGTTGACACGGCCACATTTTTTAACAAGACTTGAAATATATTGAGGCTTGCCAAGAATGGGGCCAGCCTCGTTCTCCCCCAGCAAAAACCCCATGAGGTAGGCTGAACTGGGAGAGAGGGGGAACTGACCCAAAAATCGCCCACCCAAAAATCATCCCAGCTTTCATGCCTAAAGCGGGACTTTAACTCACAGCCTCCTGGATTCCAGGCAAGCCCCTTAATCCTTACACCACAGCAGCTCTCCGTGTTGTTGTTGTTAGTTGCGAAGTCGTGTCCGACCCATCGCGACCCCATGGACAATGTTCCTCCAGGCCTTCCTGTCCTCTAACATCCTCTGGAGTCCATTTAAGATCACGCCGACTGCTTCAGTGACTCCATCCAGCCACCTCGTTCTCCGCCATCCCCATTTTCTTTTGCCCTCAATCGTTCCCAGCATTCGGCTCTTCTCCAGTGAGTCCTTCCTTCTCATTAGGTGGCCAAAGTGTTTGAGTTTCATCTTCAGGATCTGGCCTTCTAAAGAGCCGTCAGGGTTGATCTCCTCTAGGACTGACCGATTGGATCGCCTTGCAGTCCAAGGGACTCCCAGGAGTCTTCTCCAGCACCAGAGTTCAGAGGCCTCCATTCTTTGGCGCTCAGCCTTCCTTATGGTCCAACTTTCACAGCCATACATTGCAACTGGGAAAACCATTGCCTTGACTATGCGCACTTTTGTTGGCTCTCCGTCCCCCTCCTCAAAAGGGAACTCTGTATCTCACAATACCAGGCCAAGATTGGGAGACCCCTTCATCCCGCCCTCCAAGGCTTTGAAATAACTTCCCCTAAGCTCATTTGACAGTTCTGATTTCAAGGCAGTTGCAAGCATCAGCCAGGGATGGATCCTACAGCCAGCCGTTCCCCAGGCGTTGCAGAAGAATAAATATTTATTTATTTTTATTTATTTTATTGGACGACTCAGGGCGGCTCACAGCAATAAGCAACAGCAAGTCCAGATTAAAATTCAAACAATAAAAGAAACTAAAATTCCCATTGCACAATATCTTCCTTTTTCTCCATCTTCCCCTAACCTCATCCTTTCCCCCACCGCCCACCTATTACCCTGGTAGTGCTTCTCATCCTTTGGGGCTGAGCATGTGCCCTCCCTGGTCTGCTTTTGTGGGCTGGAGAGTGTCATCTCTGTGCAATCTGCTGCTGCTGCTGCTCACTCTATCGGGAAGATATATGGGGCATGGCGTGGAGGGCTTGGAAAGGGAAGAAGATGACTCTGTGGAAGTGGGTGGATATAGAACAAAATAGAGCAATGGTGGCGAACCTTTTTGTCACCGAGTGCCCAAACTGGAATGCTCATGCGTGCCAGAGCTCTGGAAACCCGAAGATCAGCTGGCCAGCACGCATGCCGGAAACCAAAAGAGCAGCTGGCGACGCCAAGCGTGTCCACAGAGAGGGCTTTGTGTGCCACTTCTGGCACACGTGCCTTTGGTTCGCCATGACGGAAATGGAGTATGGAGTATCAGAGATGGGATTCATTTACCTTCCCTACCGGTTTGCAAATGCTCACTACGCTCGCAATCGCCACCTCTGCACATGTGTGCGGCCTTCTGCACGTGTGTAGAAGTCGTGCATTATGTCCGGGCGGATGGGCGGAGCCTCCTGCAGTCGCCGCTACCGGTTCACGCTGTCCGGACAAAAGCGTCTGAATCCCACCACTGTGGGGTATGGAATTAGAATTAGAAAGAAATTTAGATTAGATTAGAATTAGGAACAGGAATAGGAATAGGAATAGGAATGGAATGGAATGGAATGGAATAGGAATGGAATGGAATGGAATAGGAATAGGAATAGGAATAGGAATAGGAATAGGAATAGGAATTCAATTCAATTCAATTCAATTCAGTTCAATTCTTTATTGGCCAAGTGTGATTGGACACGAAGGAATTTGTCTTGGTGCATACGCTCTCGGAGTATATAAAATAAAAGATACATTCATCAAGAATCATAAGGTCCAACACTTAATGATAGTCATAGGGAACCAATAAGCAATCAAATCATATTAGGAAACAGTCAATATAAATCGTAAGGATACCAGCAAAAAGGTTACAGTCATACAGTCATAAATGGGAGGAGATGGGTGATAGGAACGATGAGAAGATTAATAGTAGTGCAGACTTAGTGAATAGTTTGACAGTGTTGAAGGAATGATTTGTTTAGCAGAGAGATGGCGTTTGGGGAAAACCTGTCCTTGTGTCTAGTTGTTCTGGTGTGCAGTGCTCTATAGCGTCGTCGTTTTGAGGGTAGGAGTTGAAACAGTTTATGTCCAGGATGCGAGGGGTCTGTAAATATTTTCACAGCCCCCTTTTTGACTCGTGCAGTATACAGGTCCTCAATGGAAGGCAGGTTGGTAGCCATTGTTTTTTCTGCAGTTATTTGTTATACGCATTGCATTTTTATTTGCGTTTCCCTTATGCCTACATGCGTGCAATGCAAATCTGCTTTCCTCATCAGCTGCAATTCTGTGAAGTGAGTTGGGCTGAGAAGGTGTGACTGTCCCATAGTCCCTAAAGAGTCTCCTAGCTGTGGAGACAAAACAGCGTAGTACAGGAGGGGAGGTTCAAAAACTATTCCGCATGGTGCTTAAAAAACAACCTGCACCTGAACATAAGCAAGACCAAGGAGATGGTGTTGGACTTCCGGAGGAAGAGAGATGAACCTGCCCCACTTTACATCGCTGTGTAGAGAGAGTTTCCTCCTTTAAATTCCTGGGAGTCCATCTCAGCGAAGGCCTCCCCTGGAAAAACAACACGATCCAGGTGGCCAGGAAGGCCCAACGAGACTCCATTTCCTTAGGGTCTTGCTGGAAGTGGAACAACAACTGATGATCTCCTTTTACCAGTCCACAATAGAAAGCGTCCTCACTTATTGCATCATGGTATGGCACGCCGATCTGACAGCCACGGATAGAAAAACATTACAGAGGGTAGTGAACAGGGGTGAAATCCAGCAGGTTCTGACAGGTTCGGGAGAACCGGTAACGGAAATTTTGAGTAGTTCAGAGAACCGGCAAATACCACCTCTGGCTGGCCCCAGAGTAAGGTGGGAATGGAGATTTTGCAATATCCTTCCCGCAGGAGTGGGGAGGGAATGGGGATTTTGCATTATCCTTCCCCTGGAGGGGGAGGGAATGGGGATTTTGCAGTATCCTTCCCCCAGGAGTGGGGAGGGAATGGGGATTTTGCATTATCCTTCCCCTGGAGTGGGGAGGGAATGGGGATTTTGCAATATCCTTCCCCCA